AGAGGGGTGGGATGGCACAGCCTGGAGCGCGGCTGTGCCCGGAGCGGGGCGGTGCCGCAGGCTCTGCTCCCAATCCAGGCCCCATCCAGCGGTGGTGGGGGGAGGCGGGGGGCTCATCCCATCGCATCCGCCCACTCCTCATTCCTGCAGTGCTGTCACGGAGCTGTCCGCGTGTTCAGGGGGCACGGGGGGACCTGCCCCGGGCTGGTGCTGCGGGAGCTCCTCCCGGGGCTCTTCCCACGGGCTCGTCCCGCGGCCGCCGGAGCGGGACAGGCCAAGTTCAGCTGTTCCTGCCCCGCTCCTGCTCCCAGAGCGTTTGGGGTGGTGGCAGGGCCGGTGTCCCACAACGGCCGTGCCATCCCAGGCCCACTTCACCCGTGGGACCGTCCCTGATGCTGCCACTGTGTGTGGGAAACCCTTGGATACTGTTCCATCCGTGCCCAGTATCCCTGCTCAGCTCCCAAGATCCTGCCCAGCTCCCACCGTGAGCCAGAGGAAGGATCAGGGTCAGGAGCAGGGTGAGGGTTAGGATTGGGGTCAGGATCAGAGCTAGAGTTAAGATCTGGGTTGCAGTTAAATTTAGGGTCAGGGTCAAGCTTAGGGTCAGGTTCAGGGTTGGGGTTAGGATCGGGGTTAGGGTTAAGTTTGGAGTCAAAGATCAGGTTTACAGTTAGGATCACTATCAGGGTCAGGGTTAAGATCTGGGTTGCAGTTAAATTTAGGGTCAGGTTTAAGGTTAGGGTCAGAATCAGAATCAGGATTAGGATTAGAATTAGGGTTAGATTTAGGGTCAGGTTTAGGTTTAGGATCAGAATCAGGATTAGGATTAGGATTAGGGTTGAATTTAGGGTCAGGTTTAGGTTTAGGATCAGAATCAGGATTAGGATTAGAATTAGGGTTGAATTTAGGGTCAGGTTTAGGTTTAGGATCAGAGTCAGGATCAGGGTTAAAGATCAGCATCAGGTTTAGCATCAGGATTAGGATTAACCTTAGCATCAGGTTTAGGATTATGGTCAGGATCAGAGTCAAATTCAAGGTTAGGATTGGGTTTAAATTTAGGGTTAGGATAAGGCTTATGGTTAAGTTTAGGATCAGGTTAGGGTCAGAGTTAAGTTTAGGATCAAAGTAAAGGGTTAGGTTTAGGGTTAAGTTTAGGGTCAGGCTTACCTTCTGTCTTGATCCAGCAGGATCAACAGTGTCCCTGACTGTGGGATCCCCACTGGCTCTCACTGGTCCCTGCTCAGCTGAGCCCCTTTAAACTCATCCTTAGCCCAGGTGTTTGTGATTAATCCCTGTCAGGACAGGCTGCTCCAAGCCCGGGGTATCCTGGGGACCAGAATCAAGGACACGGAGTGCCAGAGCAGATCAGGGCACCCCCAGGTCCCCAGGATCAGGATTTGGCTGTCGGTGACATTCCCAAAGCTGGGTCTGAGGGAAGCTGAACAGCTCAACTGTCCCCTCCGTGTCCGGGCCTGAGGTGTCCCTGCAGCTCATCCAAGGCCAGCAGGACACAGGGAAAGTCCCACATCCTGATTTTCTAGGGATTTCTAGGACTAGGAGCTTTCTGAGTGCAGGAGAAGGAGAGACAGGCTGTTCTGACCCCTGGATCCTGCTGGAGTCTGTGGGATGGTGCTGGTGAGCAAGGAAGGGTGGAGGAAGGTCCATAGGAAAGTCCATAGGAAGGTTTGGAAGAAGGTCAAGCACTCATTCCATAACCCTCATGGAGGGCTCTGCCACGGGGCAGCTCCAGCAAAAAAGAAGGAATGGCTTGGATTGGAAGGGACCCAGTGGTCCTGGAGTGTGTGGAATGGGAATGACCTGGAATACGGGGCTCTGCACGTCGTTGCTGGCAGTGATGTTGAGTGATGTCGAGGTCTGTGTGGATCCTCCACCGCTGGAATTCACGGACCCACAGGATGGTGGAGAAGGGAATTCCTGGCTCCAAGATCAGCTTGGACGTGGTCACAGCACGGAGCTTCACATTGGAGCTTTTGGGAACCCCTGGCCCCCAGTTCAGCCTGGATGTGGCCACGCTGAGCTCCACATCACAGCCTTTGGGAATTCCCATCCCTCAGCTCAGCCAGGATGTTCACAGATGGCACCGAGTTCCATGTGGGAGCCTTTGGGAGAACACTGAGAATTACGGAGCCATCTCGTTCCTCGTTGGCAAGGGTTGTCACCCAGGAGACAAGTCCTCCAGGCAGGTCTGAGGATTTGAGGGCCGTTCTGGACCACTGGAGCACCAGCACGGAAGCCTTGCCGAGGAACAGGGAAGCGATTCCCTTGGGAGCACTCGGAGCGCGGTACCCCCGGTGCTGAGCCTGCCCTCGCCTCTGCAGCTCTTGGAGATGCTCAGACTGAGATGTGGAGTTCAAAGGAAGACTCTTCATCCCTTAATGACTCATTGGAGAGATCGGCTCCTTAACACCTCCAGGAACAGCATTCCCAGAAGGCCCAATTATCCGTCCTGCAAGCCCATAATCCCTTTTCCTTCAGATAGAACTTCCCTCTCCATCAGCCGGAGTTTCTCTGCTTGTGATCTGCTTCCTGTGAGACCTGAGCTCCCTATTTTATGATTCTGCTGCCTTTCCAAAGCCTCCTCTTCCTGGCTGCACCAAAGGAGCAATCCCAGGAATGATCCGCTGCTGCCACGCTCGGGAGCTGCCAGGACTGGGATTCATGGATTCAGAGACCGACTGAAGGAGCTGCCACATCCCAGCTCCTGGAGGAACCTGGAGCACCAGCAATGCCACTCCCACTCCCTCATGGCTGCCACCTTTCTGAGGGCCTGGAAAAGACACCAGGAAGAGCTCCGTTGTCTCACTGAGCTCCGTTGCGTGGACTCATTGCCTTGAGGAGGAGCGGATGATTCCACAGGACTTGTGAAGCCTGGGAAAGCTGAGGGCTGGGATAGCAGCAGCCCAGAAAGCGAGCCACTAGTTTGTCTGGTGGTCCCTGAGGAGTTAACTCTGGATCTGGAAAGGCTACTGGAGCCAGGGGCTGTCCAGCTGCCTGATCCCAGGCTGGAGAGCAGCGCTGCCGAAGGGGCCGGGAGCCAGGGACACACTTCCAGAGGGCATGGCCAGGCCCCAGCCAGTGCTCCAGGGAGGAGGATGGACCTGCAGGTGACACCTGACCAGCCACATCTCCTGCCCCCTCCATTCACCTTCCTGGCTCTGAGTGTGTCCAGAATTCCAAGCGGGAGTGCAGCAACGTCTGTGCATCCGTGGGGTCTGGGAGAAACACCCACCTTGGAGCGTGCAGTGCTTCCTTGGCCTGTCCATGACTGGTGCCTTTGGGTCTTCCAGCAGACCAAAAACCTTCTCTCCATCACTTCCCATGGAGCCAAGGTCCTTGGATGGGCTCTGGACGGGACATGGCCACGTCCTGTCCTGGCACTTCTCCTTCCCTGTCTGCGCTCGAGCCCTCAAGGACGTTCAGCTCTTCCCTGTTGGAGCTTCCCGAAGGTGATTCATCGTCCTGCTGCCTCTCAGCCCTCCTCCACTGTGCCAGGGAGGCGGGGAAATGGGAATTGGAGGGAGTGTGCCTCAGCCTATGGACCTGCAGTGGTGTTCAGCTCATCTCCCCAGGGCCATCGTTGTGAGGAACCGTCAGAGCTCAGAAACGTCCCCAAAATGAGGATCTGGCACCATGTGACACTGGTGGCACCGGCTGATAACAGGGACTGTAGCCCTCAGACTCCTGGTGCTGCCAGCAGGATTCCAGAGTGTCCATCCATTCCAGGAGGGAGCTGGGATGGGAGGCAGAGCGTGGAGATGGCAGGGAAACTGAGGCACCACACTACGCCAGTGTGCAGGAATATTATGGGTTAGCTTGGAGGACCAGTGAAGTGACAGTGCTTGGACAAGACAAGGACAGGACTAGGATAGGATAGGATAGGATAGGAGATAGGATAGGATAGGATAGGATAGGAGATAGGATAGGTTGGAATGGGTTGGGTTGGAAGAGACCTTAAAGCCCACCCAGTTCCACCCCTTGCCATGGGCAGGGACATCTTCCCCTATCCCAGGTTGCTCCAAGCCCCGTCCAACCTGCCCTGGGACACTTCCAGGGATCAAGGGGCAGCCACAGCTTCTCTGGCCAACCTGGGCCAGGGCCTGCCCACCCTCACAGCTGGGAATTCCTTCCCAGTATCCAATCTAGCCCTGCCCTCTAGCACTAGGAAGAATCACGGTTCATAGGATTCATCCTCCAGCATCCAAATTTTAGATCTGTTTCCTTTCACATTCCCAGGGTCCATGTTTTTGTCAGGGATGTGATGGCAGAAGGGGGCAATGACAGAGGGACAACACATGGTGGGGAAGGGGGATTTGTCCCTGTCAGAGACTCTCAGAGTGCAGAGCCCAGTGCTGGGGGAGTCCCTCTCCACACCAGTGCTCCCCACGGCACGGGGGCATCAACTGGGGGTCCACCATGGCACAGTGCCAGGGGGACACCGGCCCGGCCACCACTGACCACCCCAGGTGACCATCAACCTGCCACCTCCACCCGGGGGTGCCCTGAGGGTCCTCCCACCCCGGGGCAGATGCCAGAAGGTTCCCTCCTGTCCTGGGAAGGGCTCTGCCCCGGTGCTGGGGAGCACTGGGCTGCTCCCAGTGCGTGTGGGACCGGGGTCAGCCCGGGGGGCTGGTGGTCCCTGTCAGGACGAGGGGCAGGCTCTGGGGGGAGGTCTCGGTGGGGGGGGGTGGTGCAGAACCGCATTTTTAGGGCAGGTCTGGCCAGGAATCAGGATCCTGGAGGCGTTGCTGAAACCTCTGGTGGCTCCTCCGGCCCAGCCCGGGCAGGATGTCCCGGCTGAGCGCTCCGAGCCGCTTCCTGCGCTGTGAACCCCTCCCAACCCTCCAGCAGCCCCTCCCCGTGTACTGTGTGTGTGCCCCCGTGCCCGGACCTGGCCTCACCCCTGCCCTCTGCTCTCTCTCTTCTCTCTCTCTCTCTCTCTCTCTCTCTCTCTCTCTCTCGCTGTTCCGCTCTCTCCGCAGACTTTTCAGTAGTTTAGGAGAACTCAGCACCATTTCCCAGCGGAGCTCCGGGACCACCTACACAGTCCGACCTGGCAGTCGCTACCCCGTCACCCGCCGCACCCCCAGCCCCGTGAAGCCGGCTCTGGACCGGACAGAGCCCCTCAGCACCGTCCGGCCCTACGGCCTGACCCCCCCCACCATCCTCAAATCTTCCAGCCTCTCCATCCCCCACGAGCCCAAGGAGGTGCGTTTCGTGGTGCGGAGCGTGAGCGCCCGGAGCCGCTCCCCGTCCCCGTCGCCGTCGCCGGGGCCGCCCCTGCACACCCTGCACCCGCCGCGGCCCTTCATGCAGAAACCCCTCCACCTGTGGAACAAGTACGACGTCGGGGACTGGCTGGAAAGCATCAACCTGGTGGAGCACCGCGACAAGTTCGAGGACCATGAGATCGAGGGCACTCACCTGCCCGCCCTCACCAAGGAGGACTTCGTGGAGTTAGGGGTGACCCGTGTGGGGCACCGGATGAACATTGAGCGGGCGCTCAAGCAGCTGGTGGACAGCTGACCGTCCCCGGCAGCGCCGGCCTCGCCGGAGCCGCCGTGGGAAGGGGGGGCATTTCTACCAGGCCAATAAAACCCACTTGGATTCTCTTTCTACTCTGAGCACTGCACTGAGGGCGCGGAGCCGAGAGGCTCCCGCCCGCTCCCGCCCCGCCCCGGCGCGCCCGGCCCCGCCACGCCCCCGGACAAGGAATGTTGCATGAAATACATCCTCGTTTCTGTTCTCCCAGAGAGTCTGGCCTGTAAATCGCTTGATGTGCCCTTCCCGGGGCGTTCGCGGGGCCGCAGGGGCACAGGCGCCGGGCCGGGGTGGCAGCGGGCAGGGCCAGCGGTGCAGTGGGGACCCCGTGGCCGGCCCAGGGTTTTGGCCACGGGGACAGGCAGGGACGCGCCGCGGTGGCACCTCGGGCAGGTCGGGGTGACCGCGGCGTGGAGCCCCCCGAGCTGCCCGAGGAGCAGCGGCCGGCGCCGTGGGAAGAGCAGGCAGGAGGCACCGCGGCACGGGGCCACGGCAGTGACCCTGACCCCGCGTGGGGTGGCCCTGACCCCGCGCAGGGTGGCCCTGACCCCGCGTGGGGTGGCCCTGACCCCGCGTGGGGTGGCCCTGACCCCGCGCGGGGTGGCCCTGACCCCGCGTGGGGTGGCCCTGCCGGGGTCGGAGCCGGGTGGTCCCGACAGCGCTGGGACAGGAAGGGCTGGAGCGAGGAAAGGGCTCCGTGCAAGGGCAGTGCCAGCGGTGCCAGCCAGACCTGCGCCCCTCCCGCCGTGCCAGGCCGTGCCGTGCCAACCCGAAGAGCCATCCCCCCGCGAGACAGACCAGCCTGGACTCTGTGCTGCCGCTCCCGGGTGAGAGGGACCGAAACCGCATGGATCGAAGCATGTTTGGGGCTGTCGGCGGGAGGCCGGGGGGGGGAAAACCCGCAGCAAAAGCTTTGCCAACGTTCAAAGGGGGGGCGGGGGGAGGGAGACGTTTTATTTCCTCTTGGTTTGGGGTCTTGTTTCCAAGGGGGACGCGTTGATGGGTAATATTTAATCTCCGTGCATTTATATAGAGAGCAGCTGATGAGCTACACGAGATGATTCTGAACTACAGGATTCCCCCCCCCCTCCCCACTCCGTCCTGGTCCATCCTTATTTTGCATCTTTTTAATCAGCTATATATTTGAAAAGAGAGAACAAATATCTATATATCTATAGCTATAGCCACCTGATTTTGTTATAATTTTCCTAAATCTCTATATCTCTAGACTTGAGGAGATGCTGGCGAGGTGGTGCCCGAGCCCCTCCCGGGACGCCCATGGCTCATGGGAATTTTTAGCTGACTGACTGAATGAATGTTAAAGTCTTTTTAAACAAAAAAAAACCCGAAAAAAAAATCCAACAGCTCCTTTCAGACACTCTGGATTTTAAAGATTTAGAAACACGAAACAAAAAAAAAAAAAAAGAAAAAAAAAAAAAAAAAAAAAAGAAACTTGGGTTTTTTGGGACACACCGAGTCTTCCAGGCAGAGAGCACGGAGCTGGCGCTTCCCACTCCCGGGGAACATCCCTAATGGCACCACTGGCTTGGCCGTGGGGGTCCCTGGGGTGGCTCCTCGGGAGTGGGAGGAGGCCGGTGTGGGGGTCTGGGGGCCGGCTGTGGCCACGGGGGCACCGTGTGGAGTGAGCCAGACCAGCCTCGGCGCTGGAGGAGGTGGAATTCCCGTCCCCCATCCCGGTGCCCCACGTGCCCCCTCCTCCCCGCACCGCCCCCGGCTCGGGATGGACAGGGCTTGCCCGGCTGGCCGGGAGGGGACGGCGCGGTGACGGCTCGTGTTCCCAAAAAGCCGAGTCCCCCACGAAGGCATTAACTCTTCTGGTGCTAGAGGGAAGGACAAGGAGGTTCCTTCTGACCCTCAACCGTCTCCGAACCTTTTACAACCTTCAGCCAGGGAAAATGTCCCGGCCCGGGGTGGGAGCAGCAGCTCCTCCAGGGCATTGGGACCTCCCTGGGACGGACCCTGCCCTGTGCCAGGTTTGGGACCTCCCTGGGACGGACCCTGCCCTGTGCCAGGTTCTGGGACCTCCCGGGAGGGACCCTCGTGCCCCGGTGCCATCTCCTTTTCCCTGAGCCCTCGCTGGGTGAGAGCCCACGTGGCTCCATCCAAAACTCTCTGGAAGCCACCGGACCCCGGTGGTCCGTGGCCTCTCCCCCTCCCCGGCCCCCATCCCGCTGCTCCAGCCGGGACAGGTGCCCGGGGACCGGGACGGGCTTCGAGCCGGCCCGGGCAAACAGCCCCTCTCCACATCCACATCCCGAGATCCTGGGAATCCCGGGCACGGTGAGCCGAGAGGTGCCCGAACTGCGATAGCAGCCATTGCACCTGCCCGACCCCTCACCTGGGGTGCCATCGCACCCACCAGGTGCCCCCAGCCCCGCCCCGAGGGACCTGGAGCAGGAATCCAGAGCCCAGGTCCTGCCCCTTGGCATCCCCGTGGCCCCTCTGCCGTGCACCCCTCCCCGCGCCCGAGTCTGCCCCCTGACCCCCACCCAGCCCTGGCACCCCGAAATCTACCCTGCCAACCCCGCCCTGCCCCCTACCAACCTGCCACCCTCGCCCCCCAAATCCTCCCTCCAGCCCTGCTGCTCACCCTCTCACCATCCTGTACTCCCCAAATCCATCCCCTCCAGGTGCCCTCCCACCATCCAGCCGCCTGTGACCTCCAAATCCATCCCCTCCATGTGCCCCCCGCCATCCTGCTGCCTGTGCCCCCCTTAATCCATCCCCCCCATGTGCCCTCCCACCAACCCAGAGTCTGCACACCCCGAATCCATCCCCTCCATGTGCCCCCCCGCCATCCTGCTGCCTGTGCCTCCCTAAATCCACCTCCTTCACCATCCCAGCCCCTGCACCCCCAAATCCACCCCGCAGCCCCCTCGCCTGGCCTGTGCCGCCACCCTCCCCCCGTGCCTGGGCTCTGGCATTCCCGGCACGCTCCGGGCACAGGGCCTGGCTGGCACATCTGCAACGGGCCAGGGACAGTCCCGCTCGCTGTGCCACCCTCGCCTGCCAGCACAGCCACTGCCACCGCTGCTCCCGCGTCCCCGCGCTCGCTCCCTGTGTCCCTGGTCCTGCTCCGCCCGCTTCCCGGTGCCCGCATCCCTGTGCTGCGCCAAACCCCGCATGGACCCGGAGCCCGGCTCATCCCGAAGCTCGGCTGCCAGCCTGGTGCTGCTTCTCCAGCCCCGTGCCCGGGGAAGCACCACTGGCACACCCCGGGATGCCGGCGAGCATCCCACTGCTCTGCATCCCTGCAGGAATGCCGCGGGCCGGGCACGCCGCATGCTGGGCACGCCGCAGCCCCCCATGGCATCACCCGACCTCCTTCCCAGGCTGTGGAGATGGGGAATTACCTGGAATGCCTTTGGCTGTTGGTTCCTCGCGCTGCTTTCCCGAGGCTGCTGTGGCTGATGTGGGGATGCCCCGTGGGGACGTGCCTGTGGCTGCTTCGGCAATGCCACCCCCACGGCTGCAGAGCCCTGGATGTCCCACTCGAAACACCAGGGCTGGATCCCGCTGTGGGGACACGGGGGGGGTCCCTGCAGAGCAGCCCCCACCTGAATGCTCAGCTTGGCCAAGCCCCTGCACCGCTTGGTGCTGCCGGTGCCCTGCAGCCCCTCTGCATGCCCTGGCACTGCCCACCCTGCCTGCCCGCCCTGCCTGCCCCTGCACCGCCCTTCCTGCCCTCCCTGGCCATCCCTGCCCGCCCTGCCTGGCATTGCCCGCCCTGCCTGCCCCCTCCTGCCTGCCCCTGCGCATCCTGAGTAGCCCTGCCCCCTCTGCGAGCCCACCCTGCCTGCCTCTCTGCCCACCCTTACCCACCCTGCCTGCCTTCCCTACCTGCCCTTACCCACCCTGCCTGTCCCTTCCCACCCTGCCTGCCCTCCCTGCCTGCCCTCACCCACCCTGCCTGCCCCTTCCCACCCTGCCTGCCCTCCCTGCCTGCCCTTACCCACCCTGCCTGCCCCTTCCCACCCTGCCTGCCCCTTCCGACCCCGCCTGCCCTCCCTGACCCCCCGCCCACCCTGCAAACCCTCCCTGCCCTCCAGTCCTGTCCCCTCACCGCCCTCCCGCTCCCCCCCGTTCTCCATCCCCGCCTGCCCCGCAGGTACCGCAGCCCCCACAGTCCTTGGCAGCCCCCGCAGACCCTGGTGGTCCCCAGAGACCCCGGTGGCCCTCGGTGGCCCCGGCGACCTCGTGCAGCCCCTCGGGGACAGGACACCCCTGGAACGGGACTGTCCCTGCCCTCAGGGCATGGGGGGCTCTGCCAAGCGCGGCCCCCCAGGACCCCCGCGGCCCCTCGGGCGCGGCCGGGGGTGACACGGGCGGCGCGGTGGAAGGTGACAGTGTGCTGGCCTGAGTGCGGGCGGCTCGGCGGGACCCGCCGGGCCATCCCCGGTCTCTGCCCCTTCCGCAGCTGTTTTTGGGGCGACTTTAGAGACCTGCCCGCACCCGCCTCTCGCCGCGAGAGGCCACAAACCTGCGGAGCACAACTGCTCCGCGGAAAGCTCGGTCTGGGACCGGGAAAGCTGGACGCCTTCTTGCCATTTCTGAGGAGCCCTCCTTTTCTTCCTCCTCCTCTTCCTCCTCCTCTTCCTCCTTGCCGAGGACCGAAATGGTGGATGCCCGCTCCGCCCCGCGGAGCCGCGGCCGTGCCCGCCTGCATCCCACCCAGCTCCCAGCGCAAGCAGCTGCAGCCGTACCTGTGTTGGCAAACACTGAGTGTCCCTGGGGACACCACGGCTCGTCCCAGTCAGGCCTCACACCAGAGAAGGCGACTTCCACCCGCTCTGCCCGCCACGGTCTGCAGGACCAGGGACTGCCCGGGGCTGCCACGAACCTGCTCCCCCAGCCTGTCCCCGCAGCCTCCTCGCCCTCCCACCATGTCCCTCCCGTCCCTGTCCCCCCGCCCTTCGCATTCCTCTCCCCTGCCCCGCATTCCCATCTTCTGCCCCCCTGCTGTGCGTCCCTGTCCCTTCCCGCTCATCCCTGTCGCACCTCGCTCATCCCTGTCCCTTCCCGCTCATCCCTGTCGCACCCCGCGCATCCCTGTCCCTCGCGTTCTTGTCTCCAGCTCTGCGCATCTTTGTCTCCCGCCCCACTCGTCCCTGTCTCCCGCCCCACTCGTCCCTGTCCCCCACCCGTGTGTCCCTGTCCCCAGCTGCGTGTTCATCCCTTGCCTGCCCACATCCCTGTCCCTGTCACATCCCTGTCCCCTCCCCTGTGCATCCCTGTCCCCTCCACACTGCTCATCCCTGCCCGGCGCCCCACGCGTCCCTCTCCCCGCTGCACACATCCCTGTCACCCACTGCGGGTCCCTGTCCCTGCCGTGCCACGGGGATGCGGCAGAGCCGGACAAGGGGCTTTGGAAAGGGCATCAGGGTCACTGGGCGAACAGGCTTCGCCTCGGGGCGGCTCCTTGAGCCCCCCAGCACAGACATCCCCCACCCCCGCCCCCCTCTGTGCCCCCTGAGCCCGCGCTGCCGGGGCGGCTGCACAGCCTGTGCCCCGCGGTGCCACCGGCTCCGGGGTGGCCCCATCCCGACCCCCCAGTGCCCCCAGCCACGGTCAGGGGCCGGGTGCCCACCCAGCACCACAGTGCTTTGGCCAGGACCCTGCAGTGCCCAACGGCCGAGGTCTGGTCCCGTGGCCATTCCCAGCCTTTCCCAACCCTGTGGAAGCAGAGGGGTTCCCGGTGTCGGTGACACCCGTACCCACTCTGGCTGTGCTGCCATCCCCTCCAGACATCTCCAGAGCCACCGAGACATTGTATTTGGAAAAGCCATCCGGGAGAAGGCAGAGCCCCAACCCACGGCCTGGCCCCTCGGCCACCGCTCAGCTGTGCTGACCCCTCAGCCATGCTGACCCCTCAGCCATGCTGACCCCTCGGTCACACTGACCCCTTGGCCATACTGACCCCTCGGCCACGCTGACCCATCAGCTGTGCCGACCCCTTGGCCACGACAACCCATCGGCTGTGCCAACCCCTTGGTCACCCCTCGGCCACACCAACCTATCAGCCGCGCTGACCCCTCGGTCACACTGACCCCCTGGCCACACTAATCCCTCGGCCGTGCCGAGCCCGTGGCCACCCCTTGACCACACCAAACCATCAGCCATGTTGACCCCTTGGTCACACTGACCCTCCTCCACGCCAACCTATCAGCCACACTGTCCCCTTGGCCACATTGCCCCCGTGGCCGTGCCAGCCCATCGGCCACGCTGAACCCTTGGCCACCCCTTGGCCGTGCCAACCTAACGGCCGTGCTGACCCCTCGCCTGCCCCTTGGCCACGCTGACCCCTCAGCCACCCCACTGGTTGTGCCAAACCCTTGGCCGCCCCTTGGCCCCACCAACTCCTCGGCCACGCCAATCCCGTGGCCACGTTGACCCCATGGCCACGCCAACCCATTGGCCACGCCAAACCCTTGGCCACCCCTCGGCCACTTCAACCCTTCGGCCGTGCCGAGCCCTTGACCACCCCTCGGCCCTCCTGGCCCCTCGGCCACGCCAACCCCTCGGCCGTGCCGCCCCCTTGGCCACCCCCGGGCGCCGCCGCCCCCCGGCCATGCCGCGCCCCGTGCCGCGCGTGCCGTGGCGCCGGGCCCGGCCGCGGCGGTTACTGTGATTCTCATGGCTTCTCAACGACTTGGGTTTATCCGCTGTACAAAGGGAGACACTTTTTTTTTGGTTTTTTTTTCTCCTGCTTCAAAGGGGTTTTTTTTGGTTTTTGGGGTTTTTTTTTAAAGAAGTTGTCGGTATTTTCCGTTGTCCAGCCGAGCGCCATCGCCCCCCCCTTTCCATCAGCCTGTCCGTGACCCCCCCGAGACAAAACAACCCCGGAGCACTCGGCTCCCGGCGGCGCCGGCGCAGCGCGGTGCCCGCCCGGCCGTGCCCCGGCCAGCCCTCACTGCCCATGCATGTGCCACCCGCGGAGCCACCCTCACGCCCACTGCATGTGCACAGAACCGGCTCCCGCCGCGGCCCCGCCATCCACACTCTTGGTTCTCACCCAGACGGACTCACCTGTGGGTTTTCGTTCCGGTTTTAATTTCCCAGGGTCGGTTTGACTTCACCCTTATTTTGTATGGATTTTTTCCGGAGGAGATTTCTCCTTCTCCAGAGTCATGGAGGTGCGGCCATTCGCCTCCCGCCCTTGACGTTGTGATACACATCCCCCACAGAGATCTATGTTTCTTATATTATATTATTATTATTAATTATTATTATTATTATGTAATAAATTTATAAGAAAGTTCCGCTCTGTCCTGTGGTCTCTCAGCTCCTGCAGCCCCTCCCGTGCTGGCCTGTCCCTGTCCCTGCGCGGGACTGGGGACAAACAGGAGCCCCAGAGGGACAGACAGCAGTGCCTGCATTTTGGGGGTGCCTACGGCTCCCACAGGTGCCAGGACACGTCCCGTGCTCACAATGCCACCGTCCCCAGTGTTACACCTACAGCAGCTCCCAGCCACCCATGGGGGCCCCGGGTGCCAGGGCTCTTGGGTGCCCGCACTGACCTGAGTGCCCCCTCCTCTCCTGGGTGACCCCCCTTGCCTCGTTGTCTCCTTGGTGTCCCCCACCCTCTCCTGGGTGCCCCCACTCACCTGGGTGCCCCCACTCACCTGGGTGCCCCCTCTGCTTGGTACCCCCCCCCGGATACCCCATCTCTCCTGAGTGCCCCCCTCTCTTGGGTGCCCCCCACTCTTCTGGGTGCCCCATGTTTCTTGGGGTCCCTACCTCTCGTGGTTGCCCCCCACACCTGGGTGTACCCCCCCTCTCCTGGGTGCCCCCACTCTCTTGCTATCCCCCCCTCCCACTTGGGTGTACCCCCACTCTCTGGGTGCCCCCACTCTCCTGCACGCCCCCCTCTCCTGGGTGCCCCCTGTTTTGTGGTTGCCCCCCACCCTGCGCCCCCCAGCCCAGCCCAGGGTCCCCCAGCAGCGCCCCCAGTCCCGTGGTCACACCAAGCATATATTTTATTGAAAGACCAAGTGGGTGACACGGCGTGGGGACAACCGGGGGTCGTACAGTGGCTCGGGGGGGCTCTCGGGGCTCCTCTGGCTGCTGAGTTACAGATAAATATCGGGACATAGAGCGGGTGGAGTTATAGTCACGATAGCGCTGGGCGAGAGGGGCCGAAGCAAAGAAACCACCAGGCACAGCAGTGAGGAGAGGGGGGGCCCCCAACGGGAACCCCCCGACGGGGACCCCCCCGGGGCCCGAGCGCGGTGCTGCACCCACGGCCCCGCGGGGGGGTCTCGGCCCCCAGGCAGGGGGATGGCGGAGCGGTGGCGGGGTGGGGCCGGGGCACCGACACGAGGGGGCCGGGGGCAGGAGACCCGGGGGCTGCAGCTGGAGAGGGGGTTTGGGCCGTTCCTGGGGCTGCAGCACTGGGGGACCCCCATTCCTCAGGGTGGGGGCCGGCACTGTGCAGGGCTCAGGGGCTTCATGGAGATGCTCACCCTGGCACCCCCCCACTCCCCGTGCCCCCATCAGCCCCCCGCAGCCTCCCCCAGCCCCACTCACCCCCTTGAGCCCCCTCTCGGCCCCCCCACCGTGGCCAGGGGGCTTCTCCCCGCTCCTGCCCCCCGGGCTGGCGATGCTCATGCAGGGGGTGGGGGGCAGCTCCTCCCCGGCCCCCCAGGCCGGGCTGCATCACCCCCGTGCCCGGGGTGCCCGGGGCGCACCCCGATACCCACCCGTGGTCCGTGGCGGCCCCCGGCCCCCCGAGAAGCGGTGAGGGTGTGCGGGGGGGCCGTGGGGCCTGGGCTGGAGCGTGTGCGGGGGGGCCAAGCCGGCTGGCTGGGGGTCACACAGTCTCTGGCCGCCGTGGGGCTGGAGGGGGGTGCAGAAGCAGGAGCCCCCCCGGCTGCCCCCCTACTCCAGGTAGATGTCCTCTGTGGGGCAGGCGTATTCCAGGTGCTCCTGGTAATATTCCTGAAACGCTCGGCTGCGGGGACAGGTATGACGGGGGGCTCAGGGCTGGGACCCCAACCCCCTGCAGCCCCCACACCCCCAAACCTGGCACAGCCACACCCCAGCATCCAGACCCCCAGCATCCCCAAACCTGGCACAGCCAAACCCCCAACCCCTTGTCCCCTCAGCACCCAGCCCTAATGCACCCCCAGCCCTGGCACCCCCAGCCCCAGCACTGCCAGCCCCCCCAGCACCCCCAGCCCTGGCAGAGTCATCTCTCCAGAATCCAGATGCCCTGTACCCAGCTCCCCCCAGCCCTGACAGTCCCTGGTCCATGGCACCCAGACATCCAGCACCCCAGCCCTCTCACCCCAGCATCAGCACAGCCAGCCCCCCAGACCCCTGTCTCCTCACACCCACACCCCCAGCACCCCCAACCCCAGCACTGCCAGCCCCCCAGCACTCAATCCCCTGGCATCCAGGCCCCCTGCCCCCCGTGCCCTCCATACCCGACACACTCGGCCACGTGTCTCATGGACTCCTGGGACACGAACACGTGGCAGGCGAAGCGGCTCAGCACCGGGTGCTTGGTGATGAACCCGAAGTAGCTGGGGGGGACAGGGTGAGGGGAGCACCCCAACCCTGCCCCGGGAGGGGGGACACCCATCGGGGTCTGGAGCAGCCACAGAGGGACCAGGAGCGGGCAGGGGGTCCTGGTGTGGCCCGTGGGTGCCTCTGGCAGGGGATGGGGGTCGAGGGGCTCACCAGCTGTTCCGGGGGTGGCACCCACAGAAGGAGATGTTTTTCATCTGGAAGAAGTGGCTGCAGCGCTCGAACTGGAAGGGAAGAGCAGAGGTGTGGGTGGGTCAGCTGAGTGCTCGGAGCCCCCCCAAAACCTCAACTCCTGGTCATCCCCCAAACTCACCCCCTGTGCCCCTCACCTCGTCCCCTCCCCTCACCTCCTGGTCGCCCCTCAAACCCCCTCCCATCACCACATCACCCCTTCCCCTCCTCATCCCCCCAAATCCACACCCCTGCTCCCACCACCTCCTGGTCACCCCCCCAAACCTCCTCCCCTCCTCGTCTCCCCAAACCCCATCCCCATCACCCCCAAAACCCCTCCCCTCATCTCCTCCTGCCCCCAGCCCCCTCCCCGTGCCCCCAGCCCCCTGCCCTCACCTCCTCGTCCCGGCTGTACTCGGTGACGGTCAGGATGAGTTTGATCCCCTGCAGCGTCACCTCCAGGTCACAGCTGGCCGGGGGGCGCAGATGCACCGTCAGCTTCCTGGTGGTGGCAATCTGGGGGTGCACGGGGAGGGGTGTGAGGGTGGGGGGTCCCGTGGGCAGCGCAGGGGTCCTGCCTCACCCCCCCCTCACCTTCTGCATGGCGGCACAGAGGATCCCGTTGCCCTGGTGATACGGGACCTCCACGGAGCCCAGGAACTGCACGTTGAACCGCTCCACCCAGCACGGGTTCCTCTTCAAGCCTGGGCGAGGAGAAGGCACAAGGAGAGAGGGCCCTGAGAGCCCTGAGACCCCCCCCTCACAACCCCTGGGGACCCCACGGGCTCCTACCGATGGCGTCCCGGGCCTGGCCGACCACCTCGTGGGCGTAGAAGGCGGGGAAGATGCCCCTCTCCCCCGTCCGCATGTTGTACCCCCGGTACCAGTAGTCATCCTCCTCCAGCTCCACCAGGATGGGGTCATCCACGTCCAGCTCCAGCTCGTCCTCGTGGCGGGGGATGAACCTGGGGGGATGGACGGAGGGATGGATGGGTGGAAGGATGGAGGAGTGGAGGGATGGATGGGTGGAGGATGTGGGCAGGCAGAGGGTCCCGGAGACCCCCTATGGCACCCGTGGTTGGGGTCACTGCTCACCTGAAGACAGCACGGTGGGTCTGCTCCCGCTCCTCCCCGTTCACCATGCAGGAGAACAGCCCAAAGGACTCTGTGCCTGTGGAGGTGGGGGCTTCCATGAGGCTGAGGAGCAGCTCCCATCCCTCATCACTGGACACCCCCATCACTGCCCTCCCCCCATCCTGGGGCTGCAGGACCCTTGGGATGCAGGGAGACATCATCTCTTCAAGGGGTCCACTGAACCCCCACCCAGCAGAGCAGGGCTGAGGATCCCTGTGACCCCTGTCCCACCTCCCATGACATCCCGTGACATCTCGTGACATCCCATGACATCCCATGACATCCCATGACATGGCACACGGGGATGATGCCATGGCCAGGGTGGCTGGGGCAGGACATGGAAGGGCAGCCAGTCCACCAAGGGAGTGCAGAGCAGGTCAGGACTGCGTGGCACGGTACAACACGCCATGTCACGACATGCCATGCCACGACATGCCACGACCACAGCACGGCACAACACGGCCACTTACTGGAGGAGCGTGAGGTGCTGTTGACGAAGACGTTGAGGAACTTCTTGGAGAACTGGAGGTCGGCCTCGGGGGACGAGTCCTCGGAGGAGCTGTGCGCGTCGGGGGCCACCAGCCCGTCCCCGAAGGCCACCTCGTCGTCCATGTCGCAGCGGTCGCAGGCGCGCAGCAGGTCGCTGTCGTCGCTCAGCACGGACGTGCAGCGCCGCAGGCTCACCAGCTCCAGCTGCGTGTGCTCGTCCACCACCAGCGTGTACTTCACCGAGTCGTAGGCCAGCGACTCGTCCAGCGCCGGCGGCTCCGGCGCCCCGGGGGCAGGACACAGCTCCCCCCCGAAGCTGCCCCGCCGCGGGGCCGTGGGGAAGGGGGAGCCGGGCAGGAAGGACCCCTCGTCCTCATCGAAGGCCATGGCGAAGCCGCGGTTGGTCTTGGCGGTGGAGACGTCCAGCGTGGCGGGGTCGGCGTCGGGGGGCACTAACCGGACGTCGTCTATCATGTTGTCGGCCTCCAGGACCCCCGAGTCCAGGTCCCTGTTGACGGCCCAGCCCTCGGGGCTGGCGGTGCGGTGGTCCCCGGTGCCGTGGTGGTCCCCGGTGCCATGGCGGGCTCGGTGCCGGCGGGCTCAGCGCCAGGGGACGTGCGTGACGGGACACGCGGCGGCGTGGGGCGGCAGCCAAAGCTGGCCAGGACCTCGGAGGCATCCAGCCTGTCGAGGGTGACGGGGCGCCCGGGAAGACGGGCGCGATGGTGTCGTTGGTGGGGTTGCTGAGGAAGAGGAAGGGGCCCGGCTCGTCAGCCGGCGGCTCCGGCGGCGGCTCCGTGGCGGCGTCCAGGCCTCGCTCGTCCTCGGCGCACTCCAGGGAGCTGCGCAGCGTCTCCATGTCCACCAGCTCGATGGCGCGCTGGCACCGCGGCACCGCCGCGTCCCCCGGCCCCGCCGGAGAGTCCTGCGGGACGGGCTCCTCGTCCAGCGCCTCGCTCAGGATCTCGGGCTCCAGGTCGGAGGCCGGGGAGATGGTGTCGCACAGCGAGTGGGTGTTCTGGAAGCACTCGTCCGGGCACTTGATGGGGTATGAGCCCTCCGAGATCATCTTGTTGACCAGGTTGCTGAGCAGCCAGGGCGAGTCCGAGTCCTCGCTCAGGTCGGGCTCCGACTCCGAGTCGGAGTCGTACTCGCTGTTGTCCTCCTCGTCCGCCTCGGGCATCAGCTTGGGCCCCACGGGCAGGTAGAAGGAGCGCCGGATGCTCTCCAGGCTGTGGTCCGGGTCGATCTTCAGGTCCAGGGGGCTGGAGGCAGACACTTCGGTCTGGCCCTCGGGCGCAGGGCAGTCAGCCGGGTCCAGGCTGTCGTAGTACCCCTCCATCTTCAGCTCGGCCAGGCTCTCCCTCCTCACCACGCCGCGCTCCGGCGGCCCCCTCTCCGCAGGCTCCTCCTCCTCCTCCTTGCCCTTGTCGAGCAGCAGCGAGTCCTTGATGCCCATCAGGCCCGGCGCCTCCAGCTCCGGCTCCAGCTCTCCCTCGGAGCCGGGCGAGCTGGCCTCCTCGATGGAGTTGGTGAGGTGGGAGGAGCGGCCGCTGCTGCTGTCGCTGCTCAGGTCCAGCTCGGTCTCCGAGATGGAGGAGATCATGTTGCTGACCAGGCGCCCGCCGGCGAAGGCCGCCTCGAGCTCCCCCTCCACGTCCGAGTCGGAGCCGGGCGAGCTCAGGTCCTCCCCGTGCCGCCCGCCGGGCAGGAAGGGCTTGGCGGTGCGGCTGGTGAGGTCGGCCTCGATGCCGGGGTCCGAGGAGGGCGAGGTGGTCTCCGAGGAGCCCGAGGGGTGCCCGCGCACGCTGGCCGCCCGCCCGGACTGGGGACCCTCCCCGTCGGAGCTGAGCGGCTCCGGGGGGCACACGCGGGCACCCTCCGCCCGCTCCTCGGGGGTCGCGGGGGCCGGGCTGCGGGCGGGGGGACCCTGGGCTGGCGGCTCCCGGCCGCCTCGGGCTGCGTGGGGCGCGGGGGCAGCGGCGGGGGCCTGGGGCGGGGGGCCGGCGTCGGGGGACCGGGGGAGCCGCGGGCCCTGTTGGAGAGAGACACGGTTGAGGGGGCGGCTGGCGGGGGCGCGGCGGGGACAGCGGAGCTCGGAGCGCTGCGGAGATGAGGTTCATGTTAAAATCTTGCCCGGCTCTCGGGGGCGATGGGTTACCATGTGCCAGGGACTCGGGGCTGTTGCCTTGCGAGTCCAAGGGGGAGGGCGGCAGCGAGGGGGGGGCCCCCCCGGGGCCCCGCGGGCTCTCCAGGCAGGGTCCGTCCAGGATGCAGGCGTGTGGAGACGAGTGTCCTGCGGGAAGGCAGAGCCTGTGTCACCCCAGGGGGTTGCGGGGCCTCCCCAGCCCCGCGCCGAGGCGAGACCCCCCGGCATCCCCGCCCCGCTCTCACCAGTGTGTGAGGAAGAGGAGGAGGAGGAGGAGTGGAGGAGGGCGTCCTGCCAGGTCGTGCGGTGAGCGGGCGGTGGGAAGCTGCCGTTGTTGTTCAGGGAATCCTGCGGGAAGAGCAGAGCCAAGGTGGGCGGGTGGGTGGGTGAGACGCGGGGGAGGGGAGTGTAGGGCGCGTTTGGGGACCCGACAATGGGACAATTTGGGTACCAGGTGGGGGCCGGCCCAGGGGCGCCCCTCGGAGCTCCCACCGGCCTGGCAGCCCCCACGCCACGTGCCGGGGGTTTATCCGGATTTAGGGTGTCCCTGGATCCCCTTCCCGGCCAGACGCGCGCCAGGGCCGAGGGATGGCACGGCACCGCACGGCACGACGCCCATCCCGGGGGCAAACCCTGCGGGGGACGCGCCAGCACCGGCACTGACCCCCGGGACCCCCGGGTGCGGGGCCACACGAGCAGATCCAGACCCCCCAGCAGGACCCCGGAGCCGGTGGCCCCGTGGTGTGGCCGGAGCCACCGGGATGGCCGGAGCCACAGGGGTCCCCGGGGCTGTCCCGCCGGCGTGGCGGCAGCTGCGGATTAGTCCCGGCGGGAAGCGCGGGCAGCGCTAATCCCACCGAGCCAGGATTAGGGAGCGGGGCCGGCGCCGTGTGCCACCGGGCACGAACCCGCGAGGGAGAGGGAGGGGCTGGGGCACTGCCTCGGGAATGGGAGCTGGGGAGGCGGGAGGGGTGTGGGGGGACAGGGATGGGGAAGGGGCACAGGGATGCGGGATGGGGAGGGGTGTGGAAGGATAGAGATGGGGGCTGGAGGAAACAGGGACAGAAATGGGGACGATGGGGACAGGTGCTGGGGGACAGAGCCGGGTGCTGGAGAGGATAAGGATGGGTGCTGTGGGGCGGGGTCTGGAATGGGGAGACAGGGTTGGGTGCTGGGAGGGACAGGAACAGGTACTGAGGGTACAGGGGATGGGTGCAGGAGGAGATGGTGCTGGGGGCACAGGGCACGGGGATTACTGACACTGATGGGTCGGATCCGGCCAGATCCAGGGGCTCCGCTCATCTGTCCCCCCGCGGGACGATGGAACGGGGTGGCCAGCGGGATCCGGCATTGCCGGTGGGATCCGGCATTGCGGGTGCACCCGCCAGGGCACAGAGGGACAAGGCTGAGAGGGACCCCTGGGGTCTGTCACCCTCCAGTGACCCTCACCCTGGAGAGCCCCCCCTCCCCCCAGCCCAGCAGCGTGCGGTGCCCTCCCAGGGTGGGGGGGCCCCCCCGAGAATCCCGAGAGCCCCCGGCTCCATGGCAACGCAGCCGGATGCAGCCGGATGGAGCCGCTCCGCACGCGGCTTCCCACACACTGCGGTGGTGGCTCGGGGCTGGCACCGCACACGCGTGCGCGGGGACACGGGGACACCCCTGCGGGGACCCCCCCCTCCATCGTAGGGGAACCCTCGAGTCCAGCCCCGGGGTGGGAAAGGGGAGACACGGTGTCAATGGGCACCCACGAAGCCTCCGCGGGCACTGGGGGCAAAGACCCCTGGGTGGGGACAGCCCTCCGGGCCACCCCCCTGCTCACCTGGGTGCCCGGGGCCGTCAGGTTGAGGGTGGTGGGTCGGTGCTTCTGCGTCTCCTCCAGGGCGGGCGAGGGGATGGGTGAGGCCGAAGGGGACGGCGGAGCTTCCAGATCGTTGCCCTCCTCCTCCTCCTCTTCCTCCTCCTCCTCCTCGTTGTCGTCGATCATCTCGAACTCCTGGAAGTCGTCCTGGAAGGTGCAGACGGGGTGGGGCTGCTCCCCGCGGTCCAGCACCAGGCAGTCCTGGGGAGGGGGCACTGGGTTAGGGGGCACAGCACACAGCCCTGCACTCACCACAGCCCCCCCCGGGGTGACCATCCCCACCGTGGCAGGGTTGGCAGTGCCCCACGGCTCCCCAAGAGGGGACCAGGGATGCCTCAGCTCTGCCAGTCCCTGCCTGGTCCCCCCTGCCTGTCCTGGCAGCAGCACCCAGGCAGGCTGAGCTGGGCAAGTGGGAGCCACTCCTCCCTGCTGTGGGGGGAGCTGTGCCAGGCCAGTGCCCCCCCCCCAGACCCCGGGGGCCACTCGGCTCCTGCACCTTCTCATAGTGGTCCGAGTCGTAGTTGAGGCCGATGCCACAGTCGTCCGTGATCTCCGACAGGTCCTCATCGTCAAACTCCTCCAGGCTGATGTCCTGGGGGGGCCTGGGGACATGGGTGGGGGTGACAGGCCTCAGGGACAGGCCACCTGTGTCCCCATGGCCCTGAGAGACAAGTGGCACCACAGGGACATCCATCCATTGTATTGCTGGCAGCCCTGGCACTGGAGCTCTGGCACCGGACAAACCTCAGGGAGATGCCACCACAGCATCCCTGTCACAGCCCTGGATGCCAGCACAGGAGCACCACGGGGACATGCCAGCACTGCAGGGACATGCCACCATAACCCTGTCACCCCTGGGTGCCAGCACAGCAGAACCACAAGGACATGCCACCATAACCCTGTCACCCCTGGGTGCCAGTACAGGAGCACCAGGATGGTATCACCACAGGGACATGCCACCAGCACCCTGTGACTCCTGGGTGCCATCAAAGGAGCACCAGGATGGTATCACCACAGGGACATGCCACCAAACCCCACTACCACATGGCATGGTGGCCCTCAGCTGGGCAGAGGTGCTGAGGCCATCACACGTCCCAGATTCCCTTCCCAGCCCTCCACGCTGGGATGGCAGCACTGCAGGCACATGCCACCATAACCCTGTCACCCCCAGGCTCTGGAACAGGAGCAACAGGACAGCAGAACTGCAGGCACATGGCATCACAACCCCGTCCCCCCTGGGTGCCAGCACGGGACAAGCACAGGGACATGGCACCATAACCCTGTCACCCCTGGGTGCCAGCATGGGACAACCACAGGGACATGGCACCATAACCCTGTCACCCCTGGGTGCCAGCATGGGACAGCCACAGGGACATGGCATCATAACCCTGTCACCCCTGGGTGCCAGCATGGGACAGCCACAGGGACATGGCACCATAACTCCATCACCACATGGCCAGAGTGGCCCTCGGCTGGGCAAAACCTGCCAAGGCCACCACATGTCCCAGATTCCCTGCCCAGCCATCCATGTTGGGCTGGTAGGACTGCAGGGACATGACACCATAACCCTGTCGCTCCTGGGTGCCAGCATGGGACCCCTGTGATGGCAGCACCACAGGGACGTGCCACCCACACCCTGTCACTCCTGGGTGCCAGCACAGGAGCAGGAGGATGGCATCACCACATGGACACGCACCACCACCCTGTCAGCACACACCCACCTTGACCCCGGCTGGGCAGGGATGCCAAGGCCACCACATGTCCCAAATTCCCTGCCCGGTACAATCCTTGGAGCCAACCCAGGGCAGAGGCTGGAGCTGAGCCAGTGAGGGGACAGTCCCCACCACCAGAGAGTTTGGGGTGACCTGTGCTGGGAGGGGTTGTTCTCCAGCTGGGGGCTTTACTGGGGGTGGCTGAGGGGTTAACCCCCTGCAAGGTCGGGCACATCAAGGGGGGATCTGGGCTCAGACACCCCAAGGCACGGGAAGCCCGAGGGACCCCCCCCGCACCTTCCATCGGGAATGGGGGTGTCATGGAAACCAGCGGTTTCTGCGGGAATCAAAGGAAAAAGAGGAGGATTCCCAGCAGGATTTGGTGCTGGAAAACAGGAACAAGGCATTTGGGAGGAGCCCTCTGCGAGGAGGGAGATGTGGCAGTGCCTGGGCACCAGTGGGACCCTCTGGGTGGGGACACCCAGGGGCCACATGCTCGGTCCTCATGGGTGTGTGGCAGTGCCCCAGTGCCAGTGGGACCCTCTGCCAACCCCCACGAGGTCGGGGACACCCAGAGACCCCCAGCCCACTCTCATGGGTACATGGTAGCACCTGGGCAGGTGGGCACCTCCAGAGGGGACAGGCCTGGAGGCTCAGCCCTGGTGTGTGGCAGCAGCAGGATCAGACCCCTAGATGGGGGGTGGGGCTGTTCCCCCTCCTGCTTTTCCCACAAAATCCCCTCCTGCAGCCCCTCACCCAGCACGGGGCCGGGCGCCTGCTCCCGATTCACTGGGAGAAAGATTCCCCTAATCACATAATTCCCAGAAGTAGGGCACGGAGCGCCCAATCCGCGCAGATTTGGGGCAAAACCAGCAGGGATGGCGCCAGGCCCGACACCACGGGCTGGGGCTGCAAGGCTGGGCTGGACCCACAGCCAGGACTGGGGGCCCTGGGGCTGTGGGGCACAGAGCACTGGGGTGTCGGGGTGCAGAGCCCTCTGGGGTGCAGAGCCCCGGGGTGTCAGGGAGTCCCAGGGTGTCAGGGTGCAGAGTACCAGGATGTGGGAGAGAAGAGCCCCGGGGTGTAGGGGTGCAGAGCCCACTGGGGAGCAGAGCCCCAGGGTGTTGGGGTGCAGAGCCCTTCTCCCCATCCCCATGGAATAGCCAGGGCTGCTCTCCTGCAGACAGCAGGGTGGGGGAAGAACCCTGGGATCCTCTGCCCTCTCTGGGGGCAAACAGGGGCCTTGTGGGGGATCCTTTGGCCATCCATGGGGGGCAGGGACAGCAGGGCCATGAGTCCTGCTGGGATGGAGACCCAGCCTGTAAACCCCTGGCTAGGCTGTGTTCCTGCACCCCTGGACCCTCCTCACTGGGTGACAATCCCCTCCTGGCTGAGGGGGGGGGGGTCACACAGTCCGGGCTGACATGGAATGGGAATGGCACGGTGGGATGGGGACACTGTGGTGGGATGGGGCAGCTGTAGTGGGATGGAACCTGCCAGGTGAGAGCATCAGACTGAGGGGCTGGAGCTGGAGTGGAGCTGAGACAGCAGCTCGGGAAGGGGGGGTTCACCCAGCCCTCCACATGGTGGGGTTTAGGGAGGGGTCAGAGACAACGGGAGCGCACAAGTACCCACCATCCCACTGGCCCCACCGCCACCTCTGCAGCTCATCCTGAGCTGGGATGGGCTGGAGTGGGACCCCAAAGGGCACCCAATGTCTCCCACCCCCGGGCCACGCAGGGATGGGGCGGGGGCACAGCGGCTCTGGCACGGGCGCCACCAGGGCCAGGCTCCCCGAGGGTTCCCCGGGGACGCGGTGCAGGCCACGGGCAGATGGAATTTCCTCGTCGTTCCCAGCCCAGCTCCCCAGACACCGCGCGGGCGGGGGCTCTGCCCTGGCTCCCACCCGGCGGGCACGGGCCCCGACAGTGGACCTGCCCCCACCCACTCCATGGCTGCCACCCCAGGGCTGGGGCAGAGCCACAGGGAGGTCGGGGCTGACCCCAAGGCCACCCCAAACTGGTGACCTGGGGGTCCTGACTGGCACCGGGGGCTCCCGTGGCCCCACCTGCGGCCACCCCTGAGCGGGAGGTGGGAGCCCTCCCCAGGCCCTGCTTGCGTGTGCGACATTCCCACACCGAGCCACTCCCACACCGGGCATTCCCGCCACCTCGGCCGCTCCCTCTCCAGCCGGGGGATCCCATCCCACCGGCCCCACCGAGCTGGGCTGGGCACCCCCTCCCAGGGCTCCTCGGGAAGGGCGCGGCGGGGTTCGGGTGCCAGCGATGGCCACGGCCCCGCGCGCCTCGGCGGGCCCTGCCGGGAGCTCAGGATGCTCTGGGAGCCCCGGGAGAAGCCGCTGCCGCCGCGGCATCCCCAGGGATTCGCCCCGGTTCTCGTGCTGGCTCCGGCACGCAGCGCCCGCTCCCCAGGATGCCTCCTCCCCCCGGGGCTGGGCCGGGCTGGGGGGTCCCCGGCTGCCCCCACGGCCCTGGGCCAGCCCGAGCAGCCACAGCAAAGCCGCGTCCTCCCCTCCCTGCGCCACCGCGGGCAGGGACACCCTGGGGTCCTGCTGCGCAGCGGCCAGGGAAGGGGAGAGCCCGGGGAAATGAATGCTCAGGAAAGGGGGTACTCGGGAAAGGGGACATCTCGGCTAAGGGGACGGTGAGGGAAGGGGACATCCTGGAGAAGGGGATGGTCGGTGAAGGAGATGCTCAGGAACGGGGACAAGGCTGCCTGGGGAAGGACACGTCCCAGGCAAGGGGACCCTCGGGAAGCAGCGCAGGCCACGACCAGCCAAGGGCACATCCCGCAGCCCCACTGCCCCCAGCTCGTCGCCCCGCAGCTCCCGCATCCCCAGGGCCCCTCCAGCTGCCCCTCAACGCTGCCTCCTGCCCTTCCCCATCCCGCTGCCGGGCGCCAAGGCCCCGCACTGCGCCAGCCTGGCCCGGCCCCGACCCCCGGCCCTGCACCCTACACCCCCCGCACCCCTCCCAGAGGGTCCCGCCAAGGTCAGGCGTGGGGCTGGCCCGGCCGCGCCCCCTCCCCACGGGACCCCCGGGAGCCCTGCGGGAAGGTGACCCATCCCGGGACCCCGGTGCGGCTCCAGGGCGTCCCGGTGCAGGTATCCACCGTCAACTCCTGCCTCGACCCCGGGAGCGCCTCGGGGGTTCTGAGCCCTCGCGCTCACCGGTCCCAGGCCTAGCGGACCCCCACCCCGGTACCGGCACCCCCTCCCCATCCTCGTCCCCATCCCCATCCCGGGGCCGCTGCGGCGTCTCGGGAGAGACAAAGAGGCGGCGGCGGCTCCTCCCGCAGCGGCCCGGGATGCGGCGGCCTCGGGGGCCCAGAGGCCGGGGGGCTCTGACCCGCGGTGGGGGGAAGGGGACAGAGGGACCCGTCGAGCCCTGGCGCCCCCGCGCGTAGGAGCGGCCAGGGATGCTCCGGGGGATGGACGCATAGATGGATTAATGGATGGATGGATGGAGGGATGGATGGATGCGGCCGGCGGCGGCTGCGCCGTTAATCCCAGGAAGGGCCGCGCGGGGGTGGGATGCGGCCCCCGGCCCCGCATCCCAAGGTGAACGGGCAGGGGGCCCGGGGGGCCCGGGGTGCGGGCCCGGTCCAAGGGCGGTGCAGAGGAGGGGAAGGGCAGGGCGACCCCGCATCCCGCGCCCGCCGCATCCCGCGTCCCCCAAGAACCCCGCACCCTCCCAACCCCGCACCCCCAAAAACCCCGCTCACCTGCAGCCGGGCGGGGAGAGCGAGTGGAAGGTGGAGAGCGAGAACATCTCGGCGCGATCCGCCATTTTCTCCGGCCGGGGCTGCGCCGGACTGCGGAGCTGCGGGAGCAGGGGGCCGCGGGAGGAGCTGCAGGAACACGGGGGAGCGGCGGGAGGAGCCGCGGGAACACGGGGGAGCAGGGGGCTGGGGAGAGGGGGAGGAGCTGCGGGAATGGGGGGAGTGACGGGAGGAGCTGCGGGAAAGGGGGAGCGCAGGGAGGGCGGGAGGAGCTGCGGGATGCGGGGGGCAAGGGAGGAGCCTGGAGGGGCAGGGGCAGCGGGCAGGGGGGTCCGAAGGTGGGCGGGGTAGGGGAGGGGCAGGATGTGGGGGGTGCGGTAGGGAGGGCAGGGGCGGTATAGGGGGAATGAGGGTGCTATTGGAGCGCAGGGGTGTCTGGAAGGGAGAGGAGGAGGAGTCCAGGGGCGCAGGGAGAGTGGGAGGGGGCGTGATGTACAGGGAGGGATTTGGGAATGTCTGGGAGGGGCTGGGGGTTTTAGGAGGGAGGGGGCGGTGTAGGGAGGAGATGGGGTGGTACTGGCGGGGGTGGGGTGTCTAGGGGGAGAAGGAGGAGTCTGGGTGGGCTGAGGGGGCTATGGGCAGGGGTGGGATGTTTAGGGAGGGGATGGGGAGTGGGATAGGGAAGGGATGGGGGCTGCTGGAGCGGGAGGCGTCTGGAGAGGAGAGGAGGAGGAGTCTGGGGGTGAGGATGTGTAGGGAGGGGATGGGGGAGTTATGGGAGTGATGGAAAGGGGTGGGATAGGCATGGGATAGGGAGAGAATGTGGGATGGTACTGGCGGGAAGGAGTGTCTGGAGTGGAGAGAAGGAGGAGCCGGGGTGGGCTGGGGGGCTGTGGGAGGGAATGGGGTGGTTATGGGGATGGAATGGGATAGGGAGGAGGAATGGGATAGAGGAGGGGATGTAGAGTGGGACTGGTCGGGGGGTTGTCTAGAGGGGGAGAAGGAGGAGTCTGCGGGGTGGGGGTATGGGAGGGGGAGGGACCTACAGGGAGAGGATGGGGTGGCATAAGGAGGGAAGGGGGTGATATAGGGAGGCGAATGGCGCGGGGTGGGGCTAGGATCTCTCGAGGAGGGGAGGGATGGTGAGGGGGCAGGGGCCGCATGGGGGGTGGCGAGGAGGGGCCGGAGGGGCTGTATAGGGAAGGAAGGGGGTGACTGTATAGAGGGGGCGGGAAGGTGGGGAGGGGGCCCTACGGAGGGAGCTGGGGGCTGTATAGGGGGCGGGAGGATGGGGCTGCACAGGGTATGGGGGCTCTATAAGGGAGGCTTCTGAGGACATGTAGGGGTGTGTAGGGATATTCAGGGGCTGCTCAGGAAGGGGTAGGGGCATAGGTATAGGGAGGGGTAGGGGATATATGGGGGAGTAGGAAAGTCTATAGGAGGATCGGGGAGTCTAGGGGGATCAGGGGTCTCTGGTGGTGCCGGGGGTCTATGGGTGGGTCAGCGGGTCTGTAAGGATGCAGGGAGGGGGCTGGAGCTGTCCGACGGTGCCGATCGGGACCGGGGACGACAGGGGATGTGTAGGGGTCAGAGTGCCTGTAGGCACAGGGGTCTGTGGGGGCAGGAACTCTCCTGGGGGCGGTGAGGAGAAGGGGTCCATAGGGAGTTCGAAAGTCTACAGGGGGTGTCAGGGGTCTATGGGGAGGGGGTAAGAGGGGCAGGGGCCATGCATGGAGCGGGGCCGGAGCTGTCCGCGGTGCTGACTCGGGACTGGTCGGGTCCCCATGCCCGGGGCTGGCGGGACGGGCGTTGGGAGGGGACCCCATACAGCGTCCCGTTTTGGGGGTACAGAGCAAAGAGGCGGGCAGAGAGGCTGGAGGGCACGGGGGGCGGGGGGGGTGTGAAATGGGATCCCCACGCTGCCACTGGGGGGTCCTTCAGTGCCTCTCCAGCCCCTCCAAAGTAGGACCCCTATGAGGGTGAGGCCGGTTTGGTGGCACTACAAAGCCCAGCGGGGGCACAAAGACCTCCAGGGCACCCCCTGCCCCCCCACCTGACCCCGCCTCTTCCCCCCGAAATTCCCATTCATCCCAACATTCACATTTCCAGTCTTCATTCCTTTGGGGTTTGGGGAGCCATGGGATGAACACCAGGACATGGCTCCAATCCAGCCAGGATGTTCGGGCTCCAGGAGCTCCCACCAGGGTGTTGCACCCCCATTCCATGGGGGAAAACACTCCTTAGAGACTGAGCAGGATCTTTCCAACACGAGGGATAAACTCAAAAACTCACAGAGAAAATGTGCTTTTGTCACTGTCACAAAATCCCCCCCAGCAATTATTAAAACATTTCAAAAGATAAACTAGACTCGATGTTCCTTGTGGGTCCAACTCTGGATGTTCTGAGATTCCATAACCTTTGGCAGCTTCTCTGGTTATTTTTTTAAGCTGATTAAAGAACCTGAGACAATTCTGAGATCAATCCCAGGATCCCTGAGGTTGGAAAAGCCCTCCCAGCCCATGGAGCCACCCTGTGCCCCATCCCCACCTTGTCCCCCAGCCCAGAGCACTGAGTGCCATGGCCAGGCCTGCCTGGGACACCTCCAGGGATGGGCACTCCAAACCTCCCTGGGCAGCCCCTGCCAAGGCCTCACCACCCTTTCCAGCAACAAATTCCTCCTCAGGGCCAACCTGAGCCTCCCCTGGCACAGCTTGAGGCCGTTTCCCCTTGTCCTGTCCCTGTTCCCTGGGAGCAGAGCCCGACCCCCCCCCGGTTCCCCCCTCCTGGCAGGGACTTGCAGAGCCAGAAGGTCCCCCCTGAGCCTCCTTTTCTCCAGGATGAGCCCCCCCAGCTCCCTCAGGAGTTCTCCACACCCTTCCCAGCTCCCTTCCCGTCCCTGCACACACTCCAGCCCCTCCATGGCTCTCCTGGCTGAGGGCTCAGAACTGTCCCCAGGATTCCAGGAGGGCCTCCTCAGTGTAACCAGAAGTACAGAAACATATTTGGGAAATTTGGGAAAATTCCTTCCTGGAAAGGGCTGTCCAGCCCTGGCACACCTGCCCAGGGCAGGGGGGAGTCCCCATCTCTGGAGGGATTTCAAAGCCCTGGGGATGTGGCACTTGGGGACAGGGGTCAGTGGTGGCCTTGGCAGTGCTGGGTACAGTTGGACTCGATGGGCCCAGAGGGATTTTCCATCCCAAACAACTCTGGGATTCCTCGGTGGGGCCGAGCCCCCTGGAATGGCTCAGCCCGGTCACCCCCCAGCCCCACCAGCTCGGCTGAGGCTCAGGCTGGCACAGCTGGCACAGCAGCACAGATGCCTCCCCCCCACCCCCAGCCCTCCCTCTGACCCATCTGCCATCCCCAGCCCCCTGCCCCGCTGGGCTCCGCTCCCAGCACATCCCGTGGCTCCGGCTGCTGCCGGACATAATCCCGGCTCAGGGCACGGACACGGCTGGTCCCAGAGTTTATTGAGCAGCTAAGGGAGGGGGTGGCACAGGGGGGGTACAGGGTGTCCATGGGGTGGGCACGGGGTGTCTGTAGGGGTACAGGATGTCTAGGGGGGTATGGGGCAGGGGGTGCTCATGGGGAGGGGTACAGGGTTCCCATGGGGGGTTAGAGGGTGTCCATGGGTGGGCACAGGATGTTCAGGGTGGGTACAGGATGTCTGGAGGGTGGGTACAAGGTGCTCATAGGGGGGGTACAGGATGTCTGGGGTGGGTACAGGGTGTCTGTGGGGTGGGTAAAAGGTGCCCATAAGGGGGTCCAGGATGTCTGGGGTGGGTACAGGGTATCTGGGGCAGGTACAGGTTGTCTGGGGCGGGCACAGGGTGTCTGTGGGGCGGGCCCAGGGTGTCTGTGGTAGAGCTGTGTCCCCGCTGCTCTCAGCTCTGCTGTCCCTGCCCAGCCGGGGGGAGGCAGTGGGGGGGCTCTGCCCCCGTGCCCGGCTGCCCCTTGGCCAGGAGCAGGTCCAGGTAAGCCCCCGAGATCAGGTCGTCCTCCCCGACCCCCAGGGCCCGCAGCAGCTCCCGGGCCACGTGCTCCCCGTCCTGCACGCTCTGCTCCTGCCTCAGCACCACCTGCGGGCAGGGTGTGAGCCCAGGGCACCCCGGGGAGCCCCCCCAGAGCCCCCAGCCCGGCCCAGCCCCTCACCTCCAGCTCCAGGAAGTCGCCCAGCCCCTCCACGCGGTCCAGGTGCAGCCGGGTCTGCCCCACCAGGTAGAGGAGCCGCTCCTTCCTCACCACGCCCAGCACGCCCAGCGCCTGTGCCAGCACTGCCTGTGGGACAGGGGGCAGCTGGGGCTGTGCCAGGAGCCCCGGGGTACCGTGCCCCGGGTGCCCCAGGGCAGGGAGAGCTGTCCCGGGGGGTGGCCGAGCCCCCACCCCGCTCTCACCTCCAGCCCATCGGGGTCAGCTGTGGGGGTGATGGTGAAGCTGGAGAGCTTGGGGCCGGCGGTGTCGGGGCGCTCGTAGAAGATCAGCTCCCCCCGGCCATCCTGGGGCAGGGACACACAGGGACATCGGCACAGGGTCAGGGAAAGGTGGGGACAGGGCCAGACAGCGTCAGAGTCTGGGCCAGGGCCAGGGCGACACACACAGGGTTAGGGACAGGTAGAAGCAGGGTCAGTGTCACTCAGGGCAGGGGCAGGGGCAGGCAGGGGTGGGGACAGGTGGCAGAAGGGACGGGTGGTGGCAGGGGCAGGGACAGAGCCAGGTAGGGGAAGGGGCAGGATCAAGCCCAGCCCTCCCTCCCTCACCTCGCCCTTTACCTGTGTCCGCCGCAGCTTGAGCCGCCCCCGCGGGACGCGGAAGAACGTGTCGGCCTGGACGAGCAGCTGCCCTTGGGCTGTGCCCTGGGCGTGCCCCTCACCTGGGCACAGCTCACCTGGGCACAGCTCACCTGGGCACAGCTCACCTGGGCCCCCCCGCAGCAGCCGCTCGGCCGCCCCGCGCGCTTCCGCCAGCGCCCTCACCCGCGCCTTCACCTCCACGTTCCGCCGCATCCCGCCGAGCGCGCCCATTGGCTGCGGGGATTATATGTGCTCCCCGAGGTGAGACGCTATTGGATAGGCAAACCGTCAATCTCAGGAGGCGCGTTGCTATTGGTCAGAAGGCAGATTTCGCCCCGCCTCTCCCCTCTGCCACCGCCCCTCGGCCCAGCGGGACAGGGCGGGGGCGACCATGGCGGCCAAGGGGGGCCGCGGGACCGAGAGCGAGGACAGGACTGTCCCCGACGCCACCCGCCTGCAGGCCTACGCTTGGTGCCGGGAGTTCCTCGCCGGCTCCTGGAAGCTCATCAAGGCGGAGGAGTTCGGGATCGAGCCGGTCAGGTACAACGCGGAACCGGGGAGATGCGCGCCCCCCCCCCGCCCCCTCCGCGGTGGTCTCGTCCCGGGTTCGGGCCCCCGCCCAGTGTGCCCCAGTTGCCCCCAGCACTGGTGTCCCAGTCCCGCCCCCAGTGCCTCCCAGTTGCCCCCCTGGCCGGTGCCCCGGTTCCCCTCCCATTGTTCTCCGCTGTTTCCCGGTTGCCCGCCTGACTGGTGCTCCGGTTCCTCTCCCGGTGTCTCCTAGTTGCCTCCCTGCCCAGTCCCCCAGTACCCCTCCCAGTGCCCCACAGTTGCCCCCCCCCAACCGGTATCCCGGTCCCGCTACCTTTGTGCCCCAGTTCAGCCCTGGACCATCCACTCCCATCCCTCTCCCAGTGCCCGTTTCCCCGCCCAGGTGGTGCCCCCCAGTTGCCACCCCGCCTCCCAATGCCCCTGTTGCCCCCAAACCGGTGTCCCTGTCCCTTACCCAGTGTCCCAGCCAACCCTCCGGGTGCCTCGGTCCAACCCTGGTGCTCCTCTCCCTCCTGGTACCCGCTGTTCCCTGTCCCCCCGATGGCCCCCCATGCCCGGAGCTCCCCTGAGCTCCCCCATCCCACGCCGGGGGCTCCGTAACCGCTCCACGTGTGTGTGATCCCTGAGCGCGGGGGTCCATGCCTCTGCCCCCCTGGCTTCCCCTCGCTCCCAGTGCCCACCCCCGGTTCTCGGTGCCTCCCCGGTGCCCCCCCTGACGCCCCCCGTCCCGCAGCGGGGGGCTCAGTAACCTGCTGTACAAGTGCGCGCTGCCCGAGCACATCCTGAGCGTGGGGGACGAGCCCCGGCAGGTGCTGCTGCGAGTCTATGGGGTCATCCTGCAGGTGAGGGGGGCCCGGGGGAGACCCCCCCCCAAACCCGGGGGACCTCCCTGGGCAGCCCCGGGGCGGCTGCGGGGTCGGGGCTGTGCTGGGGTGAGGGAGCAGGGGCCCAAAGTTAAGGGAGGGGCTCTGGGGGGGCTCACGGGGTGGAGGGTGGAGAGCTCAGGGGGTGCTTACGGGGTGGGAGTTGCAGGATGGGGGTGCAGGGGTTGGGGTACCTGGGCTCTGTGGGGGCTCACAGGGTTGGGGGTGCCGGGGTGGGGGTTCCAGGGGGGTGGTACCAGGGCTCTGTAGGGTGTGGGGGTGCCAGGGTTCAGCTCTGGCAGTTCAGCTCGGGGGTCGCGCAGGGCCTGGGGTGCTGCTGTGGGGTCTCTGAGGTTCAGCTCTGGGGGTCTCACCACGGTGTGGGGTCTCTGAGGTTCCGTTCTGGGGGTCCCGCAGGGTGTGGGGTGCTGGTGTGGGGTCTCTGCTCAGCTGGGGGGTCCCGCAGGGCGTGGACTCGCTGGTGCTGGAGAGCGTCATGTTCGCCATCCTGGCCGAGCGCGCGCTGGGCCCGCGGCTCTACGGGGTGTTCCCGCAGGGCCGGCTGGAGCAGTACATCCCGGTAGGATTGGGGCTCCCCATCCCACCCGGGGGGGCTCTGTGCCCCCTCCCCGGGCCGGGCAGAACCCCTCAGCCACTGCCATGTCCCCCCAGAGCCGGCGGCTGCGCACCGAGGACCTGTGGGACCCCGACGTCTCCGGGGAGATCGCGGTGAAGATGTCCCGGTTCCACGGGATGGTGATGCCCTTCAACAAGGAGCCCAAGTGGCTCTTTGGGACCATGGAAAAGTGAGGGGAGGGCCCCCCAAAATCCCACCGGGATCATGGAGTGGTGGGGGGAGGCCAAATCCCACCAGGAGTATGAGGGAGAGGCCCTAAATCCCACCAGGAACATGGGGTGGTGAGGGGGAGCCCCAGATCCCACCAGGATCAGGGGGTGGGGAGAGGGAGCCCTAAATCCCACAGACCCCAGGGAGTAGTGAGGGGAGACCCCAAATCCCAGTGGGACCATGGACCGGTGAGGGGTGTCCCCAAATCTCACTGGATTGGAGGGTGGGGGTCCCAAATCCCACTGGGACAATGGAGTGGGGAGCCCCCAAATCCCACCAGGTCCAGAGCATTGGGGTGTTCTGGCTGCTTCCCATGGGCCAGGGATTTGAGGGGGTCCTGGGGTGGGGAGGGGGGCTTTGGGCAGGTGTAACCCCCAGGTGTGACCGTCCCCCACTGTCACCTGTCCCCAGGTACCTGAAGCAGATTTCTGAGCTCTCCTTCACGGAGAAGGCGCAGCTGGAAAAGTTCAACCTGCTCAAGGGTTACAACCTGGAGGAGGAGATGAGGAGCCTCAGGTGAGCCCCCCCAACACCCCCCACGGGGGTCTCCTCACAGGGGCTCTCAGGGCCACTCGGCTGCTCTCCTGTCCCTGTGTCCCTGGGGCGTTGGCCACTCCCCTGATGTCCCCTGTCCTCGTGTCCCTGTGTCCCCCCTGTCCCCATGTCCCTGTGTCCCCCATGTCCTTGGTATCTCCTGTGTCCCCCATGTCCCTGTGTCCCCACGGTGGGTGTCCAAAGACCTGCCGCTTCCCGTCTCTCCCTCGCTCAGGGACCTTCTGGAATCCACCCCATCCCCGGTGGTTTTCTGCCACAACGATGTCCAGGAGGGTGAGTGTGACAGGGGGTGGCTGCAACCCCCTTGAACCCCCCCCAAAGTCCCTCAGATCCCACCCAAGCCCCCGATCCCCGATTCCCACAGGGAACATCCTGCTCCTGGCGGGACACGAGACCTCGCCCTCGGACAAGCTCATGCTCATCGACTTCGAGTACAGCAGCTACAACTACAGGTGGGGCTGGGGGAGCCCTGGGGGGCCTTGGGGTGGTCCAAGGGGGTGTCTCTGCTGACCCTCCTCTTCCTCAGGGGCTTCGACATCGGGAACCACTTCTGTGAGTGGGTTTACAACTACACCCACGACTCCTGGCCCTTCTTCAAGGCTTCCCCGGAGAACTACCCCAGCCGGCAGCAGCAGGTGGGGGCCTGGCCTCGGGGGAGGTCCGGGGGGCGGGTCCAGGGTGTGGTTCCAGCCCGTTCCATCCCTTCGCAGCTGCATTTCATCCGGCACTACCTGTCGGAGGACTCGGGGCACCGCGGGGACACCACGCACGAGGAGCAGGCGCGGATCGAGGAGGAGATGCTGACGGAGATCAACCGGTGAGGCAGGGCGTCCCTGTGCCCGTGTGGGGCTGTCCTGGGGCTCATGGGGGGTCCCTGTGCCTGTAGGGACCGTCCTAGAGCATGTGGGGGGGTATCTATGGCTGTGGGCAGTTCTGGTACCCACGGGGACCATCCTGGGTCACATTCCCCAAACCTGCCCCATCCTGTGTGTGTGTGGTGGGGGGGGGGCACAGGGGGTACCAAGGGTCTCATGGCTGCTCTCCCCACCACCAGGTTCGCTCTGGCCTCCCACTTCTTCTGGGGCCTGTGGTCCATCCTGCAGGCCAAGATCTCCACCATCCAGTTTGGGTACCTGGTGAGCACTGGGGTGTCCCCTCCACATCATCCTCTGTCTGGGGGGGTTAAGGGGGTCTCAGGGGGTTCCAGCAGTCCCTGACTCCCCCTTTTCCCTCCCCAGGACTATGCACAGAGCCGCTTCCAGGCCTATTTCCAGCACAAGGCTGAGTGTTCCTGACCGAGAGAGGCCCCCCAAGCTCTGCCTGTGCCCCCCTCGGGACCCTCTGCCCTCCCAGTGCCCCTGGGAAAGCTGGGACACTTTGTCCCCCCTTCCCATGAGGGCCAGAACAGCTGGGGGGCTGTAACAGTTATGGGGCTGTAAGAGTTTGGGGGGGGCTGTTGAAACGGTTGGAGGGGTCATTGTAAAACGGTTTGGGGGGGCTGTTATAACGGTTGGGGGGCTGTAACGGTCTGGGGGGCTGTAATAGTTTGGGGGGGGCTGACACACCACCCCCTGCTCCCCAGGACTCCCCAGCAGAGCGGGCACAGAGGTGGGTCTGCCAGGCACGTGCCCCCCCCACCCCACCCAGGAAGGAAAATCCTGTTTGGAGGGGTGGGATGTGGAGGGGGGGGCTGGGGGAGCCCCCAGTTTAAAGTCCCCACCCCTCGGCCCACACCCTGGATGGGGGGTCCAGGCAGGGGTGCTGAGGGGTCCCAGGGTGCTGCTGGGGGCAGAGGGGTGTGGGGGGACCCCTGTTTGTACCTCATTCCCCCCCCACGCCCCCTCCCCAGAGCCCTGAGGCCGGGGGGGGCTGCCTCGGCCCCCCCACCCCGACAGCTGAATGTAAATCTGACCAATAAACCCTCAGTGGTGCCGGCTCCTGCTCTCACCTCCTCATTCCCCCCTCCCCAAACCCTGCCCTTTTCCAGCACCGCCCCCAGCCCGATCTCCAGTGGTTGGAGGGAGGGGGTGCATTGGATTGCTGGGAGTGAAGGCGGCTCCTGGGGGGCCAGGGACACACGTGGGTTGACTTGGGGGCTGCGGGGGGGCCGAGTCCCAGCGCACCCCCACGCTGCTGGCCCAGTCCCCCCTGTCCCCACGCACTGGCTCTTGGGGGCGGGGGCTCCTCCCCACCCGGGGGTCCCTCCCCCGGGGCCCCGGCCTGAGCCCTCCACCCGGAACTGGGGCACCCAGATGGGGGTCCCGGTGTCGGTGACCCCTCCAGCGTGTGGGCAGCTGCCACCGGGCTGGTCTGGCCCAGCGGGCAGGTGACAGGCAGGTGACAGGACAGGGGACAGGCAGGTGACGGTGCAGGGATTGAGCGTGGTGGCAGCGGCCCTCCCCGCCCTGCTCCGGGCAGGGACCCCCGAAGCCCCCGGCCCCCGTCGGGGACCTGCCCGGGGGTGCAGGTGCCTGTCCCGGGGTGCAGGGATCCCCCGGGATGTCCGTGCCACGCCCGGGGTACCGCTCCTCCACCGGGATGTCATTCCCACCCTCGCGGTGCCGGTCCCTGTCGCGGGATATGAGGTGTCCTCCCCGGGCCGTGTGGGTCCCCCCGGGGATGCCGGTCCCGCTCCCGAGGTGTTGATCCCTGACCCGGGATGTGACTCCGGGCCCGGGATGTGTGTGCGTGTCCCTGTCCTGGGGCCGTGGGGGTCTCTGTCCCGTGGGTGTCGGGGTCCCCCCCGGGATCCCGGTCCCCCCGGGGGCGGGGCGGCTCCGCTGCCACTCGGGGCCGGGCAGCGGGTCCCGCCCGCCGCCGGTGTCCGGTTACCGGCCCCGGGGCCGCAGGAGCCGCCGTCCCGCGGAACCGCCGCCCCCCGCGCCCACGCAGGAGGCACCGGAGGTGAGGGCACTCACGGGGACCCACGCGTGGGGGACCCCCACGGGGGCGGGAGAAGTGCTGGGAGCGGGGAGACACCCCCGACCCCAGGGGACCCGCTCCCCGCCCCGTTGCGTCGCGCCCGGCACCGGGGCCCACCCGTGTCCGTGGGGAGGGCCCCCCCACGCCCCTCGTCCCACGGCGTGGCTGCGGGTCCCGCCTGGGGCTCCCACGCAGGATCCCACGGGGGGTTCCCTGCCCCGCCGCCCCCAGCGGAGCGCCGGAGTGGAGCCCGGCCGCACGCGTGGACTGCGTGGGGAGGGCAGGGGGAGCGGCAGGGCCGCCCCCGGAGGGGCCGCGGGGGCTGCGCGTCCCGGCCCCGGCGCCCCTGTGACCTTGGGTGGGGCGAACGGGGGGGGGCACCGGGTGGGAGGGTCCACGGGGGGCTCGTCCCACCCGCGGGTGGCACAACCTGTGTGGCGGGCGGGGCAGTGCCGGGCCGGGCTGTGCCGTGCCAGGCTGGGCAGTGCCCCCCAGGCAGTCCGTGCCATGCAGCGCGGGGTGATGGCACAGAGAGGGGCACGGTGCCCTGCAGGGCGTGGGGACAGGGCTTAATGTGCAGGGCTTGGTTTGGTGTGCTGTGCCACGCAGTGCCACGCCAGGCCAGGCCATGTGGGGCACAATGGGGTGCAGTTTGATGCCATGGGGTGCAGCCATAGAGTACTGTGGGCACAGTGGTGCCGGTGTGAGCAGGTTCCTGCTGAGCTGCAGCCGTTGTCTTCAGCCCAAGGACACCCGTGGGAAAGGGCCCCCTGAGCTCCCCCGCGCTGGGAAGGGTCACCCCCAGCCTCAAACCCCCGAGGCCGGGGCTCCAGCAGCCCCCGCGGGCACAGCACCCACAGGCTTGGCACCGGCCGTGCCAACGCCAAGGGGATCCCTGAGCCACGGTGACACAGTGACTTTGTGGCACCCCCGGAGGGAGGGTCCCTGAGGACCCGGCTGTGCCAACACCAGGTGGGATTCCGGCCCCACGATGACACAGTGACTTTGTGGCACCCGTGGGAGGGAGGGTCCCCAAGGAGCCCTGGCTGTGCTGACGCCGGTGAGATCCCGGCCCAGCAGTGACAAGAGGGACTTGGTGGCACCTCCGGAGGGGGGTCCCCGGGGACCCTCAGCTACGTCGACACCAGTAGGATCCCTGCCCTGTGGTGACACAGGGGCTTCACGGCACCCTCAGAGGGAGGGTCCCCAGGGCCCCCTAGCTGTGCCCACAGGGAGGGTCTCCGCTCATCCCGCGGCTCCCGCTCAGCGGGCAGCGTTCCCGCAGGGACGTGGGGACAGAGTGTGCCGTGTGCCAGGCCAGGGGACACCGTGTGCCACGTGCCATGTGCCGGGGCAGGTGCTGCCCCGTCCTGCGCGGGTTTGGCGGCGGGCAGGGCCCGGCAGCTGCCCGGGAGCCGGGGGTGTCCTCAGCGACGTCCCCTCTGACGGTGCCGGCTCTGACCCTTGGCTCAGTGGGCACCGGGCCAGCGCCGCGTGACGCCGCCGTGGCACGGGCTGGGGGGCTCCCGCCGGCCACCGCCCGCCGGTGCCGCACCCGGGTGACACCCGGGGAGCCCTGGCACCGCCTCGGGGGGTGGGTACCCATTGACCCCCCCTCCGTGTGTGGCACAGTGCCAGGCGGGGTCCCCCAGCCACCCCAGTGTCCCCCGTCCCTCCCGGGCAGCGCGTGCCGGGGGACTGCCATCCCCGTGCCCATCACCCTCGTGTCCCGCCGCAGGTGCCAGCAGCCCCCCAGGATGGCGGAGGCCCACCAGGCCGTGGCCTTCCAGTTCACGGTCACCCCCGAGGGCTTGGACTTCCACCTGAGCCGCGAGGCCGTGCGGCAGCTCTACCTCGCCGGCGTCTCCTCGTGGAAGAAGCGCTTGGTCCGCGCCAAGGTGGGCTCGGCCCCCCTTCTGTGCCCCCCACACCCCTCCCCGCCAGCTACCCCCCAGCCTTCCTGACCCCTCTGTGCCCACAGAACAGCTTCCTGACCGGCGTGTACCCCGCGTCCCCCTCCAGCTGGATGGTGGTGGTCCTGGCCACTGCAGGCTCCTGCTACTGCCAGGTGGACCCGTCCCTGGGGCTCATCGCCCGCATCCGGCACTGCCTCCCCCACAGGTGAGGGGGTGGGATGGGGCACGGCCCCCGGCCATGAGGATGGGCCCCCAGACAAGGGGATGAGCCCCTAGCCACCTCCTGTGGAGGGACTCCAACCCCCAGCATGACCAGGGGGACCTGTGGCATCCCTGGGGGGTCCCCCCCTACACACCCCCACCCCATGGGCATGACCCAGGGCTCCCATCCCATGGGAACAGCCTCATTTGGGTAAAATTCTTGGGGAGTCCTATTTCAGGGCACGGCCCCATTTGGGGATGTCCCTAAGAGGGTCCCCCGAGCCAGGGACATCCCCCAGGGGACCCACCCCAGACATCCCCGCAGGACATCTCCCAAGGGGTGCCACCCCCTGGGCACAGCCCCGTTTGGGGACATCCTCAGGTGGTCCTGTCTCTCCTGTCCCCCCCTCACGCCATGTCCCCCGTGTCCCCAGTGAGGTGCTGACCCCCCAGGCCCGCACGGTGGTCAGCACCGTGCTGTTCTCCACGGGGGCGTGGCTGGCGGCCGTCCTGCTCTTCCGGAGGGTGCTCCGGATCCTGCTCTCCTACCACGGCTGGATGTTCGAGCCCCATGGGCACATGAGCCGCAGCACCCGGCTCTGGGTGGTGAGTGGGACCCACACCCAGCACCCGCTGGGGGGGCTCGTGGGTGTTTTGGGGTGCTGTGGGAGTGGTTTGAGCCACGAGAGCTGTGGGAGCTTGGGGTGCCGTGGGACCCTCGGGAGATGTGGGAGCTGTGGGTGCTTGGGGTGCACTGGGAACTGTGGGAGCTGTTGGAGCTTTGGGAGGTGTGGGAGCCGTGGGTGCTGAGGGAGCTGTGGGAGTCATGGGTGTTGTAGGTGCTGTGGATGCCGTGGGTACAGTGGGAGCCCTGGGAGCTGTGGGAGCTGTGGATCCTCACCCCACCCCTCCTCCTGCTCCCCCCCAGGCAGTGATGAAGATCATGTCCATCCGCAAGCCCCTTCTCTACAGCTTCCAGAGCTCCCTTCCCAAGCTCCCGGTGCCCCCCGTGGAAGCCACCATCGCCCGGGTACGCCATTCCCATGGCACTGGGGGTCCCCCCGTGGTGTGGCAGTGCCAGGGGGTCACCGGTGTCCCCTCCTGCAGTACCTGGAGTCGGTGAGGCCACTGCTGGATGATGAAAAGTACAAAGAGATGGAGGCCTTGGCCAAGGAATTCCAGGAGAAGACGGCACCGCGACTCCAGCGGTACCTGCGCCTCAAATCCTGGTGGACCACCAACTATGTGAGCGTGGGGGGGGTCACCTAGGACGGGATGGATCCCCCTCCAGCATTTGGGATGGTGACCATGGACCTGGTGTCTTCCCCAGCAGCATGAGGAGGGATTTGGGGTCTCCTGGGTGTCCTGGCTGTGGCAGTAGGGGCAGAGGGTCCTGTGCCCTGTCATGGTCACCATCCCCTGTTTCTGCCCCCTGTCCCTTTCCCCATCCCTGTTCCCTACTTTTGCCCCTGTCCCCATCCATGTCCCTGTCCCCTATCCTCTGTTCCCTCTCACTGTCTCCTGTCCCTGCTCCCTATCACCATCCCTATCCCCTGTCCCCTCTCCCTGTCCCTTTTCCTGTCCCTATCTCTCTTCCTCTCCCCTCTCCTTTTCACCTGTCCTTGTCCTCTCCTCTGTCCTTATCCCCATCCCTGTCACTATACCTGTCCCTGTTCCCTATCCCTGTCCTGCCTCTCTGTCTACTGTCCTTGTTCCATGTCCCTGTCTCTCTCTCCCTGTCCCCTTGTCCCTGTCCCCATCCCTGTCCCCTCTCCCTGTGCCATCCCGTCCCTGTTCTCTCTCCCTGTCCCTGCTATCCCTGTCTACCCCGTCCTGTTCCCTATCCCCATCCCTGTCCCTGTCCTCTCCTGCCTTCCCCGTCCCTGCCGCTGTCCCCGCAGGTCAGTGACTGGTGGGAGGAGTACGTTTACCTGCGCGGCCGCAGCCCCATCATGGTCAACAGCAACTACTACGCCATGGTAAGGGGGGCGGGGGGGAAAGGATAGCCGGAAACACCTCCGGGGGCCCCCCCCGACATCGTCCCCGAGCCGTGTCCCTTGTCCCCAGGATTTCCTCTACGTGACCCCCACCCACATCCAGGCTGCGCGGGCGGCCAACGTGGTGCACTCGATGCTGCTGTACCGGCGGCGGCTGGACCGAGGGGAGATCCCCCCGGTGAGGGGGCTGGGGGGGAGATCCCCCCGGTGAGGGGGCTGGGGGGGCACCGAGGGAGCTGGGGTGTCCCGTGGGGTTGAAGGAGCAGGGGATTCTGTGGAGCTGAGGGGACTGGGGTGTCCCAGGGGGCTGGAGGGGTTGGGAGGGTCCCATGGGGCTGGGGGGACTGGGGGCACCCCATGGGGTTCAGGGAGCTGGGGGCGTCCCGTGGGGCTGAGGGGTCCGGGGTCCCATGGGGCTGGGGGACTCGGGTGTCCCATGGGGCTGGAGGGGCTGGGGATGGTCCTGTGGGCTGTGGGAGTCCCGGTGGGGCTGGGGATGGTCCCATGGGGCTGGAGGGGGTTGGGGATGGTCCTGTGGGGCTGCAGGGGTCCCATGGGGCTGGGGTGGCTGTGGCTGGGCACACTGAGGGGGCTGGAAGAGCAGGGAGGGCTGCAGGGCAAGGGCAGAGCCAGAGAGGAGTCACCGTGGGGCCGGCGGGGGACTCGAGGGAGCCGGTACTGGGGGACACAGAGGGTGGAAGTGGGTGCACAACCCCCTCCAACCTCTGTCTCCCCCCCAGATGATGGCACTGGGTGTCGTGCCCATGTGCTCCTACCAGTCAGAGCGGATGTTCAACACCACCCGCATCCCGGGCAAGGAGACGGGTAGGGGGCAGGGTGGGGCACGGATCCTGGGGAGGTCCCACCCCGAGGGATCCCATGCCAGGGGGTGGCCGTGACCCCCACCCGTGGCCCCCAGACACGCTGCTGCACCTGGCGGACAGCAAACACCTGGCCGTGTACCACAAGGGCCGCTACTACAAGGTGTGGCTTTACTACGGCGGGACGATCCTGCCTCCCGCCGACCTGGAGCTGCAGTTCCAGCGCATCCTGGACGACCCCTCGCCCCCACAGCCCGGGGAGGAGCGGCTGGCAGCGCTCACCGCCGGGGAGAGGTGCACGGCGGGCACCGCGGTGGGCACGGCGGGAACACCGGGAATGCTGGGGAGGCCGGGCGCATTGGATACACTGGGAACACTGGGCATGCTGGGCATACTGGGCAGAGCAACCGCACTGGGCAAGCTGGGCAGACTGGACACACTGGGGACACTGGGCACCTGGGAACACGGGGAATAGGGGGCATACTGGGAGCACTGGGCACGCTGGGAACGCCAGGCATACTGGGAACATGCCAGGCATGCTGAGCACACTGGGGACACTGGGAACACTGGGCAAACTGGGTGGGTGTGTGAGGCACTCTGGGAATACTGGGCACACTGGAGATACTGGGAACACCAGGCACACCGGGTATGTGAGGCACACCAGGATCACTGGTAGTGCTGAACACACTGGGTCAAGAGAGGCTCCTGCACCCCATCCCTGTCCCCAGTCCTCTCCTTGTTCTGTCCCCAGTCTCACACCGGGCACCTTGTGGGTGCTGCCCGGAGTGCTGGGGGTGGGTACCAGGACACGGGACACGCCCTGGCATCACCCGTGGGTGGGGGGGCTCAGGTGGGTCAGGGTAGGGGGCAGGAGGCTGGGGGGCTCTGTGGGACGGGGTGGGCATCACCCACCCTGCTTTCCCACGGCTCCCAGTGCCGGACCCCGAGACCACCCCTGCCTGGGGAACCCCGTGTGGGCAGCGGGGGGTCGGGGGGGGTGTGGGTGCCCCCTGCCCTGACCGGGGGTCCCGCAGGGTGCCCTGGGCCGAGGCGCGCGCCCGATTCTTCAGCCACGGCCCCAACAAGACGTCTCTGGATGCCATCGAGCGCGGGGCCTTCTTCCTCACGCTGGACGAGGAGGAGCACGGCCAGGAGCCCGGCACGCCCGGCTGCATGGACGCCTACGCTAAGTCCCTGCTGCACGGCCGCTGCTACGACCGGTGGGCACCCCAAAAACCTCCCCAGCACCCCCACATCTCCAGCCAGCAACCCGAGATACCCCCGACACCACCCCCCCGCTCAGCCTGCTGCGTGATCGCTGGGTGGGCACCCCAAACACTCCCCCAGCACCCTCAAACCTTCCTCAGCACCCTCAGACCCCCACCCAGACTCCCAGTGTCCAAGTCCTTGCTGCTACAGCTGGTGGGCACCCCAGAACCCTCCAAACTGACCCCCAGCACCCTCAGATATCCCACCACCCCCAGACCCCCACCCAGACCAAATCTCTGCTGCTGTGACCAGTGGGCACCCCAAAACCCCCGGAGCCACACCCAGGCCCTCATCCAGCAGCCCCAGCCCCCCCCCAGTCCCCCGGCACCCAAATCCCTGCTGCACGGCCACTGCTATGACTGGTGGGCACCCCGGGACCCCTGGAACCCCACCCATCTCTCCCAGACCCTCCAGTGCCCTGAGACTCCCCTAAACGCCTCACCTACCCCCTCAAACCCTTCCCCCTGCAGTTCCTCGGTGCCGCCCTGCCCTCATCCCCCCCACTCCCGGTGCCCCCTGCCCTCCCAATGCCACCCCGATGCCCCCCGGGTGCCCCCCTAGCCCTCCCCTCGCTGCCCCCCAGGTGGTTCGACAAGTCCTTCACGCTGGTGGTCTACAAGAACGGGAAGGTGGGGGCCAACGCCGAGCACTCCTGGGCTGACGCGCCCATCGTCGGCCACCTCTGGGAGGTAACGGGGAGTGGGGGGCACCCCCGGGGTGGGCACTCCCATGGGGACCCCTGTGGTGCACCCCAATGCTGGAGACCCCTGTTTGACACCCCCCCCAAGCTGAGCAAACAAACTCATTTGGGACCCTCAATGGGCACCCCCAAAACTTGGCACCTCTGTCCTGGGCATGGGGGGGTGGGGGGTGGGTTTGAGGTGGATGGAGTGACTCTGGAGAGGTTTGGGGGGCTGTGGGCTCAGGGAGTTGGGGCACCAGGAGGTTTGGGGAGACAGGGGGTCTTAGGGATGCTGGGGGACTGGGGAATTGGAGGTCTGGGGGGCCATGGAATTGGGGGGTCAGAGGGCCAGAAGGCTTGGGAATTTGGGAGCTGGGGGTCCAAGGGGCTGAGGGATCATGGAGTTGGAGTTCAGGGGGCTCAGGGGATTGGGGGTCTCTGTGTTCAGGGGGTCAGGGGCAGGTGTCCCCCTCCCACGACCATTGTCCTTGTCACCCCCAGTTCATGCTGGCGACGGACAAGTTCCAGCTGGGGTACACGGAGGGGGGGCACTGCAAGGGGGACCCCAACCGCCAGCTGGCCCCACCCCAGCGCCTGCAGTGGGACATCCCCCCCGAGGTGAGACCCCCGCTGGGGCCGGGGGGGGGTGGTGTGGGTGCTGGTGCCAGTGCAGCTACTGGTGCCACGTTGGTGCCACATTGGTGCCGTGTTGGTGCCACATCAGTGCCGTATGGGTGCCATAATGGTGCCATGCCGTGCCGCCCCCCTCCCCCCCCAGGGCGTGGCGGCCATCGAGGGCTCCCTGCGGGTGGCCCGGGCCCTGGCGGACGACGTGGATTTCTGCTGCTTCCCGTTCTCCACCTTCGGGAAGGGGCTGATCAAGCGCTGCCGGACCAGCCCCGACGCCTTCATCCAGATCTCCCTGCAGCTCGCGCACTTCCGAGTGAGCCGGGGTGGGAATGCCGGGGTGTGGGGGGGCGGGATGGGGTGAGGTGAGGTGGGAATGGTGAGGGATGGGTGGGTTGGGGTGGAGGAGGGTGGGAACGGAATGGAGATGGAGGTGCGAATGGCACAGAGATGGAGGTGGGCGTGGGGTGCGGATGGGAGGGATGGGATGGAGTGGAATTGGATGGGTAGGGGTGAGCTTGGGGACAGGCATGGGGATGGATATTGAGATGAGATAGGGGCAGGAATGGAAATAGGGATGCAGATGGGGATGGTGTGTGAGTGGGACAGGGACAGGATGAGGTGGGATGGGATGAGACAGGGTGGATGGGGAAAGGAATAGGAATGGAGAGGGGAAGGAGATGGGGATGGGATGGGATATGGATGAGACAGGGATGGGGATAGGGTGGAATGGAGATGTGCTGGGGATAGGGCCAGGTGCAGGATGAGGGTGGGATGTGAATAGGGCCAGGGACCAGCATGGTGCTGGGGCCAGCCCCCTCACTCCCTGATCCATCATTCCCACAGGACAAGGGCTCCTTCTGCCTGACCTACGAGGCCTCCATGACGCGGCTGTTCCGCGAGGGCCGCACGGAGACCGTTCGGTCCTGCACGGCCGAGGCCACGGCCTTCGTGCGCAGCATGGCCGACCCTCGGCACAGCGTGAGCCTTCCTGGGGGTCCCCAGCCCTCCTGGGGGTCCCTGTCCCTTGGGGGGGTTCCCCATCCCTCGTGGAGATCTACACCTCTGGCAGATGGTTCTACTCCTTGGGAATGGCCCTGTCCCTGGGGACAATGCCCACCTCTGGGGAGGCCCCCATCCTTCCTGGGGGTCCCATCCCTCCTGGGGGTCTTCACCTCTGGGAGAGAACCCTATTTCTTGGGGACATCCCCATCCCTGGAGCCATGTGCCCACCTCTGGAGTAGCTCCCTGTCCCTTGGAGAGATCCCTGTCCCTGAGGAGGTCCCTGTTCCCAGGAAGGGTCCTGCCCTGTAGGGACGTCCCTGTCCCTGTGGAGCTCCCACCCCGGAGGGATTTCCCTCTCCCGGGAGGGTCCCTGTCCTTCTTGGCACCACCTCCCTCCCCGGGCAGGATGGGAGCCGTGGGGTGCGGGTTGGGGTGCGGGTCAGGGTATCAGGTCGGAGTTTCAGGTCGGGGTGTCAGGTCGGGGTTCAGCCCCCCCTCCCCGCCCCCCCGCAGCGCTCGGAGCGGCAGAAGCTGTTCAAGGCGGCGGCCGAGAAGCACCAGCAGCTTTACCGCCTGGCCATGACCGGCTCCGGCATCGACCGGCACCTCTTCTGCCTCTACCTGGTGTCGCGGTACCTGGGCACCCAGAGCCCCTTCCTGGCCAAGGTCAGCGGGGAGGGTGCGGGAGGTTACAGGACACGGCGAGGGCAGGGGGCAAGGGGTGTCACGAGGGGAGGGCACAGGGGGACAGGGACACGATGGGGACGTGGGGTGGGGACAGCACACGGAGGCACGGGGGGGTTGAGCACGGACACTGAAGGGGCACGGGCGGAGAAGGACACGCGACACCGGGGGACGAGGGGGGTACGGGGGGGACAGAGGACACTGCGGGTGCACGGGGAGGGCACAGGCGGAACAGGATATGAGGGCACGCAGGGAAGCGCGGGAGGGACGAGGGAGGGCAGAGGGGGCGGAACCGCCCCCCCTCCCCTTATGCGTCACCGTATGTTGTGTCCCACCCTGGGGGTGCCCCCGCTCTGGGCCCTGGGGTACAGTCACTGGGGTGCACTGGGGTGCCCCGGGGCACAGCGGGGTGCGGTGGGAGGTGGCGGGGTGCCCCGGGGTGCAATGGGGTGCGGTGGAACGTGGCACGGGGGTGCCCGGTGGGTGCACATGGCGGGTGCACTGGGGTGCCCCAGGGCACAGCGGGGTGCGGTGGGAGGTGGCGGGGTGCCCCGGGGTGCAGTGGGGTGCACTGGGGTACCCCGGGGCACGGTGGGGTGCGGTGGGACGTGGCGGGGTGCCCCGGAGCGCAGGGGTGCAGCGAGCGGCCCCGCAGGTGCTGTCGGAGCCGTGGCGTCTCTCCACCAGCCAGACCCCGCAGCAGCAGCTCAAGATGTTCGACCTCAACAAATACCCCGACCACGTGTCCAGCGGCGGCGGCTTCGGCCCCGTGAGCACCGGGGGTGGGGGCTCGGGGGGCACGGGGGCTCTGGGGCAGCGCGGCGAAGGGGGTGGGGATACAAGGGTGGCTGTGGGAGGCTGTAGTACATCCCCCCCACGGCTCTGGGGTAGGTGGATACCCCACATCAGGTGCTCCCAGTAAGTGTCTCATGCTAGTGCCCCCGGCCCCACAATGAATGCCACAGGTAGGTGCCTCACAGCCCAGGTGGGTGCCCCAGGTGAGTACCAGGTTCCCCCAGGTGCCCCGCGGCCCCTCACCACCCCCCTCCGCAGGTGGCAGACGATGGTTACGGGGTCTCCTACATCATCGCCGGGGAGAACCTCATCACCTTCCACGTGTCCAGCAAGTTCTCCAGCCCCGAGACGGTGAGGGAGCCGGGCACGGGGGCTCGGGAGGGAATGGAGGGCTGTGGGGTCACCTGTGGGTCTGGGGCAGCTCCTGACCCTGGCCTTGACTCTGCTGCATCACGGCCCCCTCCTGTGGGACCCCCACCCCATTCCAGTTCCCCTCCTGTGAGACCCCCACCCCATTCCAGTTCCCCTCCTGTGGGACCCCCACCCCACGCGGGTGCAGGATCTGTGGGGGTCCCACAGTGCAGGGTTGCCCCTGGATGGGGAAGGGGATTCAGGTCCTGCTCGGGGAGGTCCAGGTTCCACTCTGGGGGTGCCAGGTCCCTGTTTGGTCCATGCCAAGGACATGCCAAGGGTCTCAGGGTGCAGGGGGTGCCACCAGGGCAGGCGGGGGGGTGCCGGGTCCCACTCTGGGCACTGGGTCCTGCTCGGGGGGGTCCGGGGGCTGAGGGGTGCTGCCCGTGCAGGACCTCGTGGGGGTCTCAGGGCACAGTGCCCCTGTGACACGGATGGTGAGGGGGGGGAGTTGGGCAAGTCCCACTTGGGGGGTTTGGGTCCCGCTCTCAGCGGGGGAGGAACGTCCCATTTTGTGACATTCTGGGGGTCCAGATCACTCTCGGGGGGATTGGGGTCCGGGTCCCACTCTGGGGGTCACACATCCCACTCGGGGGTCAGGGGGCTGGGCGGTGCTGCCTGTGCAGAGGGAGGGGGACCAGGTGAGGGGGCCGGGACGGGGGCTGAGCGGTGCCGCCCGCAGGACTCGCAGCGTTTCGGCCGGAACATCCGTCAGGCCATGCTGGACATCGCGGCGCTCTTCGACAAACCCCCACCCGCCTCGGGGAAGTGAGCGGGGGACGCCGGCCCGGCGGGGACACGGGGGACGCTTGGCGGGGCCGGGGCACCACTGCTCTGTACCTGCTCCCAATAAAGGCTGTTGGTGTGACCCCAGCTGTGCCACGGGGCTGGGGACCCCTCCCCTCGCCGGGCAGGGACCCCCGGGGGTGTGTCCACAGCGTGTAGCCATGAGGGACATCCGTGGGGTGCTGGGGGCTGCGTCCGTGGGGTGCCAGGGTTGTGTCCACATCGTGTAGCCATGAGAGACATCCGTGGGGTGCTGGGGGCTGCATCCGTGGGGTGCCAGGGCTGTGTCCGTGGGGTGCCAGGGCTGTGTCCGTGGGGTGTACCCGTAGGGGCTGCATCCATGGTGTGCCGGGTGCTGCATCCATGGGGTGTCGGGGTGTATCCGTGGGGTGTCGGGTGTATCCGTGGGGTGCCCACGGGGGGCCCGGTGGGCACCGACCAGGGAGGTCCGCGGGTGCATCAAAAGCGTCGTCGCTGGGGCGCTGAGGCGGCGCCCGGTGATCCGTGCCCTTTCCCAGGGAGCGGTGCCCATCCCCGGGGAGCAGCGCCCGCCGGGCTCCGCCTGCGTGGCGGTGACGGGGGGTGCGCAGCGGGGCACGGCGGCAGGGACGGGCACTGCGCAGAGCTCCTCGGCCGTGTCCGGGCTGGGGGGGTCGCCTCGCCCCGGATGGCACCGCGCTGGCACCGTCCCCCGCTCCGCCGCCACCACCCGCACCCGCCCGGCGCCGCCAACGCGGAGCCACCGGCGGGAGAGGGGCCAGGCCGGGACAGGGGTGGGGAGACCCCCGGGAGAGGGGCCGGGCCGGGACAGGGGTGGGGAGCCCCCCGGGAGAGGGACCAGGCCGGGACAGGGGTGGGGAGACCCCCGGGAGAGGGGCCGGGCCGGGACAGGGTGGGAGATTCCCGCCATGGGCGAGGGGCTAGGCCAGAAACAGGAACAAGGAACCCCCGCAGGCGCCCCCCGGCCTGGGGGACATCTCATGGGGTCATCGTCACCCTCCTGGCACCTGGGGCTGTGTCCTGCACCCCGACCCCCTATTGGGGTGATGCCCTGCCCCCATGTTGGGGTTGTGTCCTCCCCTGGGCCCCCCGGCTCAGCCCCATCCCCGGGTCTCCGAGCTGGGACCTGGACCCTCCTGTGTGCTGTGGGGACGCCGGTGGGTGCCAGGTGGGTGCTGCTGCGAGTGGCTGTGCCAGGGCCCTGGAGTGTGTCCCTCGGTCCGTGTCCCTCAGTCTGTCCCTTGGTCCGTGTCTCTCGGTCTGTCCCTCTGCCGGTATCTGTCGGTCCGTGTCCCTCGGTTTGTCCCTCGGTCCGTGTCCATCAGTCCTTGTCCCTTGGTCTGTCCCTCAGTCTGTGTTCCCTGGTCCGTGTCCATCGGAGGCGCGCCGCTCCCACTCCCTTATCTGATCCCGCGTGGGCTCCCAGCCCAGCCTGGCGACAGGCCTGGGCAACCCTCGGCACCCTCACCCCCCTCACCCTGCTCAGGGCGGGGGGCACCCATACAGGGGACAGGGGACAGCCCCTGCCCCAGAGTGTGCCCCCAGCACCCCCGTCCCCTCCAGGTCTGTGCCCGCCGTGGGGGGGCTCACACAGAGCTGTGGCCGTGGCCCAGCACTGAGCCCCCATCCCGGTGGGTGCACCCCAGACCCTCTGTGGTGAGCCCCAGAACCTACCGAGGACCCCCAGGAGCTGCAGGAGGGTGATAGTGACCCCAGGGCACAAGCAGGGGGAGGGAGGATGCCACAGGACCCACGGTGCCCCCAGCACAGCCCAACCCCCCGGGGGTCCCTGCCTGGCACCCCAAGAGCAGGGGCAGCATCCCGGGGTGCCGGGAGGCTCGGGGCAGGTCAGGACTGGGGGGGTCGGACTGGGGGTGACCGACGTGTGGTCCAGGTGGGTGCCAGCGTCACCTCTCCTTTGATGTGGTGCCAGCAGTGCCAGCGGCTCCACCAGTGGGTGCTCCCGGCCCGGCCCCCCCGCACCCCACACCCACCGCGGGACCTATAAAGGTGTTGGGGCACCCGGGTCCCCCTCAGCCCGACCGTCTGTGTGGGGTTGCCGAGGTGCGGGGGGCGAAGGGGGCGATGGGGGCTGGGGGTGGGTACTGCGGTGGGGGTGTGGGAGGCAGAGGAATTGGGGATGATGGGGCTGGGAGTGCTGGGGTGGGTGCTGGGGTAGGGGCGGGCAGTGGGGCAGGGGGTGCTGTGGTAAATGGGGGGTAGTGGGGGCGGAGGGGCAAGGAATTGGGGGATGTGCCAGGAGAGGGGGCATGCGGGTGGGGGGTGCTCAGACAGGGGGTGTTGAGGTGGCTGCTGGGGGGGCAGTGAGGTGAGGGGTTCTGGGGGGTGGGACCTGCTGGGGCAGTGGGTGCTGGAGTGGGTGCTGGGGGATGCTGGGGCAGGGAGTGGGACCGGCCCCCATCCCCCTGCAGTCCCTCCACCCCGTTGCAGGAAGGGTGAGGATGGGTCCTGCCACCTTCCTGGGGCTCTGCCTGCTGGGCTGCCTAGTCCTGCACCCCACACTGCCAGGTGAGATCCCCCCACCCTGAGACCCCCCACCTACACCCTGAGACCCCCCACGTGCACCCTGATCTCCCTCCCCCATCCTCTTCCCCCACCCTCAGCCCCCCAAACAGGGTCAGGGGTGCCCTTAACCCTTCCCCGGGGCTGCCCCCATGGGGTCCCGGTGACACTCCTGTTCCCCCCCAGGGGCTCAGGCCACCAAGTGTCCCCGGGGGTGGTTGTCCTTCGGGGGCCACTGCTACGGCTACTTCGGGCAGGGGCTGAGCTGGAGGAAGGCTGAGGTGGGTGCCGGGTGTGTGGTGGGTGCTGGGGGGTCTCCGGTGTCCCCAGAACCCCCCCCAGACCTGGCGGTGCCCCCAGGCGTGGTGCCAGGCCACCCGCGGGGGGCACCTGGCGTCGCTGCACAGCCCCGAGGAGCACCGGGTGCTCGCCGCCTTCATCGCCCAGCGGCCACGGCGTGAGGACGACGAGGACGGCGTGTGGATCGGGCTGCACCGGCGCGTGGGTGTCCTGCCTGCACCCCTGCCTGCGTCCCTGCCTGTACCCCTGCCTGCACTCCTGCCTACCCCTGTCTACCTACCTGCACCTGCCTGCACCTGTCTGTACTGACTGTGCCTGTCTATACCTGTCTGTACCTGACTGTTTGTGACTGTACCTGCCTGCACCTGCCTGCATCTGTCTATACCTGTCTGCATCTGTCTATACCTGCCTGCATCTGTCTGTACCTGCCTGTACCATCTGTGCCTGTCTGTACCTGCCTCTACCTGTGTGTACCTGACTGAACCTGCCTGCACTCACTAGACCTGTCTGTACCCTTGTGCACACATCTGTACCTGCTTGTACCTGCCTGTACCTGCCTGCACCTGCCTGCACTTGGCTCTGTGTGCCTGCACCTGCCTGCAGCGCTCCCTGTGCTCCCTGCAATGGCATCTGTGCTCCCACCTGAGCTGCTCCCCGCCGTACCTGCCCGGCCCTGATGCCTCCTGTCCACCCCCTGCCTGCACCTGCCTGCACCTGCCTGCACTGCCACCTTGTGCTGTCACCTGTCCCTGTCCCCCCCGTCCTGACTCGGCTCTTACAGCGCCAGTCCTGGCTCTGGGCTGACGGGTCCCCACGGCGTTACTGGGCCTGGGAGGGGGACGACGGCCCCGGGCCCGGCCCCGTGGGACAGCCCTGCGTGGCCCTGGAGGACTCGGCTGGTGAGGGGGACGGGGGGGCAGGGGAGTCCCTGGGCCTGGGGTGACGGTCCCGTGGGACAGCCCTGCACTGTGCAGGAGAGCTCAGCTGGTGGGGGGGGACCTGGGGGGTCAGAGGGGTCTGGGAGGGTCCAGGGAGTCCTGGGACGGGGAGGGGACAGGGACAACGGTCCCACTGGACAGCCTTGTGCTGTGCTGGAGAACTTGGCTGGCGAGGGGGGTCTGGAGGGGCAGGAGGGAGGTCAGGGGGCTCAGGGTGGTTGGGGGGCTCAGGCGGGGCCGGGAGGTCCCGGCTCCCAGCACTGGCTGCGTTCCCCCTGCAGGGTTCATGGCCTGGGAGGGCGAGTCCTGTGTCGAGCGCAAACCCTTCGTCTGCAAATACGCGGCGTAGGGGATGGGGCGAGGAGGCTGCACCTTCTGTGTGGACCCCCTGCTCTGGGGACTGCCCCTACCCTGCCCCCCAGCCCCTAGACCCCTATCCCACACCCCAATCCTGTCCCCAACCCCACACCCCAATCCTGTCCCCAACCCCACACTCCAATCCTGCCCCCAACCCCACACCCCAATCCTGCCCCCAACCCCACACTCCAATCCTGCCCCTAACCCCACCTGCTGCCCCCCAGCCCCTGGAACACAATCCTTGCACCCCAACTCTGCCCCCTAACCCTACCTCCTGTCCCCCAAACCCGGGACTCCTGCCCCACACCCCCGACCCCTACACCCCAACCCCATCTCTTGCCTTCCAACTCTATGTCCTGCCCCCAACACTGCACCCTGTCCCCACCTCAACCCCTGTACCCCAACCCCACATGCTGCCCCCCAACCCTCAGACTCCTGCCCCACACCCCTACCTCTAATCCCGCTGCCCCAAACCCCCGCACCCCAATTCCCTGTCTTGCACCCCACTTCCCAGACCCCACAGCCTCCTGCACCTATCCCACCCTGCACCCCCCACCCCACACCTCAGCCCCCCTGCAATCCCCACATTGCCCACCCCACACTCCCCACTGCACCCCGACCCCGTCCCCCTGCACAGCGCACGCCCCACACTCCCCTGCACGTCACTGCACCCCACTCCCCTCAAGCACACCCCCGATCCCCTCCCCCCCGACACGGGGGACCCCCCAATAAAGCGACCGAAGCACCCGTGACCCCCTGTCTCCCTCTACCGTGCGTGTGCCCCGCGGGCGGAGGGGGAGGGTGACACCAATGGGATCCCCCCACCCCGCGTGTCCTCCGAGCTCCCCGCAGGGTGAGGAGAGGGGTGGGGGACACAGCCGGGGGTGTCCCCAGGGCAGGGTGTGTTCCATAGAATAGCAGTGTCCCCGAGGGAAGGGGTGTCCCTAAGAGAAGGGGTGTCCCTAAGAGAAGGCAGCCCCTCGGGGGTCCCAACCACTCTCTGCAGGGTCCCAGTGAGGTCCCAGACAGTCCCGGGGGTGTCCCCAGCAGCCCCACGGGGTCTCAGCCACCCTTGGGGGGTCCCAGGCAGCCCCTGTCCCGTGTTCTTGTGTCCCCACTATGTCCCCCCTGTCCCCGTGTCCCCCCTCCCGGCGCGGTTCGTGCCGGTGCCGCAGGGACGGGGAGGGGGGATGAGGGGCAGCAGCCCCCCGGGAACAACCCGGGGCTGGGGGCTCGCTGGGGTGCCTGGGGGCAGCCGGGGGGTGCTGAGGGGGTTCATATACTGAGTGCAGAGGGCGTGTCCATGGAGTGCTGGGGCTGTATCCATGGGGTGTATCCACGGGACACCGAGGCTGTATTCACGGGATGTTGGGGGCTGCATCGCGGAGTGCCGCCATGTATCCATGGGGTGCTGGGATTTTATCCATGCGATGTCAGGACTGTATCCCTGAGGTGCCGGGGCTGTATCCGTGCTGTTCCCGGGCTGTATCCATGCGGTTCCCGGTGTTCCTTCCTCGCGGTTCTCAGCGCGGCCGCCCCGGGGTACCGGGGGGCGGCGCGGGGGGATGGATGGAGCCCTGGAAGCGCCGGGCCATTGTGACACCGCGGCCACCCCGCCGGCGGCGCCGGTGCCGGTGGCACCGCAGTGCCACAGTCACCACGGTGCCGGTGCCGCCACCACACGCCGGCACCGCTGCTGCCACACCGCCCGCCGTGACCAGCTGGGCTCTGGCACCCACATCTCCCCCCGAGGGTGCCGGTAGGGGGGCCAGGCTGAGGAGGGGGCGCTTCCATCGGGACTCTCCATGTCCGACAACGCCTGGGTGGGCTCCTGGAGACCCCACCGCCCCCGAGGGCCCATCTCCGCCCAGTACCGCACCCCCGGCCCCAAGTATGGGCTCCCCGGCAACGTCGGTGAGTGGGGGGCGCGGGGCGGCCGCGGGGGGCTGGGGGGCAGCGATGGGGCCGGGGGTCCCGCGTCCCACCGAGCCCCCGTGCACCCCCAGGTTACAACCAGCACGACCCCACCCGGAGCCGCGCCCCCGCCTACACGTTCGGGCTGCGGCTGAAGGCGGAGCAGGAGCACTGCTCCCCCGGCCCCCAGTACCTGGTGCGGCCCGGCTTCACCTGCCGCGGCAAGGACGGCATCCCCGCGCACACCATCTGCGGCCGGCCCCGCGGGGAGATGGCCAGCAAGACCCCTGGGCCAGGTGAGTGGGGGCCGGGACACCCGTCGGGGCCCGGTACCCCCCTGCCGTGCCCACGGCTCACCCCCTGTCCTCCCCCAACAGCGCATTATTCCCCGGAGCGGGCCGACAAGTGGGCCTATCCCAGTGCACCCACCTGCTTCCTGCGCTCCCGCCCCCGCGAGTCCGGGGCACAGGAGACTCCAGGTAAGATGGGAGCAGAGGTGGGACCCCCAGCGGCCCCCGGGTGGGCTGGGCTGGGATCCACGTCATCCCACCTGGGCTGGAATCCCCATCATCCTCTGGCTGGGATCCCTGTCCTGCCCTCTGGGCTGGGACCCCATAATCTCCTTCTGACCTGGGCTGGGATCCCCATCATCCCCCTAGACTGTGACCCCCACCTTTAACTGCCCCCTCTGAGCCAGACTGGGCTCCCCATCATCCTCCTCTCTCTTGGTCTGATCCCCCCGCCCATCCCCGGGTCTGGCCCTCCCTCCCCAGCCCTGGGGTGAACCCCACGCCCCCTGAGCCCCTGTGCCCCCCAGGCCCTGCCGCCCACCGCCTGCCCACCGTGCTGGGCCCACACCTGGTGGACAAGCCCTCGGCCCCCACCTGCTTCATCGTGGGGCGTGGCCCCGGCTCCTTCGGCAACCCCAACAGGGTGGGGGCCAGGGTGGGGTCAGGGGCTGGGGGAATGAAGGAGCCAGGGGGCTTGGGGGCTGGGATCTGGAGAAGCAGGGTACCAAGAGTCCAGGGGGGCTCAGGGGCTGGGGGCCCAGAGTGCAAAGGGTTCGGTGCTCCAGGCATGTGGGGGGCTGAGGGTCAAGGTGCTGAGGGGTTGGGGGTCCAGGAATGGGGTGTTGGGGGCTACAAGTACCAAGGACAGGGGGAGCTGGGGATCCAAGGAGCTGGGGGCCTGAGTGCCAAGGGGCTGGAGGATAAGGGTGCCAAGAACTGGGGCTGTGGAGTGGGCAGGGTGCCAAGGGGCTGCGATTCTGGGCATCTGGGGGGTTGGGTGTCCAGGCTCTGGGTGGACCAGGGGGCTGCGGGGGTCAGGCTGCTGGGGGCTGGGTGGGCTGGGCTACTGGAGAACCAGGGTATCAAGAATCCAGGGTGCTGAGGGGGGGCTGGGATCTGGGGCATCAGGACACCAAGGGCTTGGGGTACCAGGGGTCCTGGGGCTGAGGTACCAAGGGCATGGAGTGCCAGAGGTCCAGAGGGCTGGGAATCTGGGATACCCAAGGGTATGGGGGGCTGGGATACCCGGGGTGTGAGGGCTCTGGGGTGCCAGGGGCGTGTGGTGGTAGGGGTCCTGGGGCTCACATCACTCCCCCTGTCCCCGCAGTCCCCCGGCCCCAGCCACTACTCCCCAGTGCGGAGCGATGTGTTCCTGCCCCGCGCCCCCCGCTGCACCATTGTGGGGCGCACGGAACCCCCCAAGGCCGCCGCCACCCCCGGCCCCAGCGACTACAGCCCCCCGCAGGTGAGCGGGGACGGGGACCCCGCCGGGAGGGTGTGGGGGGAGCGGGGGACAGGGTTACCCACAGATACCCCACACACACACCCTGCCCTGTCCCCCACAGGTCCGGCGCCAAGGAATGACCTTCGGGGTGAAGCACTCGCAATACGCGGCCCCCGTGCTGATGGACGCCGATTAGGGGGTGTGGACGTGTGGGTGACAGAGCCCACCTGCGACAGACGGACAAACACGACCCTGCAGCAGCAGCAGCAGCAGCTCCTGCCCGTGCTCCTTCTGTCCCGCTGCGTGGCACGGGGGGAGGAGGGGTGGGGGTGTGTCAGGGGGCGTCAGGGGGTGCCGGCCGCCCCCAAATCGGCCCTTTCCCCATCCTGAGTCCCTTCACTCTTCGGGAAAACGCAGGAGGGAAGAGGTCCCTTCTACGGGACCCCAGAGCTCCGCGGTCCCTCGGCGGGGCAGGATGTGCCAGGGATGAGGGATGTCCTGCCCACACGGGAACCAGCCCTCTCCTTGCTCCAGCCCCTCCCTTCCCCATCCCAATCCCACTCCATGGCCTCCCGTTCCCCACCCGATCCCCATCACCTCTCCACCGCCATTCCCGTCCCCATCTGACCTCATTCTCATCCCATTCGCATTCCACTCAGGACCTTGGGGCACGGGGACCTCTGGGAGAGAGGGGACACTCATCAGCACAGCACCGTGAGGACTCCCCTCTCCACGTTCTGTGGGGTCTGTGGGATCTGTGGGAGCCGTTGGGGGTCCCTGGCAGGTCGTGGCCTCGGGCCTCGTGCAGAGCCCTCGGGCATCACCTGTGACAGTCCATGGGGAATGAGGGACCCGGGGGACCCCGCTCGTGTCACCCCCGTGTCAACCCCCCCGTTGTGACCCCCCCCGCGGCCTCTCCCGTGCCCCACTCGCTGCCCCGGGATCAGAGTCCACCGCCGGAGCCGCCTCGTCGCCCGCGGGCACCGGGCACTGGGCCAGGCCGGGCACGGGCAGGTCCCGGCAGCGCCGGTGGGAGGTGCGGCCGTGCGGGAACCGAGTGAGGCCCTGGGGGGACCGCGGTGAGGCCCTGAGGGGACCGGGGTGCGGCCCTGGGGGGACCGGGGTGCGGCCGTGCGGGAATGGGGTGCAGCTGTGTGGAAACGGGGTGCGGCCGCGCGGGGCCGGGTGCGGTTGGTGACAAATCGGGGTTTCCCGCGGCGGGGGCCATATCGTGGCGCCAGCCCTCTCAAACCGGAGTGCCAGCCGTCCCAAATCGGGGTGCCAGCCGTCCCAAACCGGGGTGCCAGCCGTCCCAAACCGTAGTGCCAGCCGTCCCAAACCGGGGTGCCAGCCGTCCCAAGTCGGGGTGCCAGCCGTCCCAAATCGGGGTGCCAGCCGTCCCAACAAAGGGTACCAGCTCCGCGGGACCGGGATGGACTCGCCGAGCCCCCTGCCGAGCCTGATCCGCAAGAAGCGGGACGGGGAGCGCCTGGAGGACGCGGAGATCCGCGGCTTCGTGCGCGGCGTCACCGAGGGCACTGCCCAGCAGGGCCAGATCGGTGCGTGCGGGCCGGGGGGGCACCCGGAGGAAGGGGGGGTAGCGCGGGGGTCGTGAGGGTGGGGCACGGTGGGGAGCGTGGACAGAGCTGGGGACAACGCCCGGGGTTGCGTGGGGGGACACGGGCCCAGGGGGACACGGGGGGTGTGGCTGAGACGGGGGGTCCCCGGCGGTGGGGGAAGGGGGTTGGGGTAGCACGGGAAGCCCCGGGACGTGACAGGGGGTCATGGGGAGGGGACGTGGCTGGGGATCACCCTGGGGGGACGAGAGGGGGACCCCGGGGTATGGAGGGTGGGGTCAAGGCCAGGGGACACAGCTGGGGACCCCCCTGGTGGGAGCAGAGGGACCCTGGAGGTGGTGGGGTGTCACGGCCAAGGGACATCAGCGGGGGGTGTCCCTGGGGAGGAGAAGGGGATCCCGAGTTGGGGTATCAGAGCTGGAGGGTCCCAAGGAAGGGAGCAGGGGGCGACCCTCACCCCTTACCATGCCCCTCAGGTGCTGATGGCTTCTGGCCGCAGGGCATGGGGCAGGATGGGGGGTCCGGGCAGGGTGGGGGTCCCGGGGAGGGCAGTGGGGGTGACCCCCGGCCGTGCCCCCCAGGTGCCATGCTGATGGCCATCCGGCTGCGGGGCATGGACGCGGGGGAGACGCTGGCCCTGACCCGGGCCATGGCCACCTCGGGCCGGGCGCTGGCCTGGCCGCCCGCCTGGCACGGGCTGGTGGTGGACAAGCACTCGACGGGGGGCGTGGGGGACAAGGTCAGCCTGGCTCTGGCCCCCGCGCTGGCTGCCTGCGGCTGCAAGGTGAGGGGTGCCCCGGGGGGCGGGCGGGGGGTCCCCGAGTCCCCGCACCTACCTGTGCCCACCCACAGGTGCCCATGATCAGCGGGCGCGGGCTGGGCCACACCGGAGGCACCCTGGACAAGCTGGAGGCCATTCCCGGCTTCCGCGTCTCCCTGAGCCCCGAGGAGGTGAGGGGGGAGGGACCAGCCAGGGGGACACGGGCATGTGGGCACACGGGCACCCCGACTCCTGCAGGCACCGGCCTTGGGGGCACTGGGGGGCTCCAGTGGGGTGGGATGTCAGTGGGGTACCCACGGGCGGGGGAGGGGGTGCCACTGGGGTGTTGATGGAGTGCAGGTGTCAATGGGTTTTGGGTACCTACGGGGTGCTGGTGGGTTGTGGGAGCCCATGGGGTCCCAGTGGGGTACTGATAGAGTGCCAGCGGGTTGTGGGTGCCAGTGGGGTGCCCATGAGTTGTGTGGGAACCTATGGGGTACTTATGGGGTGCTGGTGGGGTGGAAAAGGGGTGTGGGGTGCCCATGGGGTGATGAAGGGATCCAAAGGGCAGAGGTGGGTGCTGATGAGATGCCTGTGGGTTGTGGGTGCCCATGGGGTATGGGTGCAGCCAGGATGTTGATTGGATGCCGGTGGGATGCCGATGGGGCCCCAATGGGATTCCAGTGGGGTGTTGATGGGGTGTGGGTGCCAAGGGGGTGCCAATGGAGTGCCAACCGGGCACGGCTGCCCCGCAGATGCGCAGCGCCCTGGAGCGGGTGGGCTGCTGCATCGTGGGGCAGAGCGAGGAGCTGGCACCCGCTGATCGGGTGCTGTACGGGCTGCGGGACGTCACGGCCACCGTGGACAGCGTGCCCCTCATCACCGGTACGGGGCACGGGGGGCACGGGGACGGGGGCACGGCCAGGGAGGGGGCTCAGGCAGTGACACCCCCATCCCCCGGCACAGCCTCCATCCTCAGCAAGAAGGCGGCGGAGCAGCTCTCGGCGCTGGTGCTCGATGTGAAGTTCGGGAGCGCCGCCCTGTACCCCACCCAGGACAGCGCGCGGGAGCTGGCGCGGAGCCTGGTGAGACCCCGCGCCCGCCGGAGCCCCCCGGACCCCTGCCCCGGGGTTAGGGGCGCTGGGCTGGGGCACCTCTGCCCACTGTCCCTGCCCGCCCTCTTTATCCCTACCCGCTGTGCCCTCCCGCTGTTCCTGCCCACCCTCCCTGCTGTCCCTGTCCGTCCTTATCCCTGCCTGCTGCCCCTGCCTGCTCTCCCTGTCCCTCCCTTTCTCACTGTCCGTATCCCTGTCCCTGTCCCTTCTCACTGCCCGTCTCCACCCGTTCACCCTGCCCTCTATCCCTGTCCCTGCCATCCCCGTCCCTGTCCCCACCCGTCGCTGCCCCTTCCCGCCATCCCTGTCCCTTCTCACTGTCCCTGTCCCTGTTTGCTCTCCTGCCTGCCCCTGTTTGTTCTCCCTGTCCCTGTCCCCGTCCCCGCTGGCTGTCCCTGCCCGTGTCGCTGTCGCTGTCCGTGCCCAGGTGGAGGTGGGCACACAGCTGGGCATCCGCACTGTGGCCGTGCTGTCCCGCATGGATCAGCCCCTGGGCTGGGCCGTGGGGAACTCGCTGGAGGTGCTGGAGGCGCTGGAATGTCTGGACGGGGGCGGCCCCCCCGACCTGCGGCAGCTCGTCACGGTCCTGGGTCAGCGTGGGGACACCGGGACGGGGGGCGGACCCGGGTGGTGACACGGAGGGACGAGGCCCAGGGCCGGCACACGCGAGTCCCGTTCCAGTCCTGACCTCTCCCTTCCCAGGATGTCCCCTCACCCCTAGACTTTTACCCACCCATCCCTGGGGTCCCCCTGAACGCCCCCCCATCCCCAGGGTCCCACTGCCCCGAACCCCCCTGTCCTCGGGGTCCCCTTCATCTCCAACCCTGCACCCCCCAGATTTTGGGTCCCACTGCACCTCCCCAGCCCCGGGGTCCCCTGAACGCCCCTCCCCACGTTCCCACTCACTCCCAGCCCTGAACCCCCACAGCCTTGGGTCCCCTGAACTCCCCCAGCCTCAGGGTCTCCCCCCACCCTAAACCCTTCCTGGGGTCCTGACTCAGCTCCCCTTCCCCCCTGCCCGTGTCCCTGTCCCGTGGGGGTTGGGAGGGGAGCAGAGGGCAGCGGGGGGTCCCCGGGCGGTTCCCCCGGTTTGAGGGGTCCCAGCCCGTGCTGGTTTTGGGGTGCAGGCGGGGTGCTGCTGTGGCAGTGCGGGAAGGCGGCGGGGGCCGCGCAGGGCCGGGAGCTCCTGGGGCGGGCGCTGGACGATGGCTCAGCCCGGAGCATCTTCGAGGCCATGCTGGGGGCGCAGGGGGTGCCCCACGACACCGCCCACCGCCTCTGCAGCGGGACCCCCGCCCAGCGCCGACAGCTCCTGGGAACGGCCAAGATCTGCGAGGAGCTGCCCGCGCTGCAGGAGGGTAAGGGGGACCCCCACCCCAACCCCCACCCCGCCCCGAGAGTCCAGTGTCCCGGAGTCCCTGTGCTCCCCAGCCGTTCCCATCCCCTCCTGCCCCCTCTGGGATCCTCAGGGCTTCCCTGGATTATTCCCCCCAACCCTCGGGGGGTCGTCGCCTGCACCCCTACCCCCCACCCGCTGTGCTTGGGGGTCCCCAAACTCCTCTGCTCCAGACCTGGCACCTCTGGGGTCCTTGTGGCCCCATCCCCGGCCCCCAGGTCCCCATCTGTGACCCCCCTGCACCCCCTTCCCCACATCCCCCAGGCCTGGGGCTCTCCCAGCCCCCCACATCCCTGGCGCCCCTAGGATGGGGGCTCCTCCCCCGTGACTCTGACCCTCTCTGACCTCCCCATGTCCCTGACCCCCCTGGTTCCGCCCGTCCCCCCATACGTTTCTGACCCCTCCACTGACCCCGTGCCCCCCCGTGCCCCCCAGGCTGGGTGCAGGAGGTGCGGGCGCTGCCCCTGGCCCAGGTCCTGCACGGTCTGGGCGCGGGGCGGTCGCGGGCCGGGGACCCCGTGGACCCCCTCGTGGGCGCCGAGCTGCTGGTGGGAGCGGGGCAGCACCTGCGGGCAGGTAAGGGGGCTGTGGGGAACCCCCCATAACTCCCCCACGTTCTCAGGCGAGCCGTGGCTGCGGGTGCACCACGAGAGGGTGAAGGGGGGGAGTCTGTGTGAGGGTCCGTGGGGGGCTCTCAAGCTCCCATAACCACCCGTGTCCCCCCCCTTGCAGGCGAGCCGTGGCTGCGGGTGCACCACGAGGGGACCCTCGGCGAGGGGGGGCGGCGGGCGCTGCAGGACGCTCTGTGCCTCGGCCCGGAGCCCCCCCGGGACCCTCCGCCGCTGGTGGCCGAGACCATCGTGCCCGAGGGGGCCGCCCCGGCCCCCCAATAGGGCCGATTTTGGGGGGGGGGTGTCGAGATTCCCCCCCAATCCCCCGGGGGTCCCGCGCGGAGCGGCGGCGCCACCTGCTGGTGGAGGCGGGGACTGCGTGGGGGGCGAGGCCACGCCCCTCCATTTCCAGCCACGCCCTCATCACAAAGGCCACACCTCCTCCCCGTCAAACCACGCCCCTCCAGCTGGGGTAACGGCTTAATTCGATCAGGCCCCGCCCCTATTCTGCAAAAAACCACGCCCCCACTCTGCACAGACCCCGCCCTCCCCGCCGGCAGTTCCGGTTCCGGCGGCTCCGGCGCGGCCGCACCGGGGGGAGAGCCCGGGAACAGAGCCCGGGACCGGGGCGGGGGTCGGACAGCGAAGGTCAGTGGGGAGGGGGCACCGGGGGCGGGGGCAGTGAAAGGCACTGAGCGAGGGGTCAGAGAGGTGCTGGGGGGTCACTGAGAGCAGCAGGAGTGGGATGAGGGGTCGCGGGGCGTTGGGGGCGCTGGGCTGGGGGTCGGGGGCAGCAGGAGAGGGAGGGGGCAGGGCGGGGGGTCACAGATGGGGGGTCAGGGCAGCGGGAGGGGTCGAGGGGTACCTGGGGCTCGGGGGCAGCAGCAGGAGGGAAGGGTCAGGGGGTCCTGGAGGTCTGGGCTGGGGGATGAGCGGGATGAGGGGTCAGGGGGTGTTTGGGGGTCAGGGCTCTGCGGTCAGAGTGCCCCTGGGGGTCAAGGCTGGGAGGTCAAAGGGGCAGAAGGAGGAGTGGGGTGAGGAACCGGGGAGGGGCTGGACGGGGCTCCAAGAGCGGCAGCAAACAGGGTCGGGGTGCTGACGGTGGGCGCGGCAGTGCTGGGGGGGTCCAAGCCCACCTGGGGGCGGGGGCGGCGGTACCTGACCCTTCCATGCCCCTCCCCACAGCCCCCGCCGCGATGCTGCGAGCCCTGCGCCCCTGCCACCCCCTGTGCCACCCCCTGTGCCACCCGCTGTGCCACCCCTGTGCCACCCGCTGTGCCAGCGCCCCCCGTCCCAGCCCCTGACGGCCGGCGCCGTGCCCCCGGGCCGCTCCGAGCCCCCGCGGCTGCCGCTGTGGCAGCGTGCGGCGGTGGCGGGCGCGGTGGCGGGGCTGGCGGGGGCGGGCTGGCTGTACCTGCGGCGGGAGAAGGAGCGGCGGCTGCGGCAGCGGCGGCTCCGGGACCTGCGGGCGCTGGCGCTGGGCCAGGCCGACTTCCAGCTGCAGGACACGTCCGGAGCGCCCCGCTCCCGCGCCGACCTGCTGGGCCGCTGGGTGCTGCTCTACTTCGGCTTCACGCACTGCCCGGACGTGTGCCCCGAGGAGCTGGAGAAGCTGTGCCGCGCCGTGGAGCTGCTGGAGGCCGTGCCGGGGCTGCCGCCGGTGCAGCCGCTGTTCATCACGGTGGACCCGGCGCGGGACGACGCGGCGGCGCTGGGGCGGTACCTGCGCGACTTCCACCCGCGGCTGCAGGGCCTCACCGGCACCGCCGAGCAGGTGCGGGCGGCCGCGGGGGCTTTCCGCGTCTACGTGAGCGCCGGGCCCCCCGACCCCGACGGGGACTACGTGGTGGACCACTCGGTGCTCACCTTCCTGCTGGGCCCCGACGGGCTGGTCCGGGACTGCTACGGGCGCTCCCGCACGGCCGAGGAGCTGGCCAAGAGCGTCAGGGGGCACATGGAGAGCTACGAGCCGCTGCCCCCCGGCTGATCCCGGGGGAATAAAGGGCGGGGGGAACCCCCGGAATGGGCCTGCTGTGTGGTTTGGTGGGGGAGGAAGCGGGGAGAGAGAGCGGCGACACCCGGGGGTGTCACGGGGAGGGACCTCTGACAGAGCCCAGTGACCCCCAGAGGTGTCACTTCGGGAGCGAGGGACCCCCCAGCAGAACCCAGGGGTGTCCATTGGGGTTGGGAGGGATCCCCTGACAGAGGCCTGTGACCCCCCCACGGGTGTCACTTGGGGACCAACAGAGCCCCAGCAGAGCCCAGTGACCTCCCAGGTGTGTCACAGGGAGAGGGAGGGACCCCTATGGCCCCCCCGCAGGTGTGTCCTGTGGGGACAGACTTTAGGTGGGCAGGTGGAGGGACCCCTGACAGATCCCAGGGTGTCCCAGGTGTGTTCCAGGACCAGGAAAGGGCCCTTGAGAGACCTTGGTGCCCCCCAGGTGTGTCCCAGGGGTAGGGAGGGGCCCCGAATAGACCCCAGTGCCCCCCAGGAGTATCCCAGAGGGAGGGAGTGACTACTAACAGACCCCACTGTGGCTCCCCAGAAGAGACCACAGGTAGGTGGGTGGATGGGCCCTCAAAGCCCCTGTTGCCCCCCAGGACTGTCCCCTGGTTGAGGGGCTCTCTGAAGGTGAGTGAAATGCCCCTCCACCCCCTGCAGCCCCCCAAGGACCCTCCTAATGAGGGAGAACACCAGTAGGTGAGGTGACCCCTGTAGCCCCCCAGGACCCTCCACAGAGCAAGGAGGCCTGGTGTAGGTGAATGGAGTGACCCCCCCACCTGCAGTCCCCCCGGACTGTCCTGTGGGGAGGGAGCACCCCACACCCTGAAGCCTGCCAGCACCCTCCCCACAAGGAGGGAGCACGTGGGTAGGTGGGCAGAGGGACCCCCACCACACATGCAGCCTCCCAGGACTGTCCCCTGGGGTGGGACACCACAGGCAGGTGAGTGGAGTGACCCCAAACAGCCCCCACATATCCTAACCCCGCCATCCCCCACCAAGGACACCTTTCCCTCGTGGCCACAGCCGCTCCTGTACACGGGGGTGGTTTATTCGGGGTGGGGGTCCGTGAGGGAGGACAGCTGCAAGCCCTGGAACCTCTCGTGGGCGGGGCGCAGGGTGAGCAGCCGCAGCCGCGCCGTGTCCAGCGCCTCCTCCAGCCCCTCGTCCTGTGCCAGCTCCACCACCCCGTCGTTGGCCTGGGGAGGGCAGCACAAGGGTGAGTGGCGGTCCTGCACACCCAAGACCCCCACCCAAGACCCCCCCAAGTCCTTACCAGCTGCAGCGAGGCCAGCAGGTAGCGGCACACCTCGAAGGGGGGCTGCCTGGCCACCAGGCTGGCGAAGGAGTGCCACTGGCCCAGCTCCCCGCAGCGCTCCATCAGTGTCAGCCCGTAGGCACGCACGTCGAAGGGCGCCCGGGCCTCCTGCGGGCAGGGGGGCACATCGGGGGGACAGCGAGGGGTTGCTAGGGCCACCCCAGCCTCCTGCCCACCCCACTGGGTCCCTGCCCACTCTGGGTAGTCCCTGCCTACCTCTGCCCTCTGTCCCCACTGTCCTACCCAGGGAGTCCCTGCCCTCCCTGGGTGGTCCCTGCCTGCCCCTGCCCATCCCTGCCCACCCTGTTCCCTACCCACCTCAGCCCCCTGTCCCCAGTATCCTACCGGGGGGTCCCTGCACTCCCTGGGTGATCCCCACCCACCCCAGTAGGTCCATGATCCCTACCCATCCACAGTCCCTGCCTGCTCCTGCCCCCTGCCTACCCCAGCCCCTGTGTCCCCCTGCCCTCCCTGCCCAGCTGGAGATCTCTGCCCCAGCCCTGGGGGTCTCTGTCCCAGCCCCTGCCCACCCCGGGGGCTTGTGCCCTCCCAGTGGTCCCTGCCCCAGCCCTGGGGGTCCCTGCCCTCCCGGGGGTCCATGCCTGCTCCTGCAGCAGTGGCTCTATCCGCTCCTCCCAGCGCCGGATGCGCTGGGACAGCTCCGTCTCCTGCACGAACTTCTGGGAGCTGGCCATGAACAGCTCCTGTGGGGACAGGGACAGGGCAGTGCAGGGGGCACCCCAACCCTCCCAGGGAGACCGTGACCCTCTGGGGGTCACCCCGCTCTCCTGGGGGCACCCTGACTTTCAGGAGACACCCCAATGCTTTGGGGGCGCTCCAACCCATCCCCACACTGGCACCTACCACGTTCCTGCGCACCAGCTCCTCGTATTCCGGCTCTGGGGGTTCTGTGGGAAAAGGGGGACAGAGCACATAACCAACCCCCCACACACCCTTGGGGGAGCACAGGGGACCTGCCAGGGACAGATGGGGTGGGGAGTTTGGGGGAGGATCAGCAGATCACCTGGGGATCTTTCTTCCAGCTCCTCCAGCACCTCGGGCTCCATGTCCTCCTGCTCCACATCCTCGTGCTCCACAAAATCATCATCTGCTGGGAAGGGGAGACCTCTCAGTGCCCCCCCATCCCCCAGGACCCCCTCAGTGCCCCCTGGGACCCCCCCAGCCTCTGGAGGGGGGAATTTGAGGTGCCAGTACCTGCCCCTTGGTCACCGTCAGCCTCATACTCCTGCTCCAGCTGCTCCAGCTCCGGTTCCTGGAGGAAGGGGAACAGCCCTGAGCCCATCCTGAAGACCCCCAGAGCCCCCAGGAGGGTGCTGGTGCCCCTCTGCCCCCAGTTTACCCCCCACCCCACTCACCCCCTGGCTCTTGAGCTTCCTCTGTGCCGCCAGCCGCTCCTTCAGCTGCCGCCAGTACAGCACTTCCAGGTCTGCCACACACAGGGATGGGCAACGTGGATTTGGGAAGCACCCACACCCAGCAGAGCCCCCAGGCCCACCATGGTTGGGGGGACATTCCCAGGCTCCCCTTGCACGGTTTTGGGGTGCCCTCCCCCTCCATCCTCCCCCCACGTCAGAATCCAGTCCCTGGTCTCCCCTGGGACTGGGAACTGTGGGAGACTCCACCCTGAGGGCTCTCCTGGTGCCACCTTGTGCTGTGTCCCTCGCTCACCTGCGAAGGTGGGGCCTTTCCTCCTGGTTTTCCGGCTGTCTGTGACATCGTTATCTGGGGAGAGGAGACTGGGAATCACTGAATGGCAAATCCATGGAACCATCGAGGTTTTAAAAGTCCTCTAAGCCCATGGAGTCCCCCCCCAGCACTGCCAAGGCCACTCCTGCCCAAGCCCCTATGTGCCAGCCACATCCACAGGGCTGTTCAGTCCCTCTGGGTTTTTAAATCCTTTTGGATTCTGATCCCGGCAGGATCCCGTGGGAATCACTCACAGGCTGCAGAGAACCATCTCGTGAAGTCCTGAAGCTTCCTCGGGCCCCTCCTCTTCCTCTTGCCTCCCACCATGTCATCCAGGCTGTGTGACATCAGGAAGGGCCTCCCTGCAGGTGACACAGGTAACACAGTGGCACCGGGGGCACGGCCACCCCGAGGGGCTGGGATGGGGAAGGGGCCCCTTTCCCACATCCCTCTGGATATCATGGGGCTGGGAATGACCCACCGTGGGGACGGGGACACTGAGGGACACGTGGCTGGGAATGACACTTTATAGGACTGGGAATGACCCTCCCAGGGAATGACCTGCTGTGGGCTGGGAAGCTGAGCCGTGCTGTCCCTGCAACCCAGCCCCTCTGGAGCACCCCCCCCTCCCCCAGCACCCCCCCTCCAAAAATTACCTTTCCTAAATGGCTTCTCCTCAGAATTTACAAAGGGGTCGAGGCTCTGCCACGGATCCGGCACCTCCTGGCAGAGGGATGATGATGGAGTGGGCACAGTTCCCCGTGGGACCCCCTCCCAGTGTCCTGGGGGGTCATATCCCACCTGGACTCCAGAGCCCTCCCGGCTCCAGGCCCCCCTTACCTTGCTGGGGACTTTGGGGTCCTGGCTGGGGGCTTTCTCCCGCAGGATGTACCCCCGTGGCTGGGGTGAACTCTGGGACACAGAGAGGGACAGTGAGGGCTGGCACCTGCAGGGCTGGGGAGGGGATGATGGGGGTCTGGGGGTCCAGAGGTCTGCAAAAGGAGTGGGGGGGCTCTGGGAAAGGAGTGAGGAGTGGCAGGGGAAGAGCAAAGGGATTCCAGGGCCCAGGGATCCAGGGAAGGAGTGAGGGGTGGCGGGGTAGGAGCATGGGCAGCCTCCCAAGCCCTGCCCACACTGACCCTCTGTGCCTCGATGTGTTCATCCGGGGCCGGGGTCATTTCCACGTCATCCCCCAGGGCCCCGGGAATGTCATCGTCATCATCTGCTCCCGCAGCGCCTGGTGGGGGCAATGGGCAGAGGCTGGAGATGCTTCTGGACCCCCTATTTCCAGCCTGGCTACCAAAGAATTCCCCTGGGTGCTTCTCCTGCCAGGAGGGCCAAGGGGCACCAGAGGGCAGGAGCAGGGAATCACAGACTTGTTTGGTTTGGAAAGTCCCTCTGAGCCCACTGAGTCCAACCAAGGCACTGCCCACATCCCCAGGTGCCACATCCACAGGGCTTTGAAATCCCTCCAGGGCTGGGGACTCCACCCCTACCCTGGGCAGCCCCTGCCAAGGCCTCACCACCCTTTCTATGGAGAAATTCCTCCTCATGGCCAACCTGAGCCTCCCCTGGTACAGCTTGAAGCCGGTTCCCCTTGTCCTGTCCCTGTTCCCTGGGAGCAGAGCCCGAATCCCCCCCGGCTCCCCTCTCCTGTCAGGGAGCTGTAGAGGGATGAAGTCTCTCCTCGCCCTCCTCCTCTCCAACGTTCCCAGATAGACACACGGACACAAGATAACCACCTGGATCCCCCTCAGCCAGGTGACACCACTCACCTGCCTCCTCAGAGAAGCTCAGCGCCTGGATTGGAGTCATGCTGGCCCTTGGATGCTCCACATCAGGACCAGATCCCGCAGCTCCTGCCAGGACACAGTGGCAGGTGACAGTGAGAGGTGAGTGGTCCCCCACAGACACCCCTCAGACGCCCCCCCAGGTACCTGTGGCTCTCCTGGGGCTCCCCAGGTGCTGCTCCTGTGGGTGTGTGGGGGAGAGCCCGGCCTGCTCCAGCAGGAATGTCCCCGTGGGGTGGGGGGTGTAGGTGTTCATCCGGAAATCCTTCTGGCTCGCCAGGACCTCCCCTTTCCGGCTGCGGGAAAATCCTGTCAGGGATTCCCCCTCACCAGGCTGGGGGGTCCCCAAAGCCCCCCTGCTCCAGCCTGGGCTCATCCCAGCCCTTCCACCGGCACGGTTCTGGTCTGGATTTCCCTGCACATCCCTAGGACCCTCCTGCCCCTCACCAGGGGCAGATCCCAACAGGAATTGTGCACCCATTGACGGAGGGATCTCAACCACATCAGGGGAGAGGGACATTGGGTGCTCCCACCCAAGGATCCCGACTGGAGCAGGAGAGGGGGACACAGAACACACCAATTCAGGGATCCCAACTGGAGCAAGGGAGGGGGAACTCCCCCAGCAATGGGGGGACACAGTCCCCCCCACCCAGGGGTGGCTGGGGGTTGGTGGCACCTCAACAGGGGGTTTTCCTTCTTCTTCATCTCGTCCAGGGTGACCAGAGCCATCGGGGTCAAGCGAACGATGTTCACAGCCTGGCAAGGCAAGGAAACACGGGAAGGAGTCCGGGGAAGGCCCTAGCACAAGTGTCACCGTCCCCAAGGACACCACTCCTGCTGGAATGGCCCTGGGATTCACCCAGGAAAACCCTTCCACGGGGAGGGATAAAAGGGGACAGGTCCCTCTTACACTGGGCTTTTCTCGCTGCCGATTCCTGCTCCTGTGCATGCTGGCCTGGCTCGTGTCCTTGATGTCATCCAGGGACAGCAACTGCCGGCAGAGCCACCAGAGAGTCACCCCCGGGACACCGAGGGATCCCACCGGAGCAGGGGAGGGGGACACGGGCCACAGGACCCCCCTCACCTGCTGCTCCACGTCTGTGAAGGTGGCATTGGTGTCCTGGATGTTGGATCTCAGGGAGGTGGGCAGCTTCTCCCTCCTGAGGGAAAACCATGGTCAGGATCCACGGGATGAGTGGGAGAGGGGGCTGAAGGGGTGGGGAGAAGCAGGAGATCGCACATCGAATCCCAGGGGCAGTTCTGGGCCCCCAGCCAGGAGAGCCATGGAGGGGCTGGAGCATGTGCAGGGAAGGGAAGGGAGCTGGGAAGGGGCTGGAGAACTCCTGAGGGAGCTGGGGGGGCTCATCCTGGAGAAAAGGAGGCTCAGGGGGGACCTTCTGGCTCTGCAAGTCCCTGCCAGGAGGGGGGAGCCGGGGGTCGGGCTCTGCTCCCAGGGAACAGGGACAGGACAAGGGGAAACGGCCTCAAGCTGTGCCAGGGGAGGCTCAGGTTGGCCCTGAGGAGGAATTTGTTGCTGGAAAGGGTGGTGAGGCCTTGGCAGGGGCTGCCCAGGGAGGTTTGGAGTGCTCAGCCCTGGAGGGACTTCAAATCCCTGTGGATGTGGCACTTGGGGACATGGCCAGTGGTGGCCTTGGCAGTGCTGGGGGTGGGTTGGACTCGATGGGCCCAGAGGGATTTTCCAACCTCCAGGATTCTGTAATCCCATGATTTTTGCAGATCCACGCTGTGGGACACAAGGCAGAGCTGCTGGAGACAAACTGCACGTGGCAGGTAAAAACAAACAACTAAAAATGACCAATCCATGCACGAGCCATCAGATCTTGTTGGGAATGGGAATGGCCCGTGATAATGGGAGCACCAAGGCAGAGACCCACAGCAGTGTTTCCATGGGGCAGCAGCCCCAGCAAAACTCCCTCTGGGAAGGGAATTTCCCCACTTACTTTTTATTGGAGATGTAGTCGAGTGCCTGGCAAACAAGCATGTACAGGTATTCCACCTGGAAAACAGCACCTGGAGCTGGGAAAGGTGGGAGCAGCTTCCAGGAAAGCTACTCCACCAGATGAACCCCCTCCCCATTATCCCAGGGCAGCTGGAGTTCAATTCCATGAAGTCCTGTTGTTCTTGTCCCTATTTCAGCCATCCTGAGGCCAGGTTTGGGGAAATCCTGGGAATTTTTCAAGGCCAATTTGGAGCAACCTGGTCTAGTGGAAGGTTCTCCTACCCATGGCAGAGGAGATGGGCTTTAATGTTCTTGCAACCCAAACCATTCCATGACTTTATGAGGAAAATAAAATTTTACAGCCCACCCTCTGCAGGGAAATTAGAGAAGAGCAAAATTCCTGCTCTTTCGCAGGCTGCCAACACCTAACAAAGGGATTAAACTTAGGAAAGATAAATCCTCTTATTCCCATCAATCATTTTAATTTCGGCCTCTCAAAGCCGAGGGGGGGATTCCAGGGCGACCCCATGGAGCTCAGGGCTCATGGAATGGGCCTGGCAGGGGATAGGGACGCAGCAGGGATGCCCTGCGTGCTGTGCTCACCTTCTTGCTGTAGATGGAGGCAGAGCCCTGGATCACCAGCGCCGCCTCCGTGAAGTTCATGGTGGTTTTCCCGTTGTCAAAGGAGATGCCGATATGATCCAGCTGGGAAGGGCAGGGACAGGAGAGGCTGAGTCCTGGTGGGATTTGGGGGTGGCACAGGGAGGGAGATGGGGCAGGAGCCCCCCGTTACCTCCTCCAGGTACTCCTCGAGCTGGGCGGCCACGTCCACCTCCCAGTTCTTGGTGAGGTCCCGGATGGGCTGGAGCAGGTGCAGGAAGCGGGAATCCGCCTCCTCCATGGCGGGATCCCGGCGGAGAGATCCCAAAGGGATTCAAATCACACGGCTCTGGACCAGAGATCCCGCAGGGAATGACTTAGGGAGGTAGGTCGGTGGGATCCCAGGATAGCTGAGGTAGGAATCCCAGATCAGCTGGAGTTCAACAGAAAGGAAGCAATTCAGGCAATGTGGGATCACTAAGGCTGGAAAATCCTGACTCTGATGCTGATCCCAATCCTGATCCCAGCCCCAATCCCGGTCCTGACTCTGATACAATCCCAACCCCATCCAGACCCCAATCCCAAACACGGATCACAACCCCAATCCTGATCCTGACTCTGATCCCGGTCATGGCCCCAACCCCAATCCTGACTTTGACCCAGTCCTGACCCCAATCCCAATCCTGACTCGGCATCACAACCCCGACCCTGATCCCGATCCCAACCCCAGTAACGACCCTGACCCCAATCCCTACCCCGATTCCAACCTTGACCCCAGTCCAATCCCGACCCCGATCCTGACGCCACTCCCCATTCCGACCCCAACCCTGGATCCCAACCTCAGTCCCAACCGCGACCCAATCCCAGTCCTGATCGCACTCCCAACCCTAATCCTGACCCCGATCCTGACCCCAAGCCCGACCCCATCCTAACCCTGATCCTGATCTCAATCTCGACTCCGGATCACAACTCTAGTCCCGATCCCAACCCTGATCCCGATTCCGATCCCGACCCTGACCCAGTCCCGGTGCCGCTCCCACCCCCGACCCCGATCCCGAATCACAACCCCAATTCCTGTTCCCCCTCACTCCCCTCTTTCCCCTCACCGCTCCCAACCCCTCAGTGCTCCCAACCCCTCTCCCCTCACCGCTCCCATCCCCTCTCCCCTCACCGCTCCCCTCCCTCTCTCCCCTCACCGCTCCCATCTCCCTCTCCCCTCACCGCTCTCTCCCTCTCTCCCCTCACCGCTCCCATCCCCTCTCCCCTCACCGCTCTCTCCCTCTCTCCCCTCACCGCTCTCTCCCTCTCTCCCCTCACCGCTCTGTCCCTCTCTCCCCTCACCGCTCCCATCCCCTCTCTCCCTGTCTCCCCTCACCGCTCCCCGCCCGCCGCCATGGCCGCGTTTCCCGCGCGCGCCGCGCTGTGACGCCAGGGGCGCGCGGCGGGGGCGGTGGCGGGGCCGCCATGGCGGAGGCGGCGCGGCCGCGGGCGCTGTTCCTGGCCGGGCTCGCCGCCGTCTATGTGGCCGCTTTCGGCTCCCTCTACGTGCAGATCCCCGGTACCGCGGGGGGCAGGGACAGCCGGGAACCGCGGGGGCGAGGGGAGGGGGCTAGGCAGGGCCGGCATGGGGCTGGGGCGGCCGGGACGGGGTCGGGATGGGGCCGGGGACGTGGCCGGTGGAGCCGGGATGGGGACGGGAGAGTCGGGACAGAGCCGGGACGGAGCTGGGATGGGTCCGGTAGAACCGGGATGGAGCTGGGGCAGAACTGGGAGCAGTCCAGTAGAACGGGCATAGAGCTGAAAGGGGTCCAGTAGAACCGGGATGGAGCGGGGACGGGTCCGGTAGAACCGGGACAGAACCAGGGATGGGGCGGGTGGAGCCGGGATGGAGCCAGGACGAGGCCGGTATCACCGGGATGGAGCCGGTACAGAGCTGGGACGGGTCCAGTAGAACCGGGATAGAGCCGGGGATGGGGCGGATGGAGCTGGAACGGGGCCGGTAGGACTGGGATGGAGCTGGGAGTGGGAGCAGTAGAGCCGGGATGGAGCCGGGACATGGCCAGTGGATCGGGAGTGGGACTGGTGGAGTTGGGATAAAGCTGGAACGGGGCCGGTGGAGCCGGGACGGAGCCGGGATGGGGCTGACAGACCCCCACGGGGCCGCCCCTGCCGTCCCGTTTCTCTCCCCATAGCCTGATCTCTCCCTTACTGGGAAGACCGGCAGTACTGGGAGCGGCTCCTCTCCCTCCCTCCACCCTCCCCAGGGGTCCAGGGGGTGTTCAGGCCCCCCCTGAGCCCCCCAACTCCCCCTGCCCACAGCAGGCAGCGGCGTCGCCTCCGTCCACGTGGCCAGGCTGGATGTGGCAGCTCCTGGGCTGCACCTGGGCTCTTCCCACAGGCTCCCAGTTCCAACTGGGAAGCTGGGACAGGGTGTGGGGACAACCTGGAGCCCCCAGTCGGCACCCGGGGACTGCCACAGGGGTGAAGCCGAGGTGCTGCCTGCGGGGGGGCTCCCGGCTGTGCTGCCCCGGTTTTCCTGGGAATGCCTGAGTGCCGTTCCCGTTGCAGGCCTGTATGGAAGGGAGGGGATCCTGCCGGCCCGCAAGGTGCTGCGGCTCAGCGGGAAGGGGCTGTGGGAGCAGCTCCGGGATTCCCCCACCCTGCTGTGGCTCAGCCCGCGGCTGGGGCTGGACACGGAGCAGGGCATGGAGCTGCTGTGCCTCGTGGGGATCCTGGCGTCCTTCGGAGCCCTGGTGTGCGATTCCATGCGGGATTGCCTGGTCTTCGCCCTGCTCCGGGTGCTCTACCTGTCCCTCTACCAGGTGAGGGGCTGGGGGGGTCCTGCAGGGGCTTGGCACCATCCTACAGAATTCCTGGAATGCTCAGATTCCCTTGTGGAGCTGGGGAAAGTGTTGGGAGGTACAGTCGTGGAATCGTGGTTGGTCTGGGAGGGAAAGGGACTTTAAATCCCATCCCAGTCCAGCCCAAAGGGGCAGGGACACCTTCCACTTCCCCAGGTTGCTCCAGCCTGGCCTTGGACACTTCCAAGGATCCAGGGGCAGCCACAGCTTCTCTGGCCAACCTGGGCCAGGGTCTCCCCACCCTCCCAGCCAGCAATTCCTTCCCAATCTCCCATCTGTCCCTGCCCTCTGGCACTGGGAAGCCATTCCCTGTGTCCTGTTCCTCCATGCCTTGTCCCAAGTCCCTCTCCAGCTCCAGGTCAGGTTGGACAGGGCTTGGAACAACCTGGTGTAGTGGAAAGTATCTCTGCCCTGGGCAAGGGTTTGGAATGGGATGTGATTTAAGGTTGCTTCCCACCCAAACCATTCCATGATTCCATGAATCTTCCCTTCAGGAGCTCTGGTGAGTCAGAGCCAGCTGCTGTGCGGGGAGGAGGAGGGTTTTTCTTCCCTCTGGAATCAGGGAGTTAACGAGGGATAAATCACCCGTGTATGGCTTTTATCCCCCGGGGTAGGGAATTGTCACCTCCGGAGGTGGGGGCTGTCACTCCCGGGAGTGGCTCCCGCCCCTTGGAATTGTGTATCCCAGTGTGGCTCCGGCCGTTCCCGGCCCGTTCCCTCCTCACTCCCTTTTAGGGCGATTCTGGAAGCGCGTCCCTGGAAGGACATCCCTGCTCCTCCCCCGGGCTGGGCTGCGGGCAGGGAACACGCCCAGTGTGGAATGAGCCCCCCCCAACTCCTCCCGGAGCATTCCCGGGCTGTGATCCAAGTGCTGCCATTCCCACGGCTCCTTGGGGTTGGCCTGGAGCCCCGTGCTGGGAAAGGAGCTGGGGGGGGGGAGCCAGGGGGTGTCTGTGCCTGCCCCTCTCCATGTGGGGAAGGGTCTGGGGGGGCCAAACCTGCCCCACTCACCCCCATCCCCACCCCATTCCCTCTCCACAGGTGGGACAAGTCTTCCTGTACTTCCAGTGGTGAGTCAGGATCCCCCCTTGGGCCTTTTGCAGGGGCTGTGGGGGGCTTGGAGCTGGGGGAGATGTCCTGCACCCCCCTACAGCCCCCGGGATGGGGGACACAATGGGGTGGGGGCTCTGGGACCAAGGTGGGGGACTTTGGGGACCACAGTGGGACAGGGACACTGGGGACCAGGATGGGGGCATGGGTTGGGGGGGAGGCGTTGGGGACTGGGATGGGGGCATGGGAGGCTCTGAGGACCAGGATGGGGTGCGCTGGAGAGTCAGGGATGGGGGGCCAGGCAGAGGGCACAGGGAGCTAGGGTGAGACAGGGGCTCTTGGAACCAGGGCGGGGGGCTTCTGGGCACCAGGGGGATATAGGGGCTCTGGGGCCAGGGGGCACAGTGGGAGAGGGGGGGCACAAGAAGACAGGGTCCCCAGCCCCATGTATGGGGGGATCTGTCTCCACTGAGGGGAGCAGGACAGGCCCCCTGAGGGGTGTGTGGCACTGGGGGGCTCAGCTCTGTGCTCTCCCCCTCCCAGGGACAGCCTGCTGCTGGAAACAGGGTTCCTGGCCGTGCTCGTGGCCCCCCTGCGCCTGCTGAGGCGGGGGTCCCCCTCCTGGAGACCCCACGACCCCGTCACCTTCTGGGGGGTGCGGTGGCTCCTCTTCCGCCTCATGTTCGCCTCGGGGGTCGTGAAGCTGAGCAGCCGCTGCCCCACCTGGTGGGGGCTCACAGGTGAGGGGGGAGTTTGGGAGATCGCAGGTGAGGGCGGGTGGGTTTGTGGAGGTCACAGATGAGGGGTGGTGGGTTTGGGGGCTCGCAGGTGAGGGGCTGCAGGTCTGGAGGCGGCACAGTTATGCCCCCACACTCGGGGACATGGCAGCCCCCATGCCAGGCCGTGCCCTGGGGGCAGCACTCCACTCTGGGGGGCTGTCCCCGCCATGTGCCCGCCCTGAGCCCCCCGTGCCCCCAGCGCTGACCTACCACTACGAGACGCAGTGCATCCCCACGCCGGGGGCCTGGCTCGCCCACCAGCTGCCCGTGTGGTTCCAGAAGCTCAGCGTGGTGGCCACCTACGTCATCGAGGTGGCCGTGCCCGTGCTCTTCTTCGCGCCCCTGCGCCACCTGCGCCTCTTCGCCTTCTACTGCCAGGTGGGGAAGGGGCACAGAGGGACCCCCGGGGCTTGGGGTGGGCTCCTGGCTGTGGGGGTGCTGGGAGAGGGGCTGGTTGTGCCACTGATGGTGGTGTTGGGGTGCCCCGTGCCCTCTGCTCTCCAGCCCCATGACCCCCCCGCAATGTGACCCCCTGGGGCCCCCTCATGCCACAGCTTATGCTGGGGGGGGCTCCCCTGGGGCAGGGGGTTGGCTCCTCACTTTGCCATCACCAGGAGATGGGATGGTGGTGTTGGTGGTGCTGATGGGGTTGCCCAGTGTTCCTGGCCCCCCAGTCCCGTGACCCTCCCCCTGTCCCTGCTTCCCCCCAGGTCCTGCTGCAGGTGCTCATCATCCTCACGGGTAACTACAACTTCTTCAACGCGCTCACCGTCGTCCTGGCCTTCTCCCTGCTGGACGAGGAGCACGTGGGGCGCTGGCTGGGGCGCCCCAAGAAGCGGCAGGGCAGCGGTGAGACACCCAGGACCCCGACTTTTGGGGGGGGGGCAGGCCATTTCTGGGGTGGGGAGGGGACAGATGACGACATTATGGCTCCACTGTGGGAGCTTCTGCCAGCACAGCCCCTCCCCACCCCCAGGGGTTAGGGGGCTGTGGCCGTGGGGGACCCTGGGAGGGCTCGGGGGACTTGAGGGGTCCCAGCCCAGCTTTGAGCCCCCCAACATCCCCCAGCCTGGCCCCCCAGCCTGGGCTCTGTGCTGGCCACGCTGCTGGAGCTCAGCACCTACGGGCTCCTGCTCTACTGGACTGTCCAGTACTTCGGCCTGGAGATCAACTGGGACAAGAAGCTGCTGGACTCCAAAGTGGGTATGTCTGGGGGGGCTGCCGACCCCTCAACCTTCTCCCCCGGGGGGCTGGAGCAGCCCCTCCCTGATGCCACAGCTTTCCCTCGGCTCCAGCCTTCACCTACCACGAGTTCACGACGTGGCTGCGGACGGTGACGCTGCCGCTGGTGGGGGTGGCCTTCCTGTCCCTGTTCTGGGAGATCCTGGTGGCCATGTACCGGTGGGTGTCGGGGGGCACCGGGGACCCCCGGGGTGCCCTGAGGGCGTGGGGGACCTCTGGGTGCTGGGGGAGTTGGGGGGAGCTCTGGGAGCTGGGAATAGGATGGTGCAGCTCCGGGAGTGGGGAGTGTTGGAGCAGTCAAGCACAGAGTGGGGGGCTCTGGACCCCTCAGCTCACAGCTGGAGCTCCCCAAACTGGGGACCGGTGCCTCTTTGCCCCTTTAATGCCCCATTTCTGCCCCCCCAGCTGTGCCTGTGTCCGTGGATGCTTCTGGAAGCTCTGGGCCACCCTACAGTGGGCCATCATGGCCACAGCCACTGTCAGCTTGTTCGCCGTCAGCCTGGTGAGGGGTCTGGGGGGTCGGGGGGCTCTTGGAGACCCCCCCGAGCCGCAGTGACAGACCCCTCCTGCCCCTCCCAGGTGCCCTTCACCTACATTGACCACGAGTCCAACGGGAAGCTGTGGCCTGGCATCCACCAGCTGTTCGGGGCCGTGGAGCGCTTCCAGGTGGTGAATTCCTACGGGCTGTTCCGCAGGATGACAGGGGTCGGGGGGCGGCCCGAGGTGGTGCTGGAGGGCAGCTACGACGGGCACAGCTGGACGGTGAGTCAGGGCCACGTCCCCAAGTGCCACATCCACACGGCTTTTTAATTCCTCCTGGAATGGTGGCTCCGCCACTGCCTCGGGCAGCCCCTTCCAACATCTGATAATCCCTTCCAGGAAGGAACGTTCCCGATATCCAACCTAAACCTCCCCCTGGCACAGTTTGAGGCCGTTTCCTCTTGCCCTGTCGCTTGTTCCCAGGGTTTAGAGCCACCCCCAGGTGCTTTTCCTGCCAGGCAGTTTTCCTGCCACCCTTTCCCGCATTTCCCCGTTTCCCCCTGGAATGCTGCCTGGGGCTGCGAGGTGTCCCCGTCACAGAATCCCGGGATGTTTGGTTGGGAAGGGACCTTACAAACCACCCAGTTCCACCCCCGTGCCATGGGCCACCTTCCCCCAGAAGCTCCCCACTGGCTCGTTCCCCTCAGGAACCCCCCAGGGCAAGGGGTGATGACCCTCGGGGTGGGCAGGGGGCTCCGGATCCCGGTGCCAGCCGCTCCCATCCCACAGGAGATCGAGTTCATGTACAAGCCCGGGAACGTGAGCGCAGCCCCGGCCGTGGTGGCCCCGCACCAGCCCCGCCTGGACTGGCAGCTCTGGTTCGCTGCCCTGGGGCAGCACCACGGCAGCCCCTGGTTCACCGCCCTGGTGCTGCGGCTGCTGCAGGGCCAGCGTGATGGTGAGGCCTGGGGGGTGTCGGGGGGCTCTGGGGACAGAGCAGGGTGTCCCCACAGTGGGTTTTGGTGTTGTCGCCCTGCAGCAGTTTGGGGTGTCCCTGTGGCAGTTGGGGCGTCCCTGTGGTTGGTTTTGAGTGTCTCTGCAGTTGGTTTTGGGTGTCCCTGTGGCAGTTTGGGGTGTCCCCACAGTGGCTTTGGGTGTTCCAGCAGTTTAGGGTGGCCCTGTGGCAGTTTGGGGCGTCCCGCAGTGTTTTGGGGTGGCCCTGTGGCAGTTTGGGGTGTCGCTGCAGTTGGTTTTGGGTGTCCCCACAGTGGTTTTGGGTGTTCCAGCAGTTCGGGGTGGCCCTGTGGCAGTTTGAGGTGTATCCCACAGTGTTTTGGGGTGTCCCTGCACAGAATTTCAGAGATGTCCCCTGGAAGGTTCAGGGTGTCCTCCTGCAGCACTTCAGGGTGTCCCCGTGGAGGTTCAGGGTTGTCCCTCTTCTGGTTTGGGGTGTCCCTGTGGTGGTTTGGGGTGTCCCCCTGCAGCAGCTTTGGGTGTCCCTGTTCTGGTTTGGGGTCTCTCCCCATGGCATTCCAGGGTGTCCCTGCAGACTTTCAGCGTTCCTCCCCCTTTAGCACTGTGAGGTGTCCCCGTGGCACTGGGGTGTCCCCCCGTTGTCCCCGAGTGGGGGCTCAGGCCATTGTCACTCGTGTCCCGCAGTGATCCGGCTGGTGCAGGTGGACGAGTCGCGGTACCCGTTCAGCGCCCGGCCGCCCACCTTCCTGCGGGCCCAGCTCTACAAGTACTGGTTCACGGGCCCCTCGGAGGGCAGGTGAGCGGGGACGGGGCCCCCTGCACCCCAAAGCCCCACTGGGGGTGGGATGTGGGGGCTCAGCTGAGCTGCCCCTCCCCAGCCCGGGCCCGGCGCCGTGGTGGCGGCGGCAGCACGTCCAGGAGTTCTTCCCCACCGTGTCCCTGGGAGACCCCACGCTGGAGAGCCTGCTCAGCCAGCACGGCCTCAAGGTAGGCTGACCCTTGAACCCCCTCCCTGGGCCCTGCTCCCCTTCCTGCAGACCCCTCACCTGACCCCTAACCCCCCCTTGCTGTCCCCTGAGCCCCCTTTCCTCTCCCCTGATGCCCCTGCCTTGCTCCTGACCCTCTCCATGGCACCTGAGCCCCCTTCCCTCACCTTCCCAGGCCCCCAAGCCCCCATCCCTCATCTCTCTTCCTAATCCCGACTCCCTTCTCCCCGTGCCCTCTCCTTCCCTTTCTTTCCCCTGACCCCCACTGACCCCCTTCCCTTGCCCTGACCTCCCTTTCCCCTGACCCCCCTTCCTCACCTTCCCTGGCCCCCAGCTCCCCTTCCCTGGCCCCTTCCCCGTGTTCCCTGTCCCTGACTCGGTCTCTCCCGGCAGGACAAGCCCCCTCTGCGGCGCCGCTCGGACGCGGCCCTGCCGTGGCTCTTGGGGTGGCTGCGGGGGCTGTCCCGGCCCTTCTCCGGCCCCGCCGTGCTCTGGACCCTGTACCTGGTGGCCGCCACCGTGGGGGTGCTGCGGGCCCTGGGCCCCCGGGCACGGGGGCCGCCCCTGCCCGCCACAAGGCCCGGGGGAGCGGGGGAGCGCAACGGGGTGCGGGGAGAGGGGCGGGGGCGGGCGGGGGGCGAGGGCCACGGGGAGGGGCGGCAGGGGAGGGGCGGCCTGGCCCCAAGAAGAAGAAGTAGCTCCCGCAGCCCCCCACCCGTGTTCCAGCCCCGGGGGGGTTCCTGGGGTGGGGGCGTGTCAGGTGGGCCCTACCCCGGGGGGATCACGGTGTTCCCCCCCAGTGCCTTCAGCACGGTGTGGCCATGCAGTGGGGGACCCCTCCCTGCAGCCTGGGGACTGCTGGGGACCCCTCCCCACTGCCCAGGGACCCCTTGGGGACCCCTCTGTGGCCTGGGGACTGCTGGAGACCCCTCCCCACTGCCCAGGGACTGCTGGGGGCCCCTTCCCACTGCCCAGGGATCTCTTGGAGATCCCTCCCCCCTGCTTGGGGAGCACTCCCTGCAGTCCAGGGACCGCTGGGGACTTTTTCCCACTGCCCAGGCAGCCCCTGGGGATTGCTTCCCACAGCCTGGGGACTTCTGGGGGCCCCTGGCACTGCCCAGGGACCCCTCTGGGCCCCACAAGGGAAGGGGTTTCGATATGGTTACGGGGCTCAGCACAGATGGGGGGCTCCTTGCCAGCAGGATGGAGCAGTTTGGGCAGTGCCAACCCTCCTCCTTACCCTGCCCAGCCCCTCAGGTGCCCCCCCCAGGGCAGTTTGGGGTGCTGCCCCCCATGTCCCCCACCCCGGTGGGCTCTGCCTATCCCGTGCTTCCCCCCTGGCTCAGCCCCAAGCCCAGAAGTCCAGAGGTTTCCTATAATTTTCTAAATAAAGCCTTTGACATTCCAGCCCCGTGGCTCTCCTGGGATTTGGGGGGGTTCCTAGGCCCCCTCCTGCCCCGGGGGGGGCAGTGCTGCTCCCCCCTGCCTGGGGTGACCCCCTATGAGAGGGGGGGAGGCGACTGGCCCGGAGTGCGGCACAAGCAGGTTTATTTACCCCACGGCGGGGTCTGGAGGAGGTGCTGGGTGCTGCTGTGAGTGAGTGAGGGGCCCAGCGGGGGTCCCAGCAGGGTGGGAGTGGTCCTGGCAGGGTGGGGGTCACCAGCAGAGCTGCCCCGGGCAGTACTTGTCGATGAGGGACTGGTAGTACCCGCGGAGCTGCTGCACGTCGGGCAGATCCTCCTGCTTGGTGTACAGGTCGAACTTGCTGTGGGAGCACAAGGAGGGGGGTCAGGATGGGGGGGCGGGGCTGCTGCCCAACCCCCTCCCCCAGCCCCTGGGGGGCTCAGCTGAGCCCCCAGCGCCCCCCAGGCACGCACTTGAACTCCCGGACCCAGGGCAGCATCCGCCAGTCCTCCTGGGAGCAGAGGTGTCCATAGTCCCCGTGCACGTGCCAGGGGTAGAAGGAGTGGAAGCGAATCATGTAGAAGGCCTAGAGGGGGACAGGGACGTGCCAGCTCAGTTTTGGGTGCCCCCCCTGTACCCCCAAACCCCCAGAGGGGGTCCCTGTCCCCCCATGTACCCCCTACTCTGAGCTCACCTCCTTGGGCAGGGCGAACTTGTTGAATTTCATCACTTGGTACATGTACTCTGGAGGGGGGGGGAAAGGGGGGCGTGTGGGGAGGGCCTGGACCCCCACTGGGGGGCACCCCCAGAGGGGCAGCCCCCCCTGAAAGCCACAGCTCCCCCTGGGGAGCTGCAGCCCCCGCCCCACACCGAGGGCTCCAACCCCCCAGCAAAGGGGGCAGTGGGGGGGGCAGCACAGCCCCCCTACCCCTCTGGGGACCCTTCCCCGAGGAGGGGACACCCCCTACCCGCCCCCCAGCTCACCATCGTGGCCCCAGGACATGAGGACGTTCTCCAGGCCACAGCCAGGTTGGTACATCCCACACTCAGTGCTGGGGGTGGAGCAGGATGGGGGGTGAGGGGCTGGACCCCCCCTCTAGACCCCGACTGGGCCCTGGGGTGCAGCCCCCCACCCCCAGCACCCCCCAGGGGTTTGGCTCACCTGTACCGGGGGTCCTTGGTGTCGGGGTTGTCGTGGAAGGTGGAGTCCCCATAGACCACCGACTTCTGCACCTTGCAGCCCACCGGGAAGGTGTCCCCCACCACTGCCCACTGTGGGGGGGCATGGGGGTCACAACACCCCCCTGGAGGGTTCCCCCGACGCGGGGGGCTCCCCCGTGCCCCCTCCCCACCATCCCACTCACCTGGGGCTCCCCGAAGAGCACCAGCACCTTCCCCAGGTCGTGCAGGAGCCCCACGAGGTGGAACCAGTCTGAGGGTGAGTGGGGTCGTCAGCTCGGGCCGGGACCCTGCGGGGGCGGGAGGGGACGGGAGGGAGGGTGTGGCCCTACCTTTGTCGGGGTGTGCTCGGCGGATCCCTTCGGCCGTCTGGAAGGCGTGGAAGGAGTTGGGGAAGTCCACGTCGGGGTCCGACTCATCCACCAGCTGGTCCAGCAGCTCCAGCGCCTCCATCACGCTCATCCTCCGCAGGGAGCACGGCCCGTACTGGGCTCTCTGGGGACACCGGGCACGTGGGGACACCCAGACACCCCCCGGGGACCCCATGGGGCTGGGAGGGTGGGTCCCCTCGTTGTCCCCGGAACGGGGCACCAGGGCTGGACTGGGGGTGCAGGGTGGGAGGGCTGTGACACTCCCCTGCTGTGGGGACCCCGGGGGACAGGGTTACTGGGGGGGGACGGACACGGGTGACCGGGGGGACACAGGGTGACTGGGGGCTCCCACCTTCCTGCGGACGAAGTCCACGGTCTGGTGTGTGTGCATGAGCAGGTACGTGTGGTACACGCGGTCGATCAGCTTCCCCTCCTGTGGGGCAGCGGGGAGGGGGCAACGGGGGGGTCAGGGGGGTCCCGGGAGCAGGGGGAGCCCCAATGTCCCCCCACCCCAGCGTGGGGTGGCACAGCTCCCCAGGGCTCTTCCAGCTGCTCCCAGCCCAGGGTGGGACCCCCAGTGTGGCCAGCTGGGGGCAGACAGAGGGACACAGGGACTCACTGTGGGACCCCTAGAACCCAGGACCCCCAGCAGTCACCTCACACCACAGGACCCCCAGGACCTTTATGCACTCCCCCCATGACACCCCACCCGGTTTTGGGGCCCCCCTGAACCCCCCCTCCCCACACGGGATCCCCTGGGACCCCCCAAACTCACGGTGTAGTTGCGGAACTCGGACTTGTCCTTGCTGGGTTTGGGCTCCTCAGAGGGGTCGGGACCCTGAGGGGGGATGGGGGGGCTCAGGGGTCCTGTCCTGTCCCCCAGCCAGGGACAGGGGGCAGAGACAGCGAGGGGGGACTCAGGGGTCCCATCCTGCCCCTCTGGGCTTGGCACCGTGGGACAGGACAAGGGGTCAGGGACAGGGGGACAGGGTCAAGGGGACAGTGGCGCTGAGGGAAGACCTGGCCACGGGGTCACACGGTGTCACACAGTGTCACACAGTGTCACACAGTGTCACACTCTGTCACAGATCATCACACAGGGTCACTGTCACACAAAATCACACACTGCCACACGCTATCACACACTGTCACAGTGTCACACGCTGTCACACATTGTCACACCCTATCACACACACACTGTCACACACTGTCACGATGTCACACAAAATCACACATTGTCACACACTATCACACACTATCACACACTGTCACACACTGTCACAGTGTCACACACTGTCACACGCTGTCACAGTGTCCCCCCTGTCACACACTGTTCCCCCAAGGCACAGAGGGGACCCAGGGGTGCTGCCCCTGCCCTGATCCCAAGGTGGTTTCCAGCCCAAGGTACCACTGGGTGAGAGCAGTGGCTCTGGACCCTGTATGGGGTCCCTGATCAGCCCCAGGGGTGCTGCAGGACCTCCCCAGACCCTGCAGCCCCTCAGGGCTGGCACTGACCCCCCCACCATTGCCTGGGGGGAGAGAGCAGCTCCCCACAGCCACGGGACCCCCCTCCTGCTTGGGGGGTCACCATTAGGCTGGGACCTCCTCGTGGTGGTGTCCCCAGGGGTGGGTCCCTTATGGGGTGACACCTCCCCTGCAGGGAGGACATCACCGAGGGGTCTCCTCTGCCGCCCACGTTTGGGGTGACACAGGCAGGTCTGTCCCCCCCCCCCAAAGTGTGGGGTGACACAGCTGTGTCTGCCCCCCGGGGAAGTGGCCCCGGCCCCCCTGCCCGCACTCACCGCCTGGAGGCTCCTCATGGTGGCTCTGGGGGGGTCACAGACTGCGGGCCGGCCGCGGGACCCCCGGTTTTGTGCTGGGGGGCGGCCCCGCCCGGCCCGGCGGGGACAATCGGTGACCAGTTAACCCGCCCCGGTTAATGTTTGACCCCGCGCCCGGCTGGGGGGGCTGCGGCTCCCGGGAGAGGCTGGGGGACCCCCCGGGCCGGCCTCAAGCTGGGGACACCCCCTCCCCGAACTGGGGACCCCCGGGCTGGGCCCCCCCGGCCGCGCTGCCAGCAGTGACCCCTCGGTGGGGGCACAGAGTGACCCCCGGGGACGCGGGGAGCGGAACCGGCCCCGCGGCCCCGGGGCCAAGGGGCACTTTGGGGGGCTGGGGGCACAGCGGACGGGGGCACCGGCCTGGTGTGGCACCCGCCACGTGGCCACCGGGACCCCGAGTGCCCGAGGGGGCATGGCGGGGGCAGGCACGGGCGTGGCAGGGCACGGGAATGCGGGAATGTCCCCTCCGGGGCCCGCACGTGCGTACGGGGGGTGACACCCACACGTGTCGGGAGGGTGTTGCTGTATCCTCTGTCCCCGCACCCCTGCCCATCACCTCCTGCCCCCTCGGCACCCACCCCTGGCCACGGCAGCCCCCCGTACCCCCCTCCGTGCCCCATCCCCCCGGGAACACCACGCTCCATTCCAAGTTCCTCCTCACTCGCTTTATTCCACACAGACCAGGATTCCCGGCGGGAAGCAGTGACACGATCGGGTCAGGCACCCGCCGGGGCACCCGGGGGAGGGGGCGAGGGCTGAGGGTCCCCTCGGGCCCCCTACCCCTCCGCTGGAGCCTCCTGGGACACCCGTGGGAAAGAAATGGCTCCAGGGGCTCCGGGTGGTACCCGTGGGGTCCTGTCCTGGGGGCCTCCCGTAACACCAAGGGGATCTCAACTCAGGGACCTTCTGTGCCACCCATGGAATGGACACGTCTCCAGGTGACTCCCGTGGGACACCCCGTGCCAGGAACCTCATGAGGTACCCTGTTCCAGACCCCCTGGCACCTAGGGGGACACCCTGTCCCTGGGACATCCTGGGAAATCCACGGGACACCCCGTCCTGCCCTGGGAAGCAGGAGAGGGCAAGCCAGGGCAGCACCCCTGGGTGTCACCCACCCACTCACCCAGGGCTGCTGAGGGCTGGGGACTCCACGGAATGGGGGTGCTCTGGGGGATTGGAGTGTTCCTGAGGGATTAGGGGTGTTTTGGGGGATTGGGATGCTCCTGGGAACTGGGCTGCTCTGGGGTCACACATCCCTGTCCCACCAGGGCACAGGGTGGCACTGGGACCCTGGGGTGACACCAGTACTCCGGGGTGACAGATACCCGGCGTCCCCTCGTGTCCGTGGGCCTCCACCTCGTGCCAGCACCCACTGAGGCCGTGGGGACACAACGTGTCACCAGTGAGAAAGGGGTGACCCCGAGGGTGTGCCAGGGAACTGGAGGGGGGGGGAACAGGGCAGGGACAAGAGCAGCCGTCTGACCCTGGGCAGGCGGGGGGAGGACAAGGGGTGCTGGGGGTGCCCCGGGGGTGTCACGGGGGGTGTGTCCGTGCGTGCCGTGGCAGGCACTGGATTGCTGAGTCAGCGGGATCGCGGCCGGGGGGAGCGTGGCCGGGGGGGTCTTGCACAAGGCGCAGGCGTCGCTGCGCTCAGTGGGATCCTCGGTGGCCCCTGGACCCGCCCCGGACGGACCGGCCACTGTCAGACACCGCGGGTCACCACGGGCCACCAGCAGGGGCCACCCTGAGCCGCCGAGAGTCACTATGGGCCACCACAAGTCACCACGGGCCACCCTGGGCCACTGCCAGTCACTCTGGGCCTCGGCTGGCCACCGTGGGTCACCTTGGCCACCACCAGTCAGCAATGGGCCACCTCGGCCACCGCCAGCTCCTGCGGGACATCACAGCCCACCGTGGACCGCCGCTGGTCGCCATCTCCCGGCCCCGGGTCCTCTCTGCTCCCTGGGCTCCACTCGGGAGGTTCTCACGGCAGGAACCCCCCCAGCCCCCGGCGTGGGCGGTGCGGAGGAGCCCAGCCACGTGTGCCTGTGCAAGCGCTTTAGTGGGTTCCCGCGGGGCAGGCAGGGCGGGGGGCGCGGGGCCCCCTCCCCGCTCAGCCGTAGCTGTGGGGGCTGTTGGGGTTCATGGGGGACGAGTCGCGGCGCCCCGACAGGCCCCGCAGCTGCCACAGGCGGTGGCTCAGGTTCTGCACCTGGCAGGTGCCCAGCACGCAGCCCACCCGCACCGCGTGTCCCCCCGCGTGGCGCCGCGGGCGGGGGTCCCGCCGGGGGTCTCGCCGTCGGTCGTGCCGCAGGAGGAGGCGCTGGACGTGCCACGGGGGGCGCCGGCGGGCGAGCAGTCTGTGCCGGGGGGCCGGGCGGGCACCGCGCCGTGGGGAGACCCAGGAGCCGTGCCGGGGGTCCGGGGGTCGGTGCCGGGGGTCCGGGGGTCGGTGCCGCGGGGTCCCGGCGGGCAGAGGCGGCGGTGCGGGGGGCTCGGGGCCAGTGCGGTCCCCGAGAAGGGAAGGGATCAGCTCCGGGGGTCTCCGGGCCGGCGAGTCCCTGTAAGAGAGAAGGGGTAGAGTCGTGGCGGGGGTAGAGCTGTGGTACCCGGGGAGGGGAGGGTGGCACCGGGACAGCGGGAGAACGGCGGGGACGTGGGGGTACCGAGTGTGCCCGGGGCTGCCGGAGGAGGAGGAGGAGGAAAGGGGGAGGAGGAGGAAGAGACGGAGGAGGAGGAGGCAGCAGTCAGGGCAGGGGAGACGATACCTGCAGCCACACACGTACTGCCAGCATGGGCAAACGCGTGTCCCAGCGCACACACACGCGTGCCCCAGCACTCACACACGCGTGCCCCAGCACTCACACACTGTAATCACACACACCCTCCTGCCCCCTCCTTTTGCCTCGCACCCCGTTCCCGTGGCCTCTGCCCGAGCACCCACATGTCCCGACTGTGGCCCCCACCCCCGTGCTCCGGGCACCCACGGTGGGGGGGGTCCGGCCTCAGGGCACCCCCACAGTGACTCAGAGCTCTCCTCAGCCCTGCAGTACCCCTGTGCCTGAGTGCTCCCCCCTTCCTGGCACCCTCCTGCCTCAGCCTCAGTGCCCCCTGTCCTGGAGCCCCCATGTCTCAGTGCCCCCCTTCCAAGGACCGGACCCCATCCTGGGGACCCCATTCTGGGAACCCCAGTGCCCCCCATTCTGGCACCTTCCTGCCTCAGTGCCCCTTGTCCCCGAGAACCCTGTGCCTCAGGGGACCCCATCCCACATCACCCTGCAGCCCCTGTGCGGGTCGGGGTCCCCCAGTCCCACCCTCATCCATCGCCCTGGCAGGGCCCACCCTCCGGCCCTCCCAGGAGCTGGCAGATCCCACGGGAGCAGCCGGGGATCCCCAGGGCGCCGGGATCGGCCCAGGCCCGCCCCCGGAGCAGCGGCAGGCACACGCATGTCCAGTGTGCACACACGCACACGCACAGAATGTGCACACGCACACGAGGGGGTTCTGTCCTGACCCCAGGTGCCCCTTCAGCAGGGTGTCCCATCGCCCCCTAAGCCCCTCCCTGGGCACCCCCACACTGGTACAGGCAGCCCTCGAGCTCTGCCCCGATCTCCGTCCCAGGTCTCAGTCACCCCTCACACCCCTCACACGCACTCCCCGGTGCCCCCCATCGCGGGGGTCCAGGACCCTGCAGTCCCGCACCCCTCCCACCCCCGTGTCCCTCGGGTCCCCCGCGGGCAGGGGTGGGGGTCTGGCAGAAGGCGGTGCCCGGGGGACCCCCAGACTCCCCCTCCGGGCAGCAGGGGGGGCGTGGGCGGACGGGGAGGGCGCGGGGCTTGGTCCAGGGCAGGGGGAGTGGGGCTGACACGGACAGGGGTGCGGGAGGTGGGTGCGGGTGCAGGGAGGGTGCGGGAAAGGGAAAAGGGGGGCAGTCGCCCCGCGCCAGGGGCGGGCAAGGGGGGGCCGGACGGGGGGCCCCCCGGCAGTGCGGGCAGGGGGCACAGAGCCATTCCAGGCAGGGGGTGCGGGCAGGGGGTGCGGGCAAAGATGCGTGCAGGTGTCCGGGCGGGGTGTGGAGAGGGAGCGCGGGCTGACAGGGGTTCGATCGAGAGTCCGGGTAGGGGATTCCAGCAGGGGGTGCGGGCAGGGGGCCGGGAAGGGGTGAGAGCAGGGACTGAGGGAGGGCAAGAGTTCGATCAGGGGTCCGGGCAGACGTGCGGGCAGGGGATGCGGGTGGGCAGGGGGTTCAAGCGGGAGTTCGGGGAGGTGGTGTGGGCGGGCAGGGAGTTCGATCAGGCGATCGGGCAGGGGATCGAGCAGGGGGTGAGGGCAGGGGGTGAAGGCAGGAGATCGAGCAAGGGGTGAGGGCAGAGGGGCGGGCAGGGTCCCTCACCTGCGGGGCGGCAGGGCCCGGCCGCGGGGCAGCTCCAGCAGACACAGCGCGAAGCTGACGCAACCCAGCGCCAGCGGGGCCGGGGCTCGCATGGCCGGACGGGCCGGGCCGGGCGGCGGCGGCTGCGGGAGAAACGGGGCGGGTGGCTCGGGGGGGGGGCTTCGCGCGGGGGTCGCGCTGGGGTCCGGTCCGGCCCCGCCCTCCTGTCTGTCCGGCCCCCGCTCCGCTCCCTCCCCGTCCCGCAACCCCGGGACCACCGGGGCGGTGCGGGGTTCCGGCGGTACCTGGCCGGGATCGGGATCGGGATCGGGGTGCGGTGGCGTCTGGTCGGTCCCTACTCGGCGCTGTCTCTCCCCGCCCCGGCCCAGGTTAAATATCGCCGGGACCGGCGGGCGGGAGGAGCCGAGCGGGTCGGGAGGAGCCACGGGCGGGGGCAGCCCCGCACCGCCCCTGGCTCCGCACCGGCCCCGGGCCCCTGGCCGAGCACCGGCTCCGCACCTTCCCCAGCCCTGCACCAGTCCCGCAACCCCCCTGGCCCCGCTCCGGCCTCGCACTCCCAGCGCCGGGACGGGCCCGCACTGTCCCCTGTCCCTCACCGGCTCCGCACTCCCCCCGCTACCTCTCGGCCCGGCACCATGCCCTGCCCCACTCCTGCCCTGCAGTCCCGCACCCGCCACCGCCCCCAGGACCCTCCCGGCGCTGGGCTGGGGTGGGCTGGGGCTGGGGGAGCGCTCCTGGGGGCTGGGATGGGCCGGGGGAGCGCTCCTGGGGGCTGGGATGGAATGGAATGGGATGGGCTGGGCTGGGCTAGGCGAGCCACGCGGGGGGCAGCACAGTGGGGCTGGGCTGGGGCTACTGGGGGGCTCTGGGTACCCCCCACCGCCCGGCGGTGGCCGCGGGGCCAGGGCGGTGGTGCCCGGTGCCACGTCGTGCTGTGCCTTGCCAAGCTCCTCTCCCTCCTGGCACCGGCGGGCAGCGGGGCCCCCCCGGGGCCCCCCGACCCCCCCACAATGCCCTGCCGGGGAGGGCAGAGCCCCCCCACTCCCTCGCTGCTTCCCACACTCGGGGTGCAAACCCAGGCTGGGCCAGGGCTGCTCCCTAGCCCGTGGAGCCCCGTGCCCCCAGTTTGGGCAGCCCTTTCTGTCCCACGGTCCCCTCGGGGGGCAGCACCGACACCCCCCCCTCATCGTTCTCCCAGGGCTGATTCCATGTTTTTAAGCATCACATGGGGCCCTGTAAAACAATTAAGGAATGTAAATCCGCAGGGATCAGACCAGTCCCGCTCCTGCCGGGAAGCAGCTCCCCCAAACTGAGGGTGGAGGGGTGCTCGGGGATGGCAGGAGCTGGGGAGCTCCTGGGGGGCTGCTCCTTGAACCAGGAAGCAGGGGAATGGTCCCCACAGCCCCCTCGCTGGGAGCCCTCTCCAGGCCCCCCAGCTCCTGCTCCGGGATGGGGTCTGGGTGTTCCTGGCGGGAATGGGGCGAGAACCCTCCAGCACCGCAGGGTGCCCAAGCCCGGGTCCGGAGCCCAGGGTGGGGGTACTCACTCCCCCCACCACAGCCTCCCCAGACCGAGGGGCCGGGGGCCTCCGCGTGCTCCGAATCGCTGGGATTCTTCCGCATTATCGGGACACAAAGGCTTCACACACCGCGCCCGGTGCGGGGGGATTTGGGGCAGCACCTGATCGTGGGGCGGTGGGGACCGGGCGAGGGGCAGCGGGACAGAGCTCCTGAGCGGGGCTGCGGGCACGGCCGTCCCCAGCGCCACGACCCTCGGCTCCCGCTGGGCTCTCGGCGGGAATTTCTGAGGCATTCCGGGCTCTTCCGCTGGTTTGTTGTTGGATTATCCCTGCTAGAGAGAAACCTGGCTCAGAACATCCCGGAGAGCTGCGGGGGATGGGGAGGGGGGGCTCGGGGCACCCCCTGCCGTGCGCTCCCCGACCCCCCGTCCCCTGCCCTGAGCCCCCCGCTGCCCCCGTGGTGTCCCCACGGCCGTACCCGGGGGATGTCACCCTGTGGGAGCTGGGCACGGATGTGACAGGGTGACATCTGTCACCCGGCACGGCTCTGGCAACAGCGCCGTGCTGGGGGTCCTGCCTGGGGCTCCCCTCCCGGGATCCCGTGTGGGTCCCCCGTGCAGGGCAGTGCCAGCCGCTGTCACCGCAGGGACAAGCCCACGTCACCGGGGTCAGTGTCACCAAACGAGCCTGGACACGAGAAAGGGGATCTTAGGGTATGGCCGGGGTCCAGCCGAGCCCCCGGATCCCACAGCAGGGGCAGAGCCCGTCCCTCTGCCCTCCTCCTCCTCCTCCTCCTCAGGGATCACCGCTCCCGGGGCGCTGGGAGGGACCCTGGGTGCTGCTGTGCTGGATCTCCCGCCGGCTCACGGATATCCCGGCATCGGGTGCCCTGATGGAGCCACACCGGGAGCAGCCGCGCCCCGGCCACGCCGTCCCTCCCTGGGGCCCGGCATCCCGCTCCAGTTCCCTTTCCCTTTCGCTCTCCCTCTCTCTTTCCCTTTCCTTCTCTCTGGCTCCCAGCCCTGGGAACCCAGGAGAAGTTTTAATTACCTTAACTGCCTCCTGGCTGCGGCCCCGGGGGAGGGCGGGGTTTGGGAGCAGCACCCGCAGCCCCGCTCCGGTGACCCGCTCCCCAAAAAGCGCCTCTGGGCTCTGCTGCGGGGGAGGGGGTGGGCTGCACCCCCAGTATGGCCCGCGTGCCCTGGGACCCCCAGGACCCCCAGACAGGGCGGGACCCCAAACCGGGGGGCCGGTACTCGCCCCCGAGCCCTCCGGGCCCCCCGTGGGCAATCCCTGGCACCCCCGCAGACGGGAGAGCGGGGCAGGAGCTGCTGCGGGGCACCGAGTCCGTGTGACAGCCGCGTGAACAGCCGGGAACAGCCGGGGAGAGACGCGTCCTCCAGCCTGTAAGCATGAGAGTGTCCCCAAGCTCCCCAGGGGTCCACAGTGTCCCCAGCAGCCCCAGTGTCCTCAGGGTGCCCAGGGTCTCCGGTGTCCTTAAGGTCCCCAAACACCCCAGCATCCTCAGGACCCCCAACATCGCCAGGGTCCCCAGCATCTCCAGTGTCCCCACTATCCCCAGCATCCTCAGGATTCCCAGTGTCCCCAGCACCCTCAGGATCCCCAGAATCCCCTGTGTCCCCAGTGTCCTCAGGGTCCCCAGTGGTTCCAACATCCTTCAGATCCCCAGCATGCCCAGTGTTCCCAGTGTGCCCAGCACCTTCAGGATCCCCATCCCCGGTGTCCTCAGGATCCCCAGGTCACCAGAGTGCCCAGTGATCTGGGGCTGTGCCCATCCCAGGGATATGGAGGGCAGGGAGCAGGGGCTGCCCTGCAGTCCCGAGCCCCCAGGCTCAGCCGTGCTGGCAGCAGCTCATGCCCAGCCCCACGAGGGTCCCGGGCACAACTGGGGTCTGCACGTGCCTTGGGTCCCCCTGCCCACCGCCCTGGCCCCGTGCCCAGTGCCGGAGGGCTCCTGCTGCCACTGTGTGTCCCACACAAGCCCTGTTCCCGTGTCACCCGCTGCCACCGTGACCCGTGGGTGGGCAGGACCGTGGCCCTTGCAGCCAGCACTGATCCCTGTGGTGCTGATCCTTGTAGTGCTGATCCCCCCTGGTGTCCCCATGCCCCTTCCACCCTGGCACAGGACAAGTCACACCCCACACACACCTCTCACCTCTGGGCACTTCCAGGGCAGCTCAGCCCGGTTTTCTCATTCCCACCCTCTGGCACTGCTCTGGTCCCGTGTCCCAGCTGTCACCTGTGCCAGCTGCCCATCCTTTGGGCTGTCTGCAGGCTGTCACCCTGCCGGTGATCCAGCAGTCACCCCAGCACATCCCTGGCCCTGTGTCACCATCCCATGGGATTGCACCCGGAGCCTCACCCTGACCCTCATGTCCTCCTTGGCCACATGGACACCACTCGGTGGCCTCCAAGCCAGGATCTGGCCATGGACCCACCAGTCCCACAGCTCTGGCACTGCTGGCAGGGCAGGAGTTTGCCCGTGGCAGCACCTGGGCCTGTGAGTGGGGACACAGGGATGTGGGATGTGGGGACATGGGGACGGCCATCCTGGTGCCAGCCCCACCCCGGCCCCGGCCCCATGGAGCAGGCAGGCAGCCCTTGGCATGGCACGTGGTGCTTGGCACATGGCACGGGGACACCCGGTCACCACTGTCCCTGCACCAGGGACCCCCCAGCACCCTCAGGAATCCCCCTGTGCTGTGGGACTGTGGCCTTTTCCCGGGTGGGCTCTGCCTGGGAGGGGCACCAGCCCAGTGTGGGGGACTGGGGGGATCTGAGGGGACCCCTTGGTGGTGCCTGGGCTGTGACAGTGCCAGGGCTGCAGCCGAACATGTCCCGACACGGCACACGCGGCCGGTGACGGCGGTGCAGGAGGTGCAAGGGCCGGGTGGGATTGCATCACACCTGGGGAGGGGGTGGTGCAAGGGGGACCCCCACTCTGGAGGGGCTGCTGGGGCCGGCTGTGCACCCCGGGCACCCCTCCCAGCCCGGGAGGACCCGAGATCCCAGGGGGTGTGAGCCCCGAGGCCAGGGGTGGGCAGTGCCCGGTGCCGCCGCAGGCCGTGGGTTTGGCACGGCCGGGCCGTGGCCATGTCACTGAACCCGGACCCCCAGGGCCCCTCGGGGGGCTGAGGCCGGACGGGACCCAGCTGCCCCCCCACCCCGCACGCACCCCACGTCCCGCTCCCGCGTGGGAGTGGGAACGGGGATTTTCCCGGGTGAATCACGGCCGGCTGTGCCCCGGCGTGTGCCCGTGACCCCGTGCCCTGGGACAGGCATAGCCCGAGGATGCTCAGCGGAGGGTCCTGCCCTGGCACCTTCCTGTCCCTGGCACAGGTGAGCTCTGGGGCGTGGGGGCAGCTGCTGCCGTGGGATGGGATGGGATGGGATAGGATGGGATGGGATGGGATGGGATGGGATGGGATGGGATGGGATGGGATGGTGACCCCACCACTGCAGCCGCTGCTCCGAGCCGATGCCACCGAGGGCTGTGCCAGGGCATGCTGCCACCTCGGCCCCCGTGTAGCCCCAGCCCTGTCCCCGGGTGGAGTCGTGCAGGTGTGGCTGCCCAGGGACAGGGATGGCGAGGACAGATCCCGGTGCCCGGGGGGGCTGGCACCGGCACGGGGACACGTGCTGCCCGTTGGCCACGGGGCCGCTCGGCTCTCCGAAGGCTGATCCCGGCTCCAGCCGCCCCGATGGGCACCGGGCTGGGCGCTGCATCCCCGTGGGACCCCCATCCTGCCCCCTGCGCCGTGTCTGGCTGTCTGTGCCGTGAGGGGCTGCACAGCCCCCGCCACGTGGGT